AGGTATCCAGACCTTTTAACTGAAGTCTTTAAAGGGACAACGTCTTCAGTATTTTATGAGATTTTTGTTTACTTTTGTTTTGAACAGTAACCAAGTCCCCATGTAATAATAATAATAATAATAATAATAATAATAATAATAATAATAACAAAGATAGGTGTCCAGAGTTATTAGTGTTATAAGTATTTCACCCTTTACTTTTTTTTTAAATAATCTGTGTTAGTTTTATTTCGTGTGGAGTGATAGCTAAATCTCACAAAGGTAATTCCAATGTATTTAAAGCCAGGGCATTTCTATTTCATGTTAATTTCATTTTGCCCAGTTCTTGCTTTGTACTTCCGGGTTCTCCTAATTTGATATTTAAACATATTTGTTTAAGCATGTTCTTGCCTTATTGTTGTGTGTGCACATGTATATTTTGTAATTGTATATGGATTGTAGTTTGCCTATGACAGAGCTTCTGCTAACCATATACTTGATACTTACTGTATATTTTGAATAAAATGAAAATATTAAATCTGTGCATCTATCTGCTATTAAGGTATACACTGTGAAATTTCTACAGGAACAACAGAACAGAAGTTTGTTTTGCTTTAGTTAAAATTGCATTGCATACTTTAAATATTGCATTGTACCTGGCCTGAACTGAGAATATAACAAATATAAATATATAAAAAACATAACATATAAAACTGTTTTTGGGGAGGATTTTTACATATATTGCAGAAATATTTACTGAAGAGTATTTACTTATTTAAAATTAAAAGCCCTTTTCCATAATTCCACTTTCTGGAGCACAACTGGAGTTGCACATGAATGCTGCAGATTCTAAGGCCCAAAGTTTCTTCTACTTAGATTGACCATTTTAACTCCTTAACCAGCAATTAATGTTGGTATTTTCTGTTGTTTACACATGTTCTAGAAAGCAAGAAAAGATAAGATGAGTTCTCAGTCTTTTAAGATAAAATACTTTTTTCACTTCACTGAACAATGAACTGTTGTGATAACTTTTTTTCCCCGGGCCAGACCAAACATCAAATACCTGTTTACTCTATGATAGGAGGTAACCAAAAAATCAATACCAATTTATTCAAAGCATGTCTGTTTGTTTCCAAATAGCAGCAGTTTTTAGCTAATGGAAGAGCATTGTCAGTTTTTGTGCAACTTAAAACACTTCTCCAATCCACAGATAATGATTGAACTACGACAGTGGGAAGTGAATTCTTTGGCACCTCCAGAGGGTGAAATTAATTAACAGAATAGATTAACTCATGTATTGTATTATAACCTCATTATATTCTAAAATGAATTTAGAAAATCGTACCTTAACGGAAATCTCATTTGTACTATTATTATGTATCATGGCATTGAGCCACTGTATTTTCTTTGGTATTACATTATTTTTTGTGCCCAAAAGACAAATATACTTAGGCTTAGCAAAGCACTCAATCTTAAAACATTATTTTAAAATTGAAACTTTTATGTCATGATTAGGTGTGTAAGGTATTACCTGTGTAAGAGTGACCATGTCATTTTAAAAACTTAGATTGTTTAACACAGCATAACAGCTGTATTCAGAAATGTGTGTGTGTGCTGTGAGAGGAGTTGGATACAATTTTGTTCTAGGGTCTGTCAATTTTATATACAGTATATAATTAATTTATAATAGTAAAAAAAGGAAAATACAGTATACCTACAGGGAAGAAGGGGTTGAAGTCTTATAATGACATATGCTTTTATGTGCAAATCCATGTATTAACAGGTATTCATTATTCATCTAAAAATCAGAAAAAAAGAAATAAAAGCAAGCACCCAGGCTCAGTCAATCACAACTGATGGGGAAACAAGTAAAGAAAACCCAAGAAGTAACATGTTAAGGTGAGGCAAGTGGAGAAGATTGGAGTAAGACAGACTTAGCCACAGTGACTGTCACTCTTACCCATAGAACAAGAAAACATCATCACGTCCTCCACTCAGTAAGTGACACTGTAATAGGAATTTGAAGAATGTACAGTAATCAGTTTTAGGCGTGGAAGAGGTGTTCGTTGTTGTCAGAGGGTATTCAGTGAATTCCAGTTGTTGACTAAGAGGCTTGTTGTCTATAACAGGCAACTGCTTTGAATAAAATGCATGTTTCACACATACAATGGACACAGTCTCTAGGTTTTTGCTTCCATCAGAGCCAACAATGCACAACAAAGCTCATTTTCCCACAGCAGTCCAGCTAAAATCCTGAAAAAGATGCCCTTTCTGTTGGGCAGTTGGGCATGTCTGATCTCGCTAAACTAAATAACTTCCAAGACTGATCAAAACTCAGATGTGTTCCAGATTTGTATGATTTTTTTATTTAAGGATGATCTAGGAGATCTGCTGGATTTGCGACCCCTGAAAAACATACCACAAATGAAGGAAAACAAGATTTACAGGAATTCACCGATGATTTTGCACTTCATCTCACAGCTGTTTAAATTTATTTGAATTTCTCCCTCAGACAGAGTGATATATGTAAGGAACATTAAATAATGGTAAGCACCAATGAGTGGTAATGATTTTTATCTCATACTGTTTGAAATCCATCTTATACAGGAACAGACACCTTGTATATTGTACACTATAAATTGCTAAGCAAGACTAATTTTTTTTCACTCGACGCTTTTCCTTCTTTATAAAGAAACATGATTCTGTGGTGATCTCCTACCTCTACAATTCGCAGATTAGAAGTTAAAAAATAACCTTTTCACTTGTGTAGGATTTGTAGCGAGGAACACCTGGCAAGAGTTAAATTAGATTTGATCATTAAAATGTGATGGATTAGCTTCTACAACACTTCATATTGGCTACTCACCTGACCGGCCAGGTGGCTTAGCTGGTTAAGGCCCTGCCTGCAAGTTGAGCTCTATGATAAAGGGTTCAAGCCTGGGTCATGCTCACAATTAGCTGAGCACTGCCTAATGTAGGGTGGGGTTAGATAGTAATGGCTGTCTTGGTTCTCAGTGACACAGTGGCCCCTGTGGCCACTTGTAGGCAAGGGGTGCTGTCTGAGGGACATGCCTCTCCTCTGCTCACTGCTTAATGTCCAGGATAGGGCTGTGGCGCCTGTGAAGTGCTAAAAGACAAGCGGCTCAAATTCTGCCTACACTTTCTCATTCTGTCTTGTGTGTGAGACATAAAAAGACACTATTGACTGTTCAAAATTGGTTGGGAATAACAAAAATAATTGTTGATGCTAAATAAAATTAACATTGTACTCACGTACAGTTGAGCTTGAGCCGTTGAAATCAGGTTTGTGAAATGATCAAGTTTGCTAAATGGCCAGCTTGGTTTTCACTCACCAAAATGAAGCTGTCTTAATAACAGGTGTAAATAAATCTAAATACTACATTTAAGAATAACAACATAGATATAATTTTAGAAAACACTAGTGGATTGTCATACAAGGTCTTTGAGGTCAGATTTTCAGAATCAGATTTTGGTATCCTATGTCTTTAATCTTCAGGGAATGTAGCAATGGAATTCAAAACACATAGAAATGGGAAACGGGGATGACGAAGTCTTTCTGTTTATTCAGAATTACCTAACTTCCATTTTAGGCAAGTTTAGCACTGTAGTGCAAAATAACTTACAACAATATGGATGGTTCCAGCGCATCCAGCGTAACCAGCACATCCTCGAACTCAATTACGTATCTAACAGAGCAACATATTATGAATCTTGCACATAAACCTCAGATGACCCCTCTCATCCACTCCTCTACCCTCTGGGAGGAGGTTCCAGATCCTCTCTATAAGGACTAAGAGAGCATTTACTTCATTTATACCATAGAAACTGGTCCCAGTTGCCCTGCAATCCTTTCCTCCACCATCATTAAAATTCTTCAACCAGCCAAAGAGTCTGCTTTCCTCCCTCTACTGAACAGTGTAATACATTTGTGCAATTCATGGACAACAAAATACATATCATTAATAATCATTTACCGGCCTCGGCTCCTACAGTCCTGACAACTACACCTCAAGATTTTCTCATTTTATTGTTGTTAAAGCTGTTTAACTGAACCGCAACTCAGTCTGTGTCTTAAGACCTGCTTCTTTTGTCCTTGACTCTGTAATGACATCCATATTCGAAGCTATTGTCTTTGCTTTTTGTTCTCAGCTCTATCAGGCTACAGCTGGAGTTTCTGTGCTCTACGTGTGTCAGTCCGGTGTTATGATATGGATACAACAGAACTCTTTGAAGCTAAAATGTAAACAGACTAGGGTTTTGCTAATAAGCTCCCAACATCAGTTGAACTCAGTACAGTTGTTGATAGTCCTGAAATAAATCCTGTGGTGAAACCTTGTTCACTTTTATACATGTTAAAAGCATCATCAGGATCTTTCTCCACCTGTGTAACACTGCATGGTGAGTCATTTTAACCTTACTTATTGGATTACTTTCTAAGGTACTAAACAGGCTTTAGAATGTCCCAACTTTATCAGCTTGTATACTTTTTATTGTATAGACTACTTATGAAACATAGAGTACACTTCTGGGTTCTACTGCTCATGTATAACACACTGAGTGGCCTCCTGAGTTCTGTCTTTCTTAGCCAGAGACTAGGCACACATCATGAGAGATATTGCCTTCTTAGGTGCAGCAACACATATGTCTATATCACACATTGCCCAAATCCATTTGCAAATGTTAGCATTTTTAAAACTTACTTAAACACATACCTTTTTACTCAAGCTGTTAATGGAAATTTCATCATACTTGTGATTTCACTAAGTCAATTTGCTGTCCCTTATTCTTTCACATTTTTCTGCTTCTTTTTTTGTGCATTGTGGATGGTATTGTACAGCGCTTTGTGTTTCTTGAAAAGCCTTCACAAATAAAAATGTATTATTATGATGTAACAATGAAGAACATCCTTCAGAACATTCAGCACTTACACAATCAGGAGGGACACTGATGACAGAGACTTGTGACATACCTGCCTCAAAGGTCTAGAGTTATATTAATTATAATTATTAATATAATTATTATGTTAATTCTGTCAGGGCTATTTTGAGGCATTAGTGTGTCCAGAAACCAACACCAGATGAGAAGGATATTGTGTAAGCAGATCTCACTATGGATGATCCTGAGGAATGAAACCAACTGATTTCTTTTAACTAATATATGTGGTACTCTCATTGGCGCCTTGCAGTGTTGGGTCCCTTGGTTTAATACCTGGGGTACTGTCTGCGTGGAGTTTGTCTTCTTCCTGTGTTCACATGGGTTTCCTCCGGGTGTTCCTGTTTCCTCAAGCATTCCAAAGACTTACTGGTAGGTTAATTAGCTTCTGTAAAGCTGGCCCTGGTGTGAGTATGTGCTTGTGTCTTTGTATGCTCTGTGATGGACTGGTGTCCTGTCCAAGATGTATACTACTTTAAACAAGTTTCCTGTCCTACGACACTGTACTGGATAAAGCAGTTTAAAAAATAAATGGATAAATGTGCTGTACAATGTTGTATATATCATTTTGTTCTGATACCTCCTTTTAGACTAGCATATGTGATTACTGTACATATATTTGTCTCAGTACTGGTTGTGTGTGGTTCATGTTGTGAAATAGTTCCATAGTTTTTTTTAGTGCTATTGACCTTAGCCTTCAATATATTATCTTTCTTTCATAGTACTTAAAGGATTCTAATGTTTGAATGAAAAGCCAACTACTAAGGAGACCAGTAACAGTGCCACAAATACATAAACAGCGTATATATAGTTGTAAAAAAATCAAAGAGGCAGTTAAATGCCTTTTAGAACAAATAGTTATTCCTGCGCTGACACTTTTACACCTGAAAAAGGAAAAAAAGTTCCAATCCAATTGCTCAAGAAACTGTAAGAAGTATTTATGCAAATGTAGATACATATCAAATATTAACCCACCTGTACAACCAGTCCTTACAATGCACGTTTAAATCTTTCGTGGCTCTAGAGTGTCTATTTATGGCTGTAGTTTTCCTAAAAGAAAATGAATAACCTTTGAATTCAGTTTTATCCATAATGCTTAAACATAAAGTAAAGAACAGGGAGTTTCAAAGGACGAAAGAATCAACTCAAGTTTGAATTTTGGATGAAAAGAAACTCAATCACCTCCCTGTTCTTATTCTGATTAACGTTTTTGAGTAAACTGCCACGTTCCTGTCACTCTTAAAAGACTGAAGAAGGAAAGAATACAAAGATTGCCATATTCCCTCCTTCACCTATACTCTAGTATTTTGTATGCAGAATGTGACAAATTTCAAGCTGTGTAATTTCCAATAAAATAAAATTATTATGCTCTGCTGTGAGTAAAAGAGGTGAACATCATTACTCTCTGTGGTAGTATGGAAGTACTAGTGGAAAGGATAACAGTAAACTAAAATACACAGGGATTTTGTGATCTACACAAGGGATTTGACATTCTGGAGAAGCCACTCCCTCTTTTTTCTTTCAGAATTTTTAGTGACACTACAAATACAAACAAATCAGTGAAATTTCTTCTCACTGAATATGAACTCCATAGTGTCAATTGTCCCAACAAGGGTTATTCTGAGTCTCATGCGAGCTGGTTACAGTCGAAGATGTGATGTAATCACTTTCAGGTTTGTACTTTCATCCACTGAATTACAAATCTATAGTTTTAAGTCTTTGTGGATGAGCTGTACTATACATACTAAGGTACAAATGTTACTTAATGTACCCAATGAGTAGCTGAAAACTTGCCAATGTTTAATGCTGTGAAAAAGGAAATTTAATTGAATCTTTTTCAAAAATCTAAAAAAACTATAATTGAAAAATAAATATTGATGGTTATTGGTGTACTGTGCTGAGTGTGTATGTTCTCCACATATTAGCGTCAGTTTTCTCCCACAGTCCAAAGACTGTCGGTTAATTGGCTTCTGGGAAAAATTGGCCCTGGTGTGTGTTTGTGTCAGGGTGTGTCCCGTGATGGAACAGCATGTCATTCAGGTGTATTCTGCCTTGCTGTATAAACCAGATAAAGCAGCTGAAAAATTAATGGATGATTATTGATATAGACAGCAGTAGGTACATTACCTCTGTGAAAATCTATTCAGATACCCTGCAATCTGTACAGGGGTAAGGTATATGCTCCTATCGTGAAGTAATTCATGCTACTTTTCATTCAAGAAAATTTAAGACAATAACTTTGATGACTTGATGGTGATCACCATCGATCACCAAAAAAGGAATAAAGCAGCAATCAGGGATGGTCACTCCAAGCCCAGATTTTTTCTGAAGCATGAAAGATGTCATAATAGTAGACACTTTGCCACCACTTCAGAAGTACTTTATACACTGGCTATCCAACTGCTGGCTGTTTGAATGCAGACATTAATCTAGGTTTATAAACAATTTTAAAACATCCAGAAAAACTCCCAGATGCAGTTTGTTCAAGTGTTGGTTCAACCACAGTGAATAAAACAGGAATGTGTAAATTCGAAATGAAATTACACTTTTATCCCCATTTTTGAAAGCTGAACTTCATGTATGTAACAGGGCTCAGTGTGCCGACCGAGTTACAGAGGGATGTCACCCCCTGGGAAAGCTAGACAGTGTAAAACTCTAGTGCTGCAGAGACCACAGTATTATGGTGGCATATTTGGTGGAGTTATCCACAATTCAGGGAGTGGCACTGTGCATGCTTGGAGCCTGAAAGCAACCAGGATCGATTTCCGGCTGGGGTGGGGAGAGCTGCTCTTGTCACACATAGTAATGTCTTCAGTTAAGGACTGCTCTCAGTCAGATGCCTCATGACAATCAGCAAACATCTCACAACAGCCTGTGCTCAAGGGTCAAGGACAGAGCAGAGGAGACAAACAAGGAAAGTGAATTAGGAATGGACAGGGTGGCGCAGTGGGTAGCACTACTATCTTGCAGCCCTGGGATCCTGGGTTCAATTCTTTGGGTGTTATCTGTGTGACGTTTGCATGCTTCCCCCATGTTTGTGTGGGTTCCATCCAGGTGCTCCTACTGTATATTCTCCCACAGTCCAAAGACACCCTGGTTGGTTAATTGGGTCTGTTGTGAGCTGGTGGTGTCTGCGTCTGTCTGCCCTGTGATGGACTGGTGTCCTGTACAGGATAAATTCCACTTTGCTGGGATAAGCTCTGGCTCCCCATGACCCTAAATTGGATGAAGTGGTTAGATAATGGATGGATGGACAGACTGAAAATTATATAAACAGTGACCAACAGTAATAGTCGCTGTATGGTTCTTCAATGTATAGGTCTCAGTTACAATGAGACTTTTTGTTTCTTATGTTCAAAAATATTTTCTAAATGAAGCACTAATCTGCATTTTGGTTTCAATTCTGCCTATAGGCAATGGAGATGATTTTGCTTTTAGAAAAACAAAAATAGAGAGAAGAGTGACGCTTTCTATGTACAAGCTTTTTTAATAAAATCACAACTTTGGATATAAATGTTACATTTCATGTTTTTACTGTATGTGCTATTTTTGCTGAGAGATATTTGATTTGATTGATTGTAGAAGCAGACACTTACAACTATAAAGCAAAATGTAGTAAGAGAGACTAGAGTTTATTTATTAGATTATATTTATTAAAATCGGTCTTGGGAAGAATAATTGTATTTACATTGCTGAGAAAAAGACATTTTGAAGTGTAGTTTTCTAATTCTTTTCATTCAGTGTTTTTTTTTTTACATAAATACAATTCTGTTGTGATCTATAATGATTTCTCATAAAATCTGAATAATTTTAAGCTAAAACTTAACACTAATAAATCTGTATTTGATATAGCAAATAATGATTAGGGAACACCTGGCAATGACTCGATTAGAGGTTATGTGATGGATTAGCTACTACAACGCTTTATATTGGTGATTCATATACACTTTAGCTTGGTGTGATCTAGATTTTTAAGATTCTAATGACTTTAAATAATAATGAATAATAATGCTAATAATGAAATAATAAATAATAATGAATGCTAAATGATAAGCTTGATTTCTTACAACCTGTTCTGAGCAATGAAACAAATCAAAGTTGCTGTAATAATAGTAACACTAGCAATTCCTTTGAGTAAAATGCCCATAACAACCATATATTGTTACTATAAATAAGATGTCAAAACCCTTTAACACAGTAGCGTACATAGCAGATTGTTTATGGGCAGGCGTAAATTTCAGCACTGGTCTCGAATGAAGATGTTTTGTTGCTAACAGAGCCCCCTAGAGCACAGAAGAAGTAGCAAGGGAAATCCGATAGCAAGTAACATGATGTTTTTCTTCTTATTCTTAGCTTATACCTAAAAAATAATTACATTTAAAATTAAATGTGAAGAGGCAGTGCTGCACAGTGGTTAGTGGTCTCACAGCACTGGGCCCCTGGGATATACAGTATGTTCACTTGGGCTTCCTTTCGGTGTCCCGCTCTTCTCCCACAGTTCAAAGACATACCAGTAGGTTAATTGACTCCTGGGAAAACTGGCCCTGGTGCGAGTGTGTGTGCGCTTGTCTGTGTTCGTGCCCTGCGAGGGACTGGCTTCCCCTCCAGGGAGAATCCTGCCTTGGGTCTGTCGCTTGCCGGGATCAGCTTGGGCTCCCCTGAGACCCTGTACGGTATGTATGGTAGAAAATGGATGGATGGATAAAATGTAAAGATTATTTTTAAGGATCAAATACTGGAAAAAAAAAAACATTAGGATTTTCAGAATGTTGCACATTTCATTTGCACATATTAAAGGCTATGGATTCTTCCTTAAAGTTTCTTTTTTTTTTTCAAAGGATTTCTCTCATTGGGACATTTCAGATGCAGCACTTTTCTTTCTCAAGCAAAACCCCTGCCAAGTTCAAGTTCAAGTGTAATGTCTGAGAAAAGGGATGAAGGCAACTACAAGGCAAAAGTGGTGGGTATATTTTGACCTTACAAGGTTGTTTTTTTCTGTCTAATTGTTTCTTTTCTAGCAGCACCAAGACACTCACAGCAGCCCTTGTGCTTTCCTTCTTTGCTTAGCCCTGCTGTTCAAAGGCCTGTCTGCACAGACACCCACATTCCCAGGCTTAAGAGTCTTGCTTGTAGCTTTAGAACAAAATCATTTTGGCTCCTGCAGCTTTTTTTCAGTCGAGGGTGACATCCTATTTTATCATACGTCTTTCTAGCGACATAAGGTTATATTTAGAAGTTTGAATGTAAAAGAAAACCCTTTAAGTGTGTAAGTCTCCAGAACTTTTGGCACTGACTCCGTGTTACAATGGAGCTTACAGGGATCCTGAAAGAATGCGTTTTCTGTGTTCTTTCCAAGATTTATTTTGAAAGGAAGCCAGGGAAAAGTCTGGAGAGCTAAGTGGAAGCAAGCGAACAGCAGTGACATCCTAAAGAGTTGGCAGGGTACCAGCAGGCTCCACCACCCAAGGAGTGATGAGGTGGTTTGCTGCTGTTTTATTAACATGCATGTTTTTCTGGCGATGTCAACTGTTTGTTTGGTGCACCGTAGCAACTCAATTACAAAATTAAGTCACTACAAGTTACTGTATGTGATTTTTCAGTCTTTCTCTGCCCTACCAAAATATTAGAGAATGGTAAAAGACGTGATCCAACATGTCCAAAGTAATGAGAATATCCCCAAAAAGAAATATGTCTCATGCCTCCTATAATATAATAGCAGCCCGTGCCTTTGCCTCAGTGTGCTGTGCTTGGCTAATGTGACTTCAAAAGCGGAATGATTATTGATGCACCTGCCTCCAGTGCAGCATTGATGGCAACAGCAGAGTTGGATAATGTTTCACTCAGGACAGCCTAAAGAATGTTTTCTTGTTCACAGTGAATCAAAGATCACCTTGCCAAGTTACAATATTTAGTAGTCAAAGCATAAAAATCAGCCGTACTTGTTTCTTGTCACGTGACTATTGAATACTGAAATGAAAGGCTTTTATACTCATAATTTGATTATTAATTATCCTTACACAGCCCGTATTTTAACCAGCACTATCATAAACACATATCCATCTAATTTAAATAGAAAGTCTGATCAACCAAAGGCTTTTACATGGTTTCCTAAACCATTCTTAAAACTAATAAAGACAGGCATTTTTACAACAGTTTTAATTAGAAAAAACACCACTAAATATTTTGTACTAAAATCAAAGTATCAGACACTATGGAACTATAGGGATAAATTTATCCAGGATTAGCATGATGAATGGTATCAGCTTACTATCAATTCAACTTGTGCTATTTTCCTTTTTAACCAAAAAAAAACACAAAAGAAAAATACAACAGAAGAAATAAATACTTCAGAACATTTTTCCATTAAATCAATACATACATTTACCTCTTCAAAGTAGCTTCTATGTCATCCCTGTACAGATGTTTGCCTGTTTATAGCATACTTCATATTTCTGTCCATTTAATTAGTTTAGACCCAATTTCAGCATTATACAGAATACTGAATTAGGTTTCTCATGTCAGCCATGTAACCATGTATTACCCTGAAAGGCCCATAGAAAGTGAATTTAGTAAAGATGAAATGACAAACACAGACAGTTGTAAGTTCCCCTGCTGATCTCACTCAGCTCAACCTTGACCTGGTCTGCACCTCTGATCGAGACGGCAGGTGAGGACAATGAGAAGTAAAGAAAATAATGAATGGGTGATGTTCTTAATGGAGGTTGAAATAAAAACACAGAATCTACTTATTGGTAGAAAACCTAGAAAGCTCCCTCCTAGGGAAATGCCCTCTCAGACCCTTCCTGTCAAGAACAATCCCAATTCCAAACTGGGGTCACTAATATTTTGGCTACTGAGCGCAATGCAGTAGGTAATGCACAGCCAGTAAAAGAAATACATTCTAATATTAAAAGCGGGCAGTTTAATTGTATCTTTAATTGTGTGCATAACAGCTTGTGCTCTATCTTTAGAGTTTGAGTGCTAAACCATTCTGCTTGTATATACTGATTACTTTGAAGGGCAGATGTGCAACACAGGGTGTTGACCCACTTTGTATCTTATGCTTATGGGATAGACTTGGGAATAAATGGTTTCCTGATAATGGATGCATGTGCCCTAATTTTTATGGAAAATGATCAGCATCACATATCTCAGTCAGCTCAAATCCTCTAGATATAAAATGTTACTTTAGAAAGACTGTATAGGGATGTTCTATATACCTAGTGTCAGTTTTACAGCCCTTAATTCAAATATCTTTTTCGACAACTGAATGACCAGAACATAGATCTTAATGGTTGATAAATAAGAGGCCCATAAACCACCCTTGAAGGCCTGAAGGTAATAATTCCCAGAGCTTCTTCCAGCAAGTTCTTGAAGTACCTTAATGAATCAGTAAGAAATGTATGGATTAATTTTCCATACATCTGCTGCTTTATGATCAATTGCCTCTCATTTCCTAGATCTTCTTCCACTTTTTTTGTACATGGGTCAGGTCATGGTCTCTATACTGGTGTAGAAGGAAGTGAGAAGGATATTATCAAGCTGGTTTAATAACAGTTAATTTACCAATTGTTGTAAGGGACAATGATTTCATTTAAAAAAAATGAATATGATCCCTGACATTGGTCTGGGCACAATGGCCAGTCCAACACCTTTGTTTAAGCAATTACTTAACCTGCAGTCTGTAAGATGCGGTACTGTAAGCTACAAAATAAAGGAAAATAACTAAATAAGCTCTAGTGCCTGTTTGCTTTGGTGATTACAGACACTTTGCAATATTAAATTTGGAGGTCAGCTCTAAGGCCTGGCTTTTAGAAAATGAACCAGATCACAAGCCAACTAAAAATCGACAGTCTCGATATATCCCTGAGTGATATTACTGAGGAAACTCAACACTCACTTGATCATGTTTTTGTTCAAGAGACAAAATATTTCAGGGCTTTGTCCAGACAAGCTCTGTGTTACAGTACTTAATTGCACCCTCGATTGAACTAATCAGTACCTTAAATGGAACCTTTTCTAATTATCAGGTACTCGAGTTGCATACAAGATGTGTTAATTAAAAAGAGAAAGTCAAACACACTTAAAAGCTGAAAACAAAGACTTCAAAATTAAGCTTTTAGTACTTGGATTAGAGGTTCAAGTACATAATTGAAAACTAACATGGGAAAAAAAACAACAATGGTAGGATCCCTAAACCCATTGACTTGGAACCCCTGCATATCTGATTACTGTTTCTGTTAATGGAAAAGCATTTATTAGCCTTAAACCTACAGCTTAGTGCATAACAATAGTGCAGTAGATTCTTACACAACGTAGCCTGGGTTGCACACAAGTAGAACATGTACTGGTCACTTTAATGCAGAATCTAGACTTGTTTAATGCCATAATTCTGCTGTCAAACTCTACAATTGAAGAAGGACATTTTAAACACTTTGGAAACTGCATGTAAGCTACGTAGATTTGTACACAAATAGTTTGGAGGGATGTTATTGAATGAAAAGGCCTTTTTTTAATTTCTAGTACTGGGGGGGGGGGAGTTCTTGTTTAGGCCATATGTGACCTGCTTGAGAAGCATAGATCACTCTATTCACTTCCTGATAGTTTTGTTAAAAACAAGTCAGACAGCTGTAGCCTCCAGATTTTTTATGTTCTAGTGCCTTCAGATGGTGAAAGGACTGGTAGAGATCCGGGTCTGCAATGTTTCACTTGGATATCCTTCACCCTCATCACCTCAATTAAAATGCACAAAAATATTAAAAAATAAAAGATTTCGATTGGCGGGAAGCTGTCCTGCAAGAAGAAAATAAAGATCAGGTCAGTCAAGAAAGAAGAAGAGAAGGTAATGAAAGAACAGTGCTGTCGAAAGAATAGTTTATTCAAAAAAAAACGTACACAGTTAGAAACTTTGACAGCTCACTGGAAGAAAACCAAAGAGCACCTCCATGTTTTACAAATCATTTTGTCCCTTCTTGAATAAAGTACATCTAGAATAAAAAAAAGAGGAACAAACAGAGGTTTGACGTTTCAGCTGATAAACCTTCTACACGTGACAAGAAACACATTTCCTCAGGTTTCTAAGGTCTGTATAATGGCGTTTGCAAATATCACACACTTGTCTTGTGTATTATTGATAAATATTACCTCTCATGATTTATTCTCTAAACATTTTAGGCACGTATTTTTAAAGCCTTAATTCTTTTGGTTCATGCTGCAAATACGCAGAGGAATAGAAGTAAAATGTGAAAATCAGATTCAGCCTATGCATGAAATATGCAATCTTTGCGCTAGCCCTTTGTTCCATGATATATTCATATCATATTTAGATATAATATATTCCATATTACAAATTTCTGGCAAACAAATCCAGCAATATTGCAGCACTGTTCTGGCCTTTCAGTCTCTGAAATAGCTTTTGAAGTGATTACAGTTGAATTGCATAATCTGGAGAGCAGCCATGGATGGCTCAATTCCTCTTGGTTATTAAAATAAATACTTAGCAAGGTTGTGGAGACAAAATGAGATCACCAGCTTTATCTGATAGAAGACATGACTTACATTCCTAATTGACTGTGCTAGAGACCAGCAAACCTCATGAGTTTACTGTATACAGTACGTATCTCTTTTTTTCCCCCAATTTATATGGCATACTGTATTTTAATATCTTTGGGGTGTTTAAACCTTCTAATTTGAAAGTTCCAGGAATGCAATGACAGACCAAAAAGTAGCAGCGATGGCAGTCTGAGGATATGAATGTTTAAGAATTCAAGAAACATAGATCACCACTCAATTAACTCTTCTTTTACTTATACTTTTTTTTTAATACGCTGAGACAACGTCTGTAATTTAAAACAGCCTATAGGTCATTTTTGTCTTCTGTTCTTTGGCAATGAAATTTAACCAGATCTTCCACTATTTAGATCCAGATTTGTTTTAAACAAAGCCTCCAATGTTTGGAGTGACAGCTTGCAGCAATGCAAAGTCCAAAAAGCTATGAGAAGTCGCTTGTAGCAGTTGCTTTCATCCTGTAACGTCACAGGAACCAACTTCAATTCAAGCATTACAGTGAAAGAAAAGTTGCAATTTTTTTTCACATTAACTCAGATTCTTCTGAGAAAAGACAATGAAAAGTCATCACCGTTTCAATGATTACATCTAGTAATAAGTCTATTCGATTTTACTGGAGGTAGTCATTTTGTTAAGGAACCTTCAGGATTAAAAAACTGGGATTTCCGACACACAGAAGCTGATGGGTATTTCTCTTCCCTTTCAAGGTAACACTGCTTTCGTCCGCCATGATTTCCAAGTCGTACTTTGACAAAATAACATGTTGCTGGAATTATTTGTGACCCTGAAACTCAGTGATGGCAAACAGGCACTGTGAAGAGAACCATTCATGTTTTTCACGGAAAGAAGCAGATGTCTTAATTTGTGTGTTTTATGGAGGAGAATAGTTTGTAATTGACCAGTAATTTTAATAGTCTGAAGCTTAGCCTGACAAGTATCAGGTGGCTTTAAATTACACTGACTATCACTGCAATACACTGAGCAATTCTTTGAACTACAGAAGAGGAGCAATTAGTGCTCCTATGCGTACCAGAGCTTGGGTCTAATTACCGAAGATAGTCTTTTGGCTTTTCCAACATAATAATCTTGAAATTCACTCCTTTCCGCTGAGAGAATGGTGGCTTTCTCCAGGCACTGTAAAAAGTTATTCCGTACTCCTTTAAGAATGTTCCTTGCTTTTCTCAATGTTTATTCCTTTATGATTGTAATACATTTTGTGTGAGTTTCATAACAGTACAGCTAGAAAAATCACTTGTGAATTCATGCTCGAAGTACATCTTGTTGAAGCAAGCCTGTTTAGGTCAAATAGACATTAAGAAGGATGCATATAGTACTTATGAGTTAAATCATAAATCCCTCCCTCTGAGCGTGTATGTATATATGTGGGTCTGCATGTTTTGTCTTGTTCTGTATGTGTATGCATGGGTGGCACTAGTGGTGGTGTAGGTCTTTTGTTTTCTTTTGTGTTTCCTCTGCAGAGAGATTAATGAAGCCCATGTCCTAACATATGAGGGTAAAACATACCAGAGCTGCCGGCTGCTTCGAGGTGATTCCAGAGGGGGCAAAGGCTTGTCAAGGAGCCCTGCTTCCTGGGTGGTGAGCAGACCTGCAGCTAAAACACCATCACCCTGAGACTCCAGTTGAGAGGCGCTCTGTTCTCAAGCTGAGGTCATCAAGAGGGCCATCGAGCCAGGGGTGTCCTCTTCATTCACAAAACAAACAAAAACAGAGCAAGGGGAAACACACAGAGTGGCAAACTAGCCCTTTTCTCCCAAAGGCTGTTTTAATAGCACAACTCCTATAAATGTGATTTATCACAACACAAAGAGACTTCACCAATGATGCTATGCTGTGGAAATTTTGAAAAGAAGTGAACCATGTAACCACATTTACCAGATAAAGAAAGGCATATAACCTCAGAACAGAACTTTGAAATACAACTGAGAGAAATGCACATTGTTTATAACTCCAGATTTGTGTTAGGATTAGGGATTTGCATTCATTATAATTTTGTTTAAGCCTTCCTAAAGCATGGAGGTGAGTGTTTTTGTGAAGTCTAGGCAGGACGACACTCTTGAGAAAGTTTGGTTGAAAAAGTACAGCTGGCAAGTGAAGTACTGAGAGGTACTGCAGGCTTTGGCTCCTCCACAGCCTAAACACACCTGACTTGTAAATGTTCTTTATTACACACATTAAATAAACTTGCTGTGCTTATAGTAGACAATGACTTGTACAACCGTATTACTACAGTGCTTGCTGAGATAAAAGGCTTTCCCACTCTAATAAACTACGTAATGTCTTCAAAAAATATTATTTCTGACGGGCCAGAGAGTGAACTTCAGTGATTAAGTGAAATGTTGTAAGAAAAAAGCAATCTAAAAAACTCCTGCCAACCTGAAATGTTATGAAATCTCATTAATTTCCAAAATAGAAAATGTGCTCATCAGTTATATTCTTCAAAAGTAGCACTAATTGCAGTAAAACACAAATTCAAGGACACTTAAGGAGTATAATCACAGCTCGAGGTTGTAAATCATGGCTTTAACATTTTTCAGGTAAAATGGTTTCAATTTTTTCTACTTGGCCACTCTGGTATTTTTTTGAACTCCTTTAAAAGCTGCACACCCCTTCCTTCTGCAGGAGGAAGACCCTGTACGCACTTCAAGAGCTGCAAATGCTGTGAAGCCATTGCAAGGAGACCCATTTCAAAGAGCTTCCACATCCTTCCTGTTCTCTAGAACCACCGTTCTAGTGAGCCCACCTGGGGGGAATAACATTTTCAGGATTTCTAGCTGGGCGGCACCGTGGTGCAGTGTTTAGCATTGCTGCCTCACAGGGCTGTTAGGCCCTGGGTTCAATTCCATACCTATGGTGCTATTTATATATATCTATGGTGGAGTTTGCATGTTCTCCCCAGGTTCATGTTTGTATCTTCCTGGTACCAGGCAAGAAACTGGTGCAAGGCAGGATACACCTTGGAAAGGAACCTAGTTCATCACAGGGCACACACACACACACACACACACACACACAGAAACAGACACTTTTCCACCAGGGCCAGTTTTTCCAACAGGCTTTTAACCTACCAGTATGTCTTTGCTTTGGGAACCAGTGTTAACGCACATGAACATGGGGAGAAAGTATAAACTCCATGCAGGTAATGGACCCAGGACTCCAGCACTGTGAGGCAGCAATGCCAACACCTGTACCACCATGCCACCCTAACCAAGACATGTCACACAATTTTAAATAAAGTAATGGGTACAGCTCGTAAAAACAGTTGTGTAGTGTACAGGTTGTGCACAATGACGCACATACAGTATCACAAATCCCCGGGTGACAGTACACAATGGGCTGAATACCAGCAGGGATGGTTGGGCTCAAGTTAGCCAGAGTATCCTTGTTTGACCACACATCAGTGGCTCGTGTGACCTGTGAGAGTCCAATCTCTCCTGCAGTTGGCGTTAACCCTCTTGTGACATTTGCAACATGAAAAACACCAAAGAGTGAATATTTAGTGTTTTCTCTCTTCTCTTTCCAGCATGGAATAAACCTATTACTTGTGCTGTGCTTACTACAGTGCTTGCTGGGATGGAGACTTTGACTGTGATTTTTAAGTCTAAAAAAAACAATGAAGTGGTTTGTGTAGACTTTTTTTTAATGAACAACACTCGTTAAATCTTTTTGCACCCAGGGAATCAGAAGGCACTGCTGTGGACTGTATTCCTTAAAAATGCTCCAACATTTGTAGAACATAATCTGAGTTGATAAAATATGTTTAGTGGCCTCAAATGCCATATATTATGTGTTTTGCATGTTTTCATGTGTAAAAAAAGTGACACACCCTTATGGACTCTCGCCCACAGATGACTACAGATTTGACATTATCAGAAGGATCTATTAAACCACACACAGCCTCTTCAGTCACGAGAGGAAACGTGACAATCCAAGTCAACCACAGCAATGCCACAACCGCATCGCCTAACAAATATGGACTGAAGCTGAAACCAGTTACCATGGAAATTACTTTTATTTTTAAAGGCTTTACCATATGTTCACTTTACTGAACTTTTACCCTGGTCTACCATGGTAAACCTCTGTAAGGGCATTCGATTCTGTAATCAAACTTAGGGACCTTGAGAAGGAATTCTGAAATGTTGAATCAAACGTTGACTGATGTTACTTGTGTAACTTGTCTGCAAACTATTTTTTGAATTGTTAATAAATCAATGCTATCATCTTCTTCCAAGTCTGCCAACATCCAGATCATTTTCATGAATACATTGACTTGGTTCAATCAATAGAATAAACAATCAGAAGACTGTTCACAAAGCATAATGTGTGACATGGTATTTCTATGTGGATCATACAAGAATTATTTTCTTCCAGCTGTCACTTTGAAACTGGGGCCACAATTGTAATAATAGCTCTGCTCTTGGACATTTTTCCAACACAATGATCCCCACTTAATTAGAAAGTGTATATCAAAGTGTTAGGCCAGAAACATAATTGGTATACAATTATCCAATTAAACATGAACACATTCTGGATTACTGTCCAGTCAGAATTCACTCTCATCAAAACAGAGATTCACTCATTTATGCATCTCAGCCAACCAGGAGAACACGTCACATTCATCTGTTATAAATGGACCTTTAGCCTTTCTTCTGCAAAAACAAATAAGATAAAATAAATACAATTAATAATGTCCAGGGCAGCCTGTTACCTGACACAGCTGTATATACATTATCTTTCAATTCATAATGAGACTGAGGAAGCCAAAACACTGTTTCCAGGTGGTTTATATATAAATAAATGTTTATACTGTAATATAGTGTATATATTTAATGAAAAGAGAAAAAACTCAAAACTATCTCAAACCCTTAAACAATCAATTATTTTCCGTTACATTTACACTCCATCAGTATTTTGAGTTTCCTATACCCTCCAAGACCCTTTTCACAAATGAAAATAGTCGGTGCTGTGCTTCTTCAGGTCCACCTTTTCTCCCAAAATGTAAAGACGGTCCTAGGCTGACCTAAATTTAGGCATGATTTTTCACCGCCACCACCCTGCAACTCACAACTAGCAACCCACTGAAGCTCAGCAGGAGTGAGCCTGGCCAGTATGGGAGACCTCCTGAAAAGCCAAGATTGCTGCAAGAAGAGGCCAAATTTCCCATTGGCCTTCATCAATCATGGCCTCCTAATAATCTCCGTCTATGAATCGACTTCATCACTGTTCTCCTCCCCAGTGATAGCTGATATGTGGTGAGTATACTGTGCTGCACATTGGTAGTGGTGGAGGGCAGTCCCCAAGTGCTTTGAGTGGAGTGTAATAATATATATATATATTATGTATTGTGATGATGATAATGTTCCAGGACAGCAGTCAGGTCAACATATACATGAGCTACCATGTTGTGGCATATTACCAGTAACAAACACCTAAGTAACAAAACACTACCAAACACTCCAGCAAGAAAAATGCAAAGACACTGTTGTGATTGAAAGATAAAAGTACAAGTTTAACATGTTTAATGTCAACAATAAGGAAATCATTTAATATTTGTCTTTAGAAATAACAGCAGTCAGATAGATTCTAAGAATGGTAAACTTCTATGTACATTTAAGGCATTGTGTATTTCTGAGCTGGAGTGACTGTTAGATATACTGTACATCAAGATATACTGTATGTAACTCATACCCTTAATTTAAATAGAAACTAAAACCAACCTTCACTTCCCCACAATGGTAATTGGAGACTGTCGAATTAAAGCTTTACAAAAAACGTTCTGATGTATGGACTGTCCCTGCACAATGTGGAAACCCAGATTGTCCAGACTTCATGGAAATATTGCTCAGAATAGAACTGTGTGTAGATTGACAGTAAAACCTGGCAACTGCCTCATCTAATAACACTTGTATTTGTGGCTATGGCTGTTAACAGTTGTAATATACAGTATAACTTTGTATCTTTAGTAAATTTGTTTGGGAACAGGACACATAGAAAGACATTTTATGGATGCTAACAATTTACATTAAATATGGTAAGTAATTGAGTATATTTGTGAAAATAATAATGTAATGTGTTAATGTTTCTTTATTAGCCCTATACAATTCTTGCATTAGGAGTTCATCTTTTCACATACCCCAGCTTTTCTCCATGAGACACAGACACACAGACAGGGAGAGAAGCTTGGGGTCAGAGCGCAGGGTCAGCCATTGTACGGCGCCCCTGGAGCAGTTGGGGTTAAGGGCCTTGCTCAGGGGCCCAACAGAGTAGGATTCCTCTGCCAGCTGCGGGATTTGAACTGGCAACCTTCCAGTCACAGGTGCAGATCCTTAGCCACAGAGCCACCGCCCCGCCCAAAAGAATTAAAGGAACCGGTGGGATTTGAACCCAGGACTTCCTGTTTACTAGACAGGCGCTTTAACCAACTAAGCCACAGCGCCAATATACATCTGTGCAGGGGTATGTACTGTCCCTTTAGAAGCCGTTATACAATAATGCATACCCAAAACCTTTGACGTGTTATATGGTCAACCTGATGATGGGTCTGAACCCCAAGATGGAACCAAACATCAAACAGAAATTTAGAAATAATACTGTACTGAGGAAATGTTTTAAAATAAAATTGTCAGGTAACCCTCAGTTAAGTCAAGGCCTGACAATGCACATTTTTGGTTTTAGTAGAATCATGTCCTTTTACTATTCAACATTTTCACATTTATGTGGCATTTACATTCACACTTTCCAGTCATCAGAACAATCTCACTAGGCTTCCTTAAATATGAAGTGTGAATGTGTATCAGCGGGCGAGGGGGTGGGGAAGGGGTCGCTAAATACTAACCTAAATTTGAAGTATCCGAAGGTTGACCCATGTGTGAAAGAGTTCAGTCCACTGAGGGAGAAAGATAGGACCATTTTGGTCTTAGCAAAGCAAAAGTTTGAGTACTCAACTGATCTAGAAAATAACTGGAAAACCTTTGTTTCAGCATTTTTAATTCAATTTGTTAAACACAATAGGGTTATAACTAGCTGCATACCTCACTTTAACAACATATACGGTTGACTTAAGTTTTTACCCTGCTGAGAAATATGCTGCTCTCACTGCTGATTGAACAGAATTAAACTACGCAAGGGTACACAAGCATTAAAAAACAAAGAAAGAGAAGCAGTACAACCAAATGGAGAACTAAATCAATAAACAAAATAAACAGGCAGTTGTTTTTTTTAAGTCTCTAAAAATTAAGTTGTGCAAAGCTGATTTATCAAACTAAATTAATCTGTGAACAAAAGAGCATTCCAAGGCTGTTTCCGTAGTGACCAAGTACAAGCCCCCAGACACATGTTTTTGCTGCTCAGACAAAATTACCAGATAGTTAATTCATTCAGAAGTAAAATGTGCAGCTCGTATTTTAAGCACACTTCCGAAACCCCTGCCATATAAACACAAACACGCACACAAGGAGACATTTTCTGAAGTAAAGGTTGAGCCTCTCTCTGTAGTCCAGTATCCTCGAGATTAGATTGGGACTGTGTGAAGTATTTTCCCAGGGATTGCAGTGTGGAGGGAAATGAAGCATGCTCTGCTGCTCTGACCCTGGCTTCACATGCAAGGCAGGAATAAAAGCTCTGGAAGTGGTATATACACTGCAGAAAAACGCAGACTGTCAACAAAGGCACCAGGTACACAGAGCTGCCTGTGACATACTCCAGCTGGGAAACGAGTGACCTGAGCGACCGCCTCTTTCACTCACTGAGGACAAAAGAGCACACTACTGATAAAGAGATGATTCAGATGTGAACGTCCAACAATGCTAAAAAAGTAATACACACACGGCTGCTTTCATTTACAATATTGAAGTATTTTTTGTTAAAATTAATCATGGTAAAATTATGTGTTTCCTATGTTCATAAACATAAGAGGGGAAATGAGCTTCAAATACAGTTTCAAGCAGCTTTAAAACACTCTTTTATGACAGCAGCACAGTTGTCAAAAAGTGAACACCTTTTACGCAGAATAAAATAATTCAGTTTAACTTTTTCAATATTTGAAGATAATATCAATCAAACCTAATGAAATAAAAATGCATTAGTGCGTTTATTAATACTGAACTACAGTAACGATGCTATGAAAGTAATTTTCTTGCACTGGGTCTAATATTGTGATACAACTTTTGTATTATTTTGACACAGCATTAATGCAAGGATGGAAGCAAAGGTGCTGCCATCATCTGAGTTTTCTGACCAAATTAACCTCATTGGATTTTTCTTGCACGCACACAAGTGTCTCCGCAATCTTATCAAATGTGCAGGAGGGGACAGCACCAGCATTCCACTCGTCCACCTTCTTCAAAATGGCAAAAGGACTTTAGGACACACAGTCAACAGCAGTGCCGGAATCAGGAGATGAACCAGATACACCAGAGCACTTGTAAAATCTTAGTAACTAGCCTGAAATAGCAGTGAAATTATTATAATTTAGCAATAAACATTCTTTTTTTAATAGTTCAATGCCAAGCAAGGTTATTGCAAAATAAAAACTTTTTGCACAATACAATTGGAACAGGGACTTCAGTCCTTGTTTAAAGAGTTGACAGTTGAGTGCAAATGCATACATGCCTTTTTATCATAAATTTTTCATCTTAGATTGGGTGATTGGATTATGACCCTTATTTTACTGTGCCCTCAAAATGATAGAGCAGTCCTTTAAGTTCTATATCTCTTTGTTAAACTTACTTCTGAAATATAAATGGCAGAGTATTGTTAAGGAATACACACTAGTTTGTTTTGTGTTGTTGCCTGTTTTGAAACTTTAAAATAACCTTAAAAAAATACATTAACAAGTCCGAAACCAAAAAAAAATACACCAACGCAAAGAAAGCCAACCAACAGGAAACTACAGATAAGTCCAATTTATGAGATTCCTATAACTTGTTTCTGGTAAGAAATAAAATTAAAATAGAATTCAAATGTATCAACCGTCTAAAGTTTTATTTAATTACAAGACTATTCCTAATACAGTGTCTGGGATTCAAAACAGGGAAAATATTCAAAACACAGCAAGAAGAATCAAACCACAGAGGGAAAAAAAACACCCTTAAAAAGCCGGGTTACATTTATGCTCAGACTAAACATTTGTCATCTGTTCCATTTTATTTGAAAGAATGCTTTGTTCTCTACTTGATGCTCATTTTACAGCTCAGAATGTACTTGCATAGGCTTTTCCTTAAACCTTCATATTTTCAGTATCAAATGTCACTTCAAAAATAACATGATATCTATGGCCCTACCTAAACTGTGGTAAAAATATGAAAAAATTGCAGCAGAGTGGCAGAGAAAGCAAGACAGCAAAATGTAAAGTACAGTAAAGAAAAAAAATATTTTCATAACAGTAATTTAACAGTTCCAATGCTATTTATTTTCCAACGCTATTTAATTAATTTAGAATATAAATGCCGAAATTATGAAAAGCAACATTTTGCATCATTTTAAGTGCTATAATGTAAAACAGTCACATAACACTGCAACAGTGGCAACCCGTTATCAAAAACCTGTTACCTGCGTATGGTTTGAAAAGAAATCCAAAAACTTGCTTAAAACTTGGCTAAAGTTGAGAACACCTCAACAAATTCAAATTCACAACTCTTGGTGTTAATAACAGAGCAAATATGAGCTGGCATTTGTCTTCTGACATCAGTCTTCGCTGAATTGTCTTTTTTTTTAATAAGCATCAATACCAAACATGTACGTGTGGCCTAACAGTGAGTGCTGGAAAGTGAAAAAGTGAAGCTTCAATTTCTTAACGTTTTCTATTGTTTTCTATTGTTTAACAAAATATCTATCTTCTAACTAGATAAGGAAATGTACAGGTAAGCTGGATCATAGATGTAATGATGATCAACTTGAAAAAGGAATGAATGACATTGTTCATCTCAGTATCTGTAAAGTGAAATCTTGAAATTCTGTAAAACACAGAAAAACCGCTTGGAAAGTCAAAATACAGTCACAGTACTTTGCTAGAAATTGTAGTAGAAGCCTGTCAAGAGATTCACAATTTCTGACATGTAGCATCGTAAGTAGAGCCCTGATTATATTATAATAAAGTATGTGTATATACTGTATATAAAACACACAATTCCAAGTCATACTACACTTGGGAGAGAGATCATATGCATATATAACAAAAAAATGTAGTCTTCAATATTTACTGAATAACATTCCTATGGATATTGTAAGTGATCAGATCCATTCTTCTGATGACCCCAGTTTTATTGGAGATGTGTTTTTCTGGAGTGACAGAGGCCCAGTGTGTAGTGGGGCTCACAGCTCTGTCTTGCCATCTTTCTCACCTGAGCTGCTGTTCTCAAGCCCCCCACCCTCCTCCTTCCCTGCCCCCTCCCCGGAGGCCGAGGTGCCAGAGGTGCCAGATGCTTGCGCCTCAAGCAAGAAGGCTAAGGACGCAGAGTTAATACAGTATCGTTTGCCAGTCGGACGGGGGCCATCGTCAAAGAGATGTCCCAGATGTGCCCCACACTGAAATGAAAAAGAACATGTAACGAAAAACGTTATTGTAATTTCCTTTTTTGTTGACCACTCATGGAGGTTGGAAAACTAAAAGTTAACACTGCACTGTGAGAGGAGAGGTGGGGGTAGGTTGGAGGCAAGACAGCCTAGTTTTCTCTGTGGCACCCCAAGTAATAATGAACCTAGCCACCTCTCGGACACGAGCAGGGTCAAACCTATTTAAAACAACTGATTGTAAAATTACGCTGCCTCCTTAAAAGTTTGAATTATGATTTGGGGGCCCTGTGTACTTTTGTATTTGTAAATTTCCTTATTGTGCAGTGTTATCACTTAGCATAGTGGCAGCCCCAGTCACTGACCAGTGTCAACCTGTTAGACATTGCATAACTAGAATGTGCAGCCAGACCTCAGATCATACTGTCTTGAGCACTCTGTTCACAATTTAAATGCCCAAATGAATGTAAAACTTTCTAACAGCAAGGATCTAGTCTTTGTTGAACCAGGATTTGTAATCAGCCCATTATATGCTACAAGCCCTGTTAGTCATGTTATGAATACTTTCATGTTTTGCAACTAAAATAAATAAGTTTTAAAACTATTGAAATAATCCAGTACAACAGCTGAATAAGATCTATTAGAAAGGAAAAATATTAAAGGGGAACTGCAACATTATTTTCACATTTCAGGATTCAATCAAAGAATTGGAATTGATGACCGCATATCAAACTACAGTGAAAGTACAAAGTACACAGTGATGTGTAAAATGTCCACTTAACACCATAAAACAGACAATTTCCAGGTATGTGCAGTGCCATATTGCTGTCATTGTGATTCAGAATGAGGCACAAAACGTTCAGCGACATGAACCGGCACTATTACAATGTAAATAAGCATGCTTATAAATACAGCTCTTTTAATCTGAAAAAAATGTTGCTTAGTCGTAAAACCATATTTAATGCACATCTTAACTTAGGTCTTAAACAATTACGATAAAAAGGATCACTTAAATCAAGAAGATTTCACCCTCTCACTGTGTTCTTTTCATCAGTTGCTTTTATGAGCAAAAATAAGCCTGTAAAACCTTCTACAACAACAGTAGAAATGGCAACTTGCAAAGGTTTTGGTTCAATTTCTGGCATGGAACATATTTCATATTATAAATTGTCAGGTTTCACAATCATGTAAATTCCAAAGCAGAGAAAATTTCAATTCAATGTCCTATCCAAATGGAAAAGATTTAAAAAACAGCCTGTTTCTTTCTGTTGAAATAAAGCAACAGCTTTAGACTAAGCAAATTTTACTACTGTATTAATTTATAAATAATGTTATGAAACCAACACATACAAGACAACATTTTTTACATACTTTGTCTAGACTACCGATTCAAAAGAGTGCAACTGAACTGAATTCAACATATCGACTTCAAGACCATTTTGTCGACAAATACTACTTCTTGTTAACTCTGCATGCAGATCATGATGGAACACTTCAGTGGTGATATGTCTGTGCACCACTTATATTTCTGCGCTTGTACATCGCGCTGAATCTCATCGAGAAACTTGTCAGTGGGACCAACATCAGAGTATGTTTATTACCATCTTTTGGCTAGGTGAATATCCCTTGGATTGACTTTCTGCTGATTCAATCGTCTGTTTTGTGTGCGGCCACTATGTGCTGCACAGCTAAATGCTCGACAGCAAGGCATTGTTTAAAACGTATACTGTAGGTGAGTTAGAAGACCATGTTTCTCATTTCCTTACAGAAACTAGTGATCAGGAAGGGCCATTTATGTCACAACTTTCACTCTAGGCTGTGGTGAGACCAGCATCTTGCTACAATATGGCGACCACACAGTACTTTCACAAAGTTCACAATTCTGTGCTTAATTCAAAAGTTGTAGAATTTTACTATGCTGTCAATTAATTTATTTTGTGACCAAGATTTTACACCTTGTCTGAGAATTTGGGACTGCAGTTCCCTTGAACGATATGAACTGTTTTGTATCCATTTCACCAAACCTCAAATACTGAGGCATTAAAATACAAAATAAAAGCAATTGGTTCCAAGGAGCCAGTACAGATTTGTAACCCTTTAAAATTATTTCTATATATTGTTTATCGTGATAATGTTGTTAAACTACTCTGCTTCATAGCCTTCATTTCAGTTGTAAAAAGAACATACCTGACTGCAACTAGTTTCAACTCTGTGCATTCCATAAGAGAAGTCATCAGTGAGACAGACTGCCTCTGGTGTTATCAAGTCAAAGAACGAAGGCCATCCTGAAGGGTGAAAGAAATCACGTATTAATCGATTTAGCTCATTACTTCCAGTGCAAGACATGCCCCTGTTACTGCAGCAGCGCGTTCTTTTCTAATTCCAGATATTGTTATGCATCCCCTGCACGGCCATTTTAAAAGTGTGCTCGCAAAGGGTTCTGAATGTTTACCATCAGGAATAACTGAACACAGCCTTTTAGATAAAGAACAGCATAGCAGTAAACGGGGATTGATAAGTCGCATTTGGAATGGGAATACACAAAAATGCTACACTGAAAGTTTCAAAGATAATAAAGTAATATCCATAAAATGTAGCAGTGAATTACAGTGTGATGCTGTTGTTGAAAGTGGTAAACAACATTGCAGAATTGTCTGCAAGGGAGAGGTTAAAACTGCTTTATGTATATAAATGGAAGCTTTATAATGAAAAAAAGTTGTAATGAAACAAGTTGGAAGACTCTTGACTCGAGCTTGTTTTGGTATATGCTAGGTACACTTCAGACAGCTCTGATGTAATAGGCTGAACTCCACAATCTCTCTCTCACCCATGACTACACACAGAGCTGTGCTATTGGTAGGTGGAAACCACAATATAAAGCACTGATTAAAAACATGCAGGGGCAGGATTCCCTCCACTATTTCTTGGCGGCATCCTACCTCACTCAATGTGGAGGGTTTTGGACAAGTTCCTCTTTCTTTTTGGCTGCAGAGCCAGTTTGCATAGTTTATTTTTCCAGCTCATTCCAGTGGTGCTTGAAAGACTTTCATTTGTGCCTGCCCCCCACCACACATGCTCATTTCCAGATCCCTTTATATTATTTTAAAAGCAAAAATGTTGATCAAGTATAAGGGGTTAATCATTCACTTAGATGATCGAATAAAATGTATATAGAAATCTATGAGCATTGCTTGTGTCTCTGCATGTAAAAAAATAAATTAAGAGGGTTCTGTCACATGCTAAAAAGGTGCTGAATTATTGCTAGCTTTTTAGTGGAAGGTAGTGACCCCTACTGGTGGTTTCATTGTGCCTGTTGAATTCCATGATTCTTCTGACAAAACGTAAAACCTGTACTATAAATGGTACTATAAATGGCCTGCAAGACCAGTACTGTAGGTTGTATTCCTCTTTAAAGCAATAAAGATTCCATTAGAGCTCATCCCAAACTACAACACAATATTCAATGCAGTTTTTTTATACTGTAGATACCTTATGTAAGAGCTTTACATTTAATTGCAAAATACTTTCCATAATATGCAGATCTAAGTATTCTGATAGTATGAATCAAAACGTTTTAAGGACTTCATCTTTTAAAACTGCTTTTGCCTTATTTAACATTTAAATGCTAGAAAACAGTCTCAGATCTTCAAATAAGAGACATCAAAGGTCTTCATGCTGTTTCGTCACAACATGACAGAGGAACATCCCATTTTTAAAAGATCAATTTCCAATCTGCACTATAAATCATGCACAGGAAAGAAAGAAACTTTTTGGAGATAATGTAATTTATTTTAAACATAATATAATTTCCACCCCAAAACCTAATATAGAATGAAACACCACAGATGAGAAGCTTATCCAAACTTATTGTCCATTTTAAGCATACTGAAAGATTGAGGCACAGTATTTTAAACCTCTCTGTTCATTTTCACACACTGATTGTAATTAGACTACAATAAATACAAAACATCAAGTATAAATGCTGACAGAAAGGTCTAAAACTAGAGAAGGCATTCTACACACAAGCATATGGCATACCCTGTGGTATATTAAACAGTGTTAGTTTTACTCACATATTAAAACAAACAGGCTTTGACACATCCCAAAACTGTAATCCCCTTTTGGGATTCTGGTAGTGATGTCACATATGTATTTTTAATTTAATGCTGTATTAATCGTGAGATGCAAGATGACAATAAAAAATGCATAATTTAGACTCATTCAGATGAAGCTCTTAGACCAGAAAGATGCATTCTCATGGGACTGATCTTGGAACAACCAACAAACCTGCATGTTTGTACTTAGTCCTCACCCTCTGTGATGCCTCTTATGAATGAGGAAGTGAGAGCTTTACCTTTGTGCTACTATTTTAACTGATGAACGCCACACATTACTGCAAAGAACTGCCACCATGAAATTGGTGATTATCCTCTCTAGCTCATTTTAAATTACTTGACTTCATTTATGCAGATAAGTCAATCAGAAACACTCTCCCTTACAATGACAATATGGAAAGTATGCATTTATACAGCACACTATTTACCGGAGAAATTTAAGTGAAGTGCTCAATTGCTCAAGGGTACAACAGCAAGTTCCCACCATGGATGTGAACCCCTGACCCCCCCCATACAAAATGCAAAGCCCTAACCACTGCTCTACAATCCTGCCTCATTCATTGTAGCTTGTATATACATGTAATATATGTATTATATATGCATATTAAAACACATTGTACATTGCAATATACTGTACATCTACTGTATACAGGAATAAGGCCAAAATGATTTTAATTGGCTCTCCCCATCAGGTCTCAAAGTTAGACTAAAATTTACTTCTAGTGATGAAGAAATTATTCCTTCAAATTCTGTTAAAAATGTAAGGGGTGATTTTTTAATCTCTGCAACACATTCCTTCTTCTATCTACAAAACACATCAGTTTAAGACTCGTTCTTTCTCTTTCTTCCTGATGCTGAGAAATGAGTTCTTCTTTTTGTCTCCTCTAGACTAGACTTCTGCTATGCTTTGTTACTTGGGTCATCCAAGAAATTACTTCAGAAACTCCAGCCTTATGCTGCACACCAGGATTCAGAGCCACTTTAACAGCGACTCCACCAGCTTTGGAACATTCTTCCTGACCATCTTAAAAAACACGCCCTCTGCTGATTTCAAAACTTACTTGTTCTCGACGGCCTTCAATTTCTAACATCATTCTTTTAATTTAATAATTTATATGTTTTTTACATTATTCTTTTTCTGCTTCTGTACAGATATTCTGATAGATACGAATGTATGCACATTCAGATGGTAAACTTCATTTAACAATACATTTAACAATCTACACGGACTCTCAAATACATAAAAATCGACTTGCTAAAACGAGTAAATTATATATTGGATAAACAATTCAAAATAAAATCTTTAGAATCACTAGATAGAAACTGTAATAATTTTAAACAGTCAGTGTATGGGTGGTCTCATCATAACATCTTCAATAGATGCGTACTGTTTCGGTGCTTGTCAGAAAAACAAAAGGTGTTGTTTTGTGTCAAGCCTTTGCCAAATCTGATTGTCTCTATGGAACTACATCAAGAATAAAACCCTGTGTTCAATATTACTGCATACTAAAAGTCTTTATGAAGAAGCAGACAGAGACCACACATTTTCAAAGATCTCCGAAAACGTCATGTAGAGCGATTCCAGTTTCAAACATAAAAATAGCAAAAACCAACAAGCCTTGGCTATATCCCAAAATATTACAAAATAAATACAAATTCAAGGGTTTTTCCCCCATTAAGGTGAAAACAAACGTATACAGCTTAGGAATCTGTGTCTGGATCTGAGTGCCTCTGCAACAATCAAAACATTCAATAAATCATTCCTCAGAATTCATGGTCAGCCTAGACTACTGGGTGAGTTAAAACACACACAGTTTCTCAAACTCTAAACATATGGTAAAACCACTGAAGATATGCTATCGAAAACCCACAAAGGATAGTCCAATTTCTTGGCACTGCCTACCTCCACTGTTTTACCGCCCTCATTTAAAACACACATCTGTAACACACAATAACAATAATGCTATTATTGTGTTTCTTTTCTTTTCAGTATGGAATAAACCTTTATCTGTTCCAGGCTACGCATGCAGATGCAGCTACATACTCAAACTGCATAAACAACAACAACAACAACAACAACAATAATAATAATTATGATAATAATACAAAGTTAGGACCACAGGGTTTTCATTTCTTTGCTTTATCCTGGATTTCACCCCCAAAAGCTATCCAAAGGCATTTTCTCATTAATTGCTAAATGGTCCCACATAGTGGTAACTCTATATCATTTTCCTCTTCTCCAAGTGAGATGAAAACCTGATGGAGTAGGTGGAGCTGTGCACAAATAAGGAAGTAAAGACACAGACTCAGGAGCTTCAATTCAATGTAAAGAGAAAAAAAGAAAGGGTAAAAAAATGGGGCTGTATTTCAGAATATCATTGAACTACCTGATAGAAAATGCAGATGTCATGTAGTAGTGGGCTGCTGTTGATCTTAGAAAAGTAAAAATATGTAGTGCACTAAACTTAATAGTCAGCTCAAAATTAATAGTTGCATTCCTTGAAAATCAATGTGTGTGACCTAGCTCTGCTGGTATATCATGCAGACCCTGAGAATATGGTCATTTACAAAGTGACTGTTTTAAGCAGTCTGGCCAATAACTACAAAGAAATAATATCCCAATGAGACACAGGAAATTCTTTGGGGAAAGAAAAAAAAAATCTATGACTCAGAAGATAAAAAATGTCCATGGATAGTTATTTAACTAATCAAATTAATAAGTATTATCAATACATAAAGTACATGTGTGTGCAGTGTAGAAAAGCTTAAAAAAATCTAAACCTGGATTCAGTTCTTGGTACAAACTAGACTTGGCTATTGCCATGCGTTAAATTACTTTAGGTTTAAGAAAGCTACTTAAAAAAACATTATCTGAAACCTCTGGAATTTAAGACTTTGATCCAATTTAGGCATGCATGTGTGTTGCTACCATTACAGCTTATTAAAATATCTTTTCACATTACTTAGCAGGAGACAAGGATAGTAGGACAATTAGAAAAGGTTATGAAGGCCTTTGTCTAAAGAAAACTTCCTGGGCCTCAGGAAATCTGGAAACTGTTTACTTTTAAAGCTTTAAGAGTTACTTTATGTATACTGTATTTCACTTTGACTCGGGCTGGAGGTACGCATACATTTTGTCCATTAACTATTGTTTTACATTTCAGTAAGTGACCAGAAGACTTAATTTTTTTAAATGATGTTTCAGCAGGTTTAGTCATTTTCAACTACTGTGTTCTAATGTTCCCATTTAATATAGTTAATACACAATCTTCAAATCAGTATCACCAAAAAGGAATGTGGCAGACAGTAAACATGCACATGGTTCAATTTGCCTCATAAATCTGAATGCAAGGGCTTTTACACATTGATTATATGAAAACCCTTTTAACTCCCAACCTATTCATGTCTACAAAGCAAAAATATAGCAAGGTTTTTCGTTCAGTTTAAAATTAACTGTTACTAAAATTCTCTATACATGAAAGCATTAAGCAGCTGTGGTTTCTTTGAGATGACATGAGAGGTTATAAAGTAAAAAGCCTATTTATGGAAAATACATTTTTCTTGGCACACAAAATCCTTAAATGTGGTTATGATTACATGTACACATTGGAAACAAACGTATTGTAGTCCCCTCACTAGTATTTCCCAGGAGATAAATTTTATTTTATACACTTTCCTTTTCAACTCCTTCAAATGCAAAAATTCCTTAGGAAATTATGATGCATGAAAACAGACTGAATTTAGTTTCTTCAACAAGAATTCTAATTTACACTAGTGGCTGTGTGCCAAAGTGCAGTAGAAGCCTGGTGTTTACAGCTCTACAACTTTCATTACAGACCTAATAATTCTTCTTTGGTTCGGACACAGGCAAAGAATACACTGCGCAAATTTAAACAACATTTAACAGCTCTTGAACCCAGCCATTCTCCAGGATTAATCTGGAGATATGCATATTTAACTGAATATCAGACCCAAGTCTAAAAAAAGGAAGTGTCTATTTTTTTCTTTAATTTAGTCTAGGGAAGTTTCAGATCCACATATTTATTTTGGTTAGATTACCTACTCTACTTAAAATAGTAAATGTTTACACTAGCAGACAAGAGAATGTGTGATGTATCAGAGCTGTCAGAATCCCTTTATAAACCAGATCTGAAAATGGGCTCATATAATCCACAGAGCTATCCTTTACACATGTGGATTACAGTGTAACTAACAACCCTGTAACAAAATAAAATCAAGCAGCATTTTCTAGAAGTTGCATATTTTCTGCTTTTTTCATCAAATGATGTCTTTATTTTTTTTCCCACAAAGAACAACAATTTCCTGAAGAAATCAGAGCACACTAGCTAAAATGCAATGATTTAATTTCATTGACTAATTTGATTAAAGCATGCAAGACACATTTATTTTTTTTCTAAAACAAAAGCAAAAGAGTCCCAATCTACATTCAATCTTTATCTGCAGGAGAATATACAAAGACTTAGAACACATTCAAGCAACACAACCCTATTTTCAAAATGTAAGCTCTTCTGCCTATATAGTGTCGTATTTATTTAAGGATGTTTTAAATTAAATAAATAATATTAGAAATGAATTTTCTAATTATTTGTTTCTCTTTATATGTTTGAACATGAATTGCAAAGAACTTTCAAATCTTTAGGAGATGAATAGGCACGCCTGTCCATCTCCTATAATGAACAGGCTGGCCACTACTAATTTCAAGGGTGCAATTCAGAATAATAAGTCACTGACAGTGTCTCATCCAAATAGGACCTAACTCCAGGGTCTTTGGGTTTTATTTTTGTCAAACTCTTAACTACAGCAATTACTGGCTTAATTTGTTGTGACTAATGCTATCTTTAAAACTGGCTTACTTATTTGAGACTGATATGATCTTTAAATACCAAGTGAAGACAGATACAGATAAACAGAACATACAGATAAACAGATTAGTGTTGTCAAGGCTAGGGGTTGCAGAACATTAGCTGTAGCCTGTTTTGTAGACATTTACATATTCTGTTTTATTAACTGTTGTTGTCCATGTGGTGATGGGGTGTAATTAGTGTTCATGTAAAAAGCATAAAAAAATTAGAAAACACTAATACACTTGCACACTGCACTTCTTTCAGTCCTTTTTATATATCTGGAAATTAGTTTGAGAGCTTAGCTACCTTGGAAAATGCTACTGCTAATTAAAATTCGAATGAATAACTGAAATCAAAAACAGTTTAATATCCATATATATACTGTATAATATGCAGGGCATGTTGCAATTAAGTTGCAATGTTTCAAATGGGAAAGGAAAGCAGATATGTCACATTTCATGTTCATTCCAGTAAATTACTAACGACACTGCATGCCTCAATTAATTCTGCGATTTCATAGGAAAATTTTCAATTTGTATGGTATCAAAAAGGGCAATAATTTAGATTTGAAAAAATTCCTAGGGATTCTTCCATTTATAGACAAAATACTAATTACACAATCTGTTAATTAAAATTACTTTTTAACCATAAAGTAAATTTGTTACTTTTTTTCCTGTATCCCATTAGCCATCTCCCTACATATACACTCATTCCTGTAATCATCCATAAAAAGGCTTTTAAGGTCATGTTTTAGTTTTTGTAATGTAAAATAAAGAGGCCAGATAAAAGCAAATGCTCTCATAATCTGTCTATATAGATGCATAGCCTTGGAGACCATTGATCATGATAATCAAAACAGCCCGCATATAGTTTACAAAACTATAAGCTTGTACCCCGATAAAGCTGCAAAATGGGTGATTTTATTTTAAGCAAACATTAAAAATTTAACAAGGCAGGTTAAGTATACCAGTACTTTCCTTGCTGGAACCGTCTTCAGAAAAGATAGTCAATCTTAGCCCAAATCCCAAGGAGTCAGACTCGCTAACCTTTTTTCAAGTAGAATTGTATTTGTAAGCACATTTTATACCCATTTCTTTGTCATGACCAATTTAGCTTAAAAAAACGTGAAGCAATGTCAATCCAGCATCAGAATTAATCAGTATTCCCCCCTTGCAGGGTGTATAGTACTCCTAAAAAGTTTTGGATTTTTTAATCAGGTAATGGCATCACTCGCTCAGTGCTATCACACTTCCCATATGTCCATGACTTCCTGTCTTTTTCTGCTGCTCTGCAGTGCTTTTAAGATATCTTAGCACATACAGACAATAGTGTGGAGATGCTGTACAAAAAGTGATGTTTTATTGTTAGGATTTGTATCTTCTGATGGCTACTGCAGCTGGCATCATTTCATGTGTAAGGGGAAAATATCAAGCAGGAGAAAACAAACGTATTTGATCACCAGCCAATATATTTCAAAATAAATGACCATGCTTTGACTTACATGTAGCAGTAGTATATATTTTTTAACTCTAGCTACCCTTTAATGTAGGAAAAGCACAGTGATATTGTGGTAGGTCATAGGTATGGCAATGTGTGATCAACTGGCAAAAATAAAAGAAATGTCAAAGCACACTAGTGCATTCCAACCAAGGATATAGGTGCCAACCTGAATAGTTTACATAAGCCATATACTGTACACCATGTCATTCAGACAACAAGTGCAAAGGGCATACTTGGGCTCCTAACAAAGTGCACTAAGCATGCAAGCTAATAATGAATGATGACTGGAAAATTGCAGAACACAGAAAACAATGTATTTAGATACTCATAACATACTTGGATTTCTTAATTTAACCATTCCATCAGCATTTAATTTTAGTCAAAGGGATAACCGGAGATATGCTTATATTTGACTTACTACTTCATTACTTCTGTTTCACCTATACATTTTTTAAACTTTTATCCCCCAATTTTCTTTTCTCTATTGGATTTTTTATTTTTACTTTTTTATACCACACATATGTGACTGTCTAGAGTACAAAGGAAACATTGTGAGCGCAAACCATCTGATATCACAAGGCACAAACTTCCAATTACCATGGACTCAACTCAAAGGAAGGGTAAGAAAAGAGACCTGACAAGCCATTCATGCCTGCAGTCATCAGCTATTAAGGGTCAAGGCTGAGACCCTCCAAAGAATCTACAAAAGTCAGTGGGTAAACTGGAGTTGACTAATTTACCTTGTGGATTATCTATGTTACCGTAAGATTAAACAGGAAATCATACTATTTCACAATCCAGGACTCTGTTTTTACAGAAGGGGGTGTGTGTACATCTGCTTGGGGTGAGAGTTACTAAAATAAAGAATGTTGTTGAATGGAAAATGATATGGGACAAAATACATACTTTTATAAGTGGGTCACTGATTTCATTATTTGACTATGATATGATTTATTTCACTTGCATTTTACTTTTATTTAATAGCACATTGACTACATTAATTACTTATTGCATGTCTGAATGTATCCCTAAATGAACTGAACCATCCTTCAACCATTGGTGGTACTGGAAGCTTATTTAATAACATTATCCCACCTTGGTATAAATATCTGCAATTACTATGGCCATATTACAGGATATCACAAGCACATTTAATAAACACATCGCTTTACCAGGTAGAAGGATGCTCTTGAATGGTACATCAGCAAAAAAGCACCATTAATGATTTATTTAGGATTGTGCAGAAATTCAGATGTAGATTTGATGGCATTCGGAGGAGTGTATAATTTAAAATGTTTATATGGACGAAGATTCATTAAACACGATTGAAGTAATTCCGATTAAGATGCAAGAAATATTTTGTTGAGATGTTGAGAAACCTCTACTGAACTGTTCACAAGCAATCACTGTTTTAAACATGCTCCACAAGATAACCCTCACGCTGCTAACATTACAGAGCACTTTCAAAGTAGTGTAACACTATGCCTATTGAACACAAAGACACCAACCATGGTTTCTTTGTCAGTATAATTTAAACTTTATAAAGATGCAGGAGAATTTTCTAACTTTTCTAAAATGTTTTCATGAAAACAATATCCAGAAACACAGAAGGGTGTTACATCTTCAGTCTCTGCAAATAAGCAAAGAAAACCAGAGATTTGGGGTTCACTTCCTTCACATGCTGAAGGTTGATCTATTTATATGTTTAGCGGAAGATGACAATTTACACTGCCTCAGAACATCCCATCACTGTTCAACAGTTTTAACAGAGATATAAAGGAGAGCTTACCTGACCCAGAGTCAAACTTGGTTGTGGACCTGCAAAAGAAAAACCAGCATTAACAGAGATTAAAAGGTAAAAACGATCACAAGATTTATTTTTCTTCAGATATGCATGAAACAACAGACCCAATTTCCTTCACAAATATAAAAAAACAGGCAAATAAACAGGCAAAAATTAGACAGGACAAAACCTTTTTAACCACAGATCGTGTCCTTGGCAGGTAGACATGCTTTCTTGAAGAGATATACTTATTTTACAGGAGAAAAATGAAACTTGAATGTAGTCCTTCCCCAAATCTCTGATTATTACCAAAACAGCAAATGAATTAGCCCATCACAGTCCAATCCAATGAGTTGGTATAAAATACCAACTTTTACATAGTATTAACATGTAAAAAACATTAATTTACATGTTTTTTCCTTTTAATTACTCCAGAAAAGAACTACTACTGAAATTACAATCCAATTGGATACAGGATAGCCATCAATAAAACATGTGAACCCCCCCCATTAAATGTCTTACCTTAATATTTTTTATCAACTTACAAACTCATTAACTGTGTTAAAAGTAATCAATTTTGATTAGCTCACTTGAATCCTCCTATTGACAAAACAATGACTCTTCAACTTCTTGTAGCACATTTCATACAGGCTGACCAATCTGGTGAGGATTTACCCGTGCAATACCAACATCCTTTGGAAATAGTTTTGCATGTGATATTCTTCATTTGGCTTTTATGCTTAAATTGGTAAATTTCTTCTGAACCCTATGAAGCTTATTTTGCGCTGGTGGTCCAAACTGAAGAAAAACTATAAATTTTGCTGAAATGAAGAAATTGCTCTGATTGTCAATTCAGATTGATTGATGTTTACAGGTAGATCTCAATTTACAAGACAGATTCTTCTAAACAGCTTTGTGTACTGTAAATCAACAATAATAAGAATTAATTTCCCATAAGAATGCATGCAGTTAGCGGATGCATTCAGTGTCTGCTCCCAAATGAAAACCTTAAGCATTTATTTTATTATTAATTAAACATTAATATAGTTGTACAAAGAATTCTTGTTTAAAGTAAATGTTTGTTAATTTATCACTTTCAGAAAAAATGTGAAGGTAAGTGTCATTAGTGGTGGCTGAGTTTTTAAAAAAACTGACTTTTTAATGAAGCTGGTTTTGTTATAAGGCTTTTTTAACAAATATTTTGCACTTAACTTAATTTTTTAGATTTTTTTCCCCCAAATAGTAGCTTAATTACCTTTAGTTCTCATTTATTTCAGACTTCAAACATACAGCATAAGCAAAAGGCACATTAAGATAAAGAATCTCTAGATTTATTCTGCATTAAGACCTTTGGGGATGTTAGAAATTACACATTATTTGCCAACAATTAATCATCCAACCATAAGAAATACAGTACATCAGTATCAGAATAAATAATGCCCAAAACAATCAATATCTTAATCATCATCATCATCATATTTATTTATATAGCACCTTTCATTAAATTGTAACTCAAAGCGCTTTACAGAGTGAGCATAAAAAAACATCATAAAAATATGAAGACATAAAAGATATTGACAATAATAAGGATTAAGGCAGAGATAATTTAAGATGAACAGTGGCCAGTGCATTACACAAGTGACACTGTTCATCCTGGCATGCAATTGGATACACACAGTGTACTGTATATCACCTTAAACACACTGCCTGGTGCTGGCCACATCCACCCATGATCAAGAGAAAACTAGTCGTGTCCTAAATTAAGAAGCACAATATATTCTTGAGGGATGTAAATCCAGAACTGCACAAATGAAGATTTTAGGAAATGTTGAACATGCTTTTCTGGCATATCAGTGTTCTTCCCATCACCTCCATCAAAGAGAGGATGTCATCTAGAAGAGGGATAGGCTGGTTGAGTGGGAGGGTCTTGGTCTTCTATGAGTGACAGTGTCTTTCAGAGGGGGCAGCAGGTCGAGCTGTTTAGCAGAGATTGCCAGCATTCGTAGAATGCATTTCTATGCTTTCCTGTGCTTACAACATTGACATTGTTCCAAAATCATGCACATTCTCCTACCTCCATATTTGCTGGAGATAACTTTTTTTAAATACAATTGGTCACTTGCGTTCGTAGCATGCATTCCTATAGAATGGTATAGAATTGCATAGTAGCTCTTGTGTTCACTTACGTATTAGCACGCACTGTATCGTAGTACATAGGCTGCGTATTTGACACAAACTAATTTTATTAAAATAGAAAATATGAAAACCCGTTCCAATTTTTCAGTGCACACTACAAAGTTCCAGGGTCATATGTTGTACCACCTGGCGGCACTCCATAGTTTGAGAACCACTGGTTTATACAGTATGTGAGGAGGAGAACCTTAAAGTCCTACAAATGTTATAGTCACATTGACTGCAGAAAAGGCTTGGAAATACATTTTGAATCATGACACAAAATGTTTTGGTGAGCTCAGTGGGTTGCAGCATTCATTTTATTTCCTCAATGGGATACGCAATCAAATACTGATCTTGCATTCCACTTAAGGAATGTGTCCCTATGCTTATTGTCACTTGAAGTCACTGGCATGTATGTTTTTCATCGAATATGATAAAATCTATGCGTATGGAATTACTCAAAAATAAAACATGATAATGCACTTATTGTTCATACTAATGTCAGGATCAACAACCCTTTTGCTTTTCTCTAAACAAAATAACAGTTTTGACTTTGCTGTCCCAGTATTTTCCAAAGAAGGAATAAGAAGAGGTACGGCAGATAAAAGTACAGTCCATATACTGCAAATGGAGAGTATATCTAGTGGAAACAATGCAACTCTTGAACACAGAAGATAATGCCCCTGCAGGATAAAGGTACCATAAAATGATACAGAAAAATACTCTCTGTGAGAAAACACCTTCACGTGAATCTAAAGGATAAAATGCTGATTCCCCAAAAAAGTTATACATAAACCTCATGTGTGAATGACACTTCATATTCTTTTGTGGTGAAAAACAAGAAAATGTTCTAGACATTAGCCAAACAATCCGAGCATTTTAAAAATGGAAAATATGCAGCTCTTGTGGGAACATCATGTTTCTGATACTGGATAATACTAGCTATAAATTCAAAGGCCTTTCTAGCTCTCCACTGAGCTGTGGGAAAAGTTCATCTGGATAATCAGTCTTGAGATGCTGCTGATGTCCTGTCAGGTAGAATTAACCTTCCATTTCATTCTATCCAGGCAGGCTCGTATTAGAAAAGCACTATGTAGATCGTCCTCTTGAACCAATTTAGTGAGTATGCTCTAGTCAGATACGCCCTGAACATGAATAAATACCGGTTCATCAAAAGACAGCTGGTTTCACTGCACTGCAGTGCATAATCAAGAGATGGACTTCTACAGAACTGCTCTTGGACCTCATACTTTAGATTATTTGTTTTTTCTTGTTAAATTCTTTAGATTTGTCTCCTATGGTTAATTGTAAGCACGGTTCCACTGTTATTTGTTACTAATTGAATTTTTACTTCTGTAAACAACTATTTCAGCAAAAATAGATCAAAAGCAAAAAAAAAACATACTCCAGGACTGAAGAAGAAATAAGAGGGTTAACTACCATGTTGTGATCCATGTTGAAGGATGCTTTGCTGTTGGGTTGGGTGTTTAGAGTACATTTAAGACCGACTAAACACGATTTTTAAATCCGATTTAAATGGATATAATCTGGTATAGTCAATGTATTTTTGTCTAATTGTCTCCCCAATTTGACATACTAAATTCTGGCTTCAGCCAACTGCGTTTCATACCTGTGATCAAAGGATAAATCCATCAGGTGAGAGTCCTGCAACTTGACCATCTGCCTAGGCCTTCTTTCCACTCACTGATATCCATCGGTTCATGCTGTAGCAAATGCTCAGAGCTCCAAAGCATGGGTTCCCAATCCTGGCCCTGGAGGCCTACACACCTGATACGTTTTGTTCCAGCCAAGCTCTCAGTTAAACAACATAACCCATAATTGACCTAATAGGATATGAACTGACTGTTTTCAGCTCTTAAACATGTTGGATGTTGCCCTTTAACTACTGCATTTCACATGTAACATACCGTAAAATTTCAAACTTCTGAAAAGAAAAGAACTTCGTGTAAAGCAATCTGGTAGGTCATTTAAGCTCCAATTAGGTAACTAAGCTCAGCTGGACTGAAAACAAAGCAGGTGGGTGGCCATCCATGACCATGATTGGGAACCCCCACTCTAGAGGACTGTGAACAGCCCACAGATGCTCTGTCTTCACCAAATGGAGTTTTAATGCTCTATGCTGATATTTTTCAATGAGAAATAAATAATATTATTATTAAATAATATATATATATACTGTTCTCTAATATATCTCCAATAAACCAAATTACACAAATTGGTATATGTGTCTAAAGGTCCTAGAATTCAACAATGTAGTCTTTGCCTACAGAATTCAGCCTTTAAAGCATCCACTTAAGGATAACCTAATAAAAACGAATCTTGGCGTTAGTCAGTGCTCAGAATCTATTATTCTACAGCTCGTCTCCCTTAAGCAGCTCAATAAATGAATATCAATACTCATAGTTGAGTGACAGTGTTTAAAGTATTTAATCCTGTGTAGTACATACAGTAGTAAGTACATGCCAATAGTTACATAAAAGAGGAGGTCATTGGGTATGGTAGTAGATGTTTGATTCAAGCTGCTTATCCAGATGTTTCTTGAAAGAAACCAAAGTATTGGTCTGGGAAACCAAAAACAACATGGGTGGGTAGATTGTTCCATATTCCTAAACCTTCTGTTCTTGACATTAATTTCACATCCATATAGTCCTCTGATTTGTGCTTAACTGTTCATTCTGAAGAAATCTGCTGTGTTGTCTTTGTCAGTGCCTTGAATAATTATATCAGCTTATATCTGCTTGTAGTCTTTTCTGTTCAAGACTAAAAAGGTTCAGTTCCTTCAGCCTGCCAGTGTAGGAAATTCCCTTATAGCCCCAGAATGTATCTGGTTGCTCTTCTCCTGACTGCAGAGCAGCAATATCTTCTCTATACCACGGAGAAAAAAATCTATACATAATATTCTAAATGAGGATTTAATTGTAGATTATACTGTATAATATGAATATAACACCCCTTGATCCCAATTCTAAGCTTTTAATTTTACATCCAAGCATTTTGGTTGCTTATTTGCATCCCCAAATCCCCACAAATGACATGTCAACTCAAACCTAAGTCTGTTTCAAACGTAGCAACTTCAAGCTGTTTCACATATTTATAATTAGATTTTATTACCTGCACACAATACCCTGCAGTTGTTTATATTAAATGTTATCTGCCAAGCATTTGTCCAGTCATGAATTTTATCAAAATCTTTTTTAATTTCATATGTTGCTTCATCAGTGATAGCTACTTCATCTTATTTAATATTATCTGCAAATGTGGCCAGTTTCCAATTATTAAATCAAGATAATACAATTTAAGAAATGCAGTGGTCCTAGTACAGATCTCTGTGGTACTCCACTAATTATATTACTCTAAATAGAGCACTCACCCCTCATCTGTACCCTGTATACATTGTCTAGACCTTTACATTTTTTGTCTAAATTACATTTTACTTCATCATTGCCATTTATTTTGCTGTAGTACTGAAAGAACATATTTTAGCCTAAACTGCATCAGTTTCTCTGTTGGCCTTTCTAATATCCTTTTTTACCTGTGCATGCAATACATTATACACTTTTTCTCTATCTAAATCATGTTGTTTTTTATGATTTTATACAGTGCTCCTTCCCCTTATATTTTTCCTTATTGACTTGTTGAACCATTTTGGATCATGTATCTTGGTTTTTTATTTATTTAGTTTCTGGATACAATTGTTCTGTGCTTAAAGAACCTGTTTAAACTGATTTCATACAGTACCTTTCATATCCTATCCCATCTTACGCTTATACTGTATCTCATTCAATCTAATCTAAGAAACTGTAAAGATTCACTTTGGATTCTACTTGAACAGTTTTAAAATATACTTCAAAGGATACCATATTATGATCATAGTTCTCTAATGGTTTACCTCACTGTCTTGATTGTTTGAAAAGACAAGATCTATACAAGTATTTCCTCATGTAGATGTTCTGACAAACTGGTTAAGAAAGCAGTAATTAACCATGTCTACCATTTTAGTTTCTGTTGCTCATATTGCTATGGGTCTTTCCCAGTCCATGTTTAAAGTCTCATAAATATTCTCATAAAATTACTTCGTTTTGCACATAAAATCTTAATTTCATTATACAGTGTTGAATTATAATCAATAACAGCATTTAGTGATCTATAGCTTGCTCCTAACACCTCTAACACATCTATACCTAGAAAAGTTTTTTTCAATTAGCCTACGTAGATTCAGAGTTTCATGACTATTCTAGCTTAAAGAGGAAATGCAGTCACAATTTCTCATAAGTTATTTAATCTCGGTAACAAATTCTTTATTTAAAAAAATTCATTAACGTTAATAAAAATTTTGAATTAAGCACAAACTGGGAATTTTGTGAAAGCACCATAAGTTGCCATTTTGTCACAAATTCACACTCGAGTTACCCAGAATTCCGACAAGATGCGGCCCTTCCTGCTCACTAGCAATGACTAAATTATATATATAAGTAGCGATATATAAGTAAATATCAGTTGTGTAGCAGACAGTTCACCATATAAATGTTTCAACAAGATCGGCATGCAGTGTTAACAAGTTGCGTTTGTCGGCAAAACCATCTTGAAATTGAGAGCAGTTTTTCTATTGGATTAAAGGCCGGCTTCTTTACCATGTTACCAGGTGGATGCTGCACGTTGGTGGTGGTGGAGGGGAGTCCCCATTACCTGTAAAGTGCTTTGAGTGGAGTGTCCAGAAAAGCACTATATAAGTGTAAATAATAATAATAATAATAATAATAATGTAATAAGGCCACATCACATTAACGGATGTTTTGTTTCCTGGTTCTGAAACGCATGAACATACCTAGAAATTCCATCTATTTTGCTATATAAAATACAGGTTTTATAAGATCTGTGTGCATTTTACTTTTATTGTGGTTTGAAAGCCACTGCTCAATTTTTTATTCTTCTTAACCCCGTAATATAAAAAGAGCGTTACAGTTCCCCTTTAAGAACCTGAACACTCTTTTGATAGACTGTACAGTGCTACAACTCCACCTCTCCTATCTTTCCAGTCTTGCTGAAAGAGAGCACATCCACTAATGTTATACTCTTCTCCATCATTTTCAGTTAGGCAGGTTTCTGTGATTCCAATAACATCAGAATTACCTGCTGGATTCTATTTCATCTAATGTGTTTCTAGTGCTCTTAGCATGTAGGTAAAAGCACGTCATAACCTGATCATACCTGAAGCATGTAACTTCCTTTTCCAAGAATTATCTTTGATGTCATGCCTCCATAGAAACCCTTTCCACTGTAAGCCAAAGTTGCAGCTCAAAAAAATGTTTATACATAGAGGAGTTTCCATCCTGGATATATATATATAAGAAACATGTACTTATTTTTAAGCATTTACTTATTTTCTTTTACAGTTTGAAAATAAGTTTGGCATTTCAAGTAAAGGATATCTTGTTCTAAATAAAAAAAGGCTAATGACCACTGATTTTTCTTCTTCTTCCTATTTACAATACCTAACATTTCACTTAATGTGCAGTACTATCAGTGATGCCTGCTTATAGTTCAAGATAACACGCCACTTCTCTGTTACAAGACAACAATCATAATTTGTTAGCATAGTACTACATAAGATTAAAAAAACTGGTGTGCCTCCAGACGTCTGGTGGTTATTTTGTTTATGTCAACATTTTGTAGATACACAAAGTATTTTAAATAGTTTCTTGTTGACTTACTTGAATAAGGGAGTCCCACAGACAACACATGTGTATGTTCCCTCTTCCTTGTGGTCTGTGAATTTTCCTCTGAAGGCACTACAAAGACAATCCCAGAATGCAAGATCAGTCCTATTGCCAACCAGCTCAAGTTATGTCAATAACTTCCACTAGATCAGATTTACTGTATGCAGTATATACAGTGAATATAGAGGCAATCGCTGTTAAGTAAAAACATTTTGCTAGGAAACCATCTGGACATATATTTATGCAAGTAATTTTTGGAAATGTAGCCCATTTCCACTTATTTTGCTGCATTTGTTTCTAAATTGTGTATACTTAAAATGTTTTGGTCCTACAGCACTAGTGGCCACTGTTGACACAAGATATTTCATCAACAGGAATTTACTCATGAAGCTGTGACTTTTATGAAGGAAGGAAACAGAGAAGGACATTTTTACATTCATTAACTTTAAAGGGAAATTTAATATACCAAGTTTCTTTGAAACATCCTTCCTGATTGATTTTTTAACTCATTCTGAACTGAGTTTCAAAACTTAAAAAGGTACATGGGTGACACAGATAAGAAAAAAAAGGATCAGAAAACTGCACAGTGAAAGATATAAAACTCCAAATTGAATCCAGAAAACCATTTCTGGACTTTAGTTATAACCCTTTAATGACTGAAGGTTTAATTAAAAAAAAAAACTCACTGGGAATTAACCATTGGTAAAATAACTTACAAATTAAACCTCTGTTATTATGTCATGTTGTTGGCTGGGCCAACTAATAGACATGAGCCCTGCGTGTGTGGATCCATTCTGTACTGTACACTAAACACTAGGGTTCTGAATGAAGTAGAGGTTGAAATGAAAGTAGTAGTGAATGAAAGTGATTAAAAGTTATGAAGTTATGTTCTATATTAATTTTAAAGCAGATCCACCCAGTATAGAAAACTACTAAAGCTCTTCTGTACTGAGTGAAAATTCTACAATTAGCAGGGAGTGAATAAATATATATTTTATTTCTAGTTTTTCCACATTTTGACTTTTGACAAGGAAACTGCGGCATTAGGAAAATATTTTGAAAATTAACAATCTTTAAGTCTGGAAAGTAATATATTTAATACAAATCAGCTGTATCATTTTTAACAAAAAAGTCTTGTGTGTTCCACACCTTGCTTTTATTATCCTTTCACCCCCTTTTTACGATCTCCCAATTTTTCTTAATAAAAAGGAGTTTTTTAAAATGACCTAATCTTAGGTATGTTTGGAGCACTAAATCATTCCACTACCCTAAAATAAAGAAAAAATTACTTTGATGCATGCTGAGATACTATGCCTAAAACCTATTCCCAGCTAATTGTTGGAGGGCCACTCATTTGAATAAAGAAAATGTATGCATTCTCTCAGTGACAGCAAGACACATTTGAAATGATTAAGATCCTGTGTGTGGCAGAAAAGGAGGACAGAAACAAAGAAAATAAAACCTTTATCAGGAAACAAGCAGTTACATCACTAATAAATCTGATTCAGAGGTGACCCAGGGCTAAAAGCCAAGATCCACAGTATAAATTAAACACCAAAATGGTTAGCCTTGGCAGGTACTCTCAGAACTGGAATCTGCAGAGAGGGGTTGGATTTTACTCACTAAAAACAGTTTTGGAAGTAAACACTCCTTTATTCAGCTCTCAGGGCTAGCTTCCAAACTCTACAGCCATGTGAGGGTAGTTATTGAGCATTTTTAACATTCCTACTGCAAATGAGCCAATAAATACTTTCTCCACATGTGCTTTGCCAAAGCAAAAAAAAAAGAAAGAATGTCACAAAACTATCACTTATTATTCTTATTTTTGGCAGACATAATCTTTGAGATTACAAAGAACACCTTCAAGATCCACTTGCTTGAGGGCAACTGGGGCATATACAGTATATACACAGTGAAGTGCAAATATACATATTTTTAATGTCCTTGTTCAGAAAAGACACTTGAAATGATGTACACACTCTTCTATATTATGTAAATTGAGAAAACAGTAGTAATTACTTCTAACAGAGGCAGTCAAGCATTTTCCTTTGCTGGCACCGAAGGATCAGTTTTTAAAAAATGGTTAAAAGGGGAAATCCCTCCCCCCCACACACACAAAATGACTTTAGAGCATGCTTTCAAAAGATGATGGTTAAAACAGGGAAAAGAAGTTGTGGGGGCATTGAAATAAAAGGATAAAAGGACAGTGGTAAAACCACACAGGAGATGCTCCTCTCTAGCTCACTGATTTATTCTTGATCACTGAAGCCATAACATCATAGCAAGAAGCATGGCACACTTGAAATTTGCTCTAATTGGAACATTGTTGGACAAGATAATCTTGTGTCGACCTTTGAAGTCAAAGCTTTGCCTTCCCCTTTTAGAAAAGTAGGTATGGTTGATACAGTACTTTACATAACCATGAGTTTAACTTTCAGTTCTATTCTTAGATAGAATAGATAATATATTCTAAGATAGAAGAGTCCTAGATTTAGAGAGGGGTCCGTGTGCTGTAAAATGTGAGATAACCCACTGCCTGAATCCTTCACCCTGTAAGACTACAGATCCCAAAAGCCTCCCTCTGTGGGCCAACATACCTCTCTGTGCCTCTCTCTTGAGTAACATGGTACTGCAGCGGAGTCAGACGCTTCCTCAGCTCCTCCTGGGAGAAGACCACCTTATAGGTCTTTTTATCCCTACATGACCCTGAAAAACAAGGCAGGGATACGGGAAAAGGGAAAACTGAGTGGAAGTCCCCAGGAGCTGCGCCGGCCGGGGGCCACTGTAGAGAGACAGCGCTGGACTGTCAACAAGCTCTAGCTGATGCTGCACTCACATCAAACAGATGTCAAGCAACAACTCGGCTTTTTTAAACATTCCAAATCCAGGCAGCATTCATTCCAAAGGCATTTAATTCTGCTTTTGATTCCAGGCAAGAATCACGACAGGTTTGTTGTAAAAGGTTAAAAATTGGCACAAGAGATGACAAATTGTCAGGTCACTAAATTTGTGACCGAAATATGCTTCATGAGAAATCTGAATACGTAGTTTTATTCACATTGTATTATGTACTGTGTAATATATTATTATACATGCTTTATGTATATTTGAATGTGTCCTTTCTTGCCTGGAAACTGAAAATGGGGAACAACCACTCAGCTGGGCCAGTCAGGATGTGCAATAGCCAAAGCTTCTCTGAGATGCAAGGGCATTTCTCAAAACAAAGTATCACACAATATTACATTAGGCCCAACATAAAGAATTCTGCTGTTTATCTTACACAGAGTCTTAAGTACCTTCATATACAAGCTGCATATTGGAATGCATCCTGTTGAATAATTTAGTAAGATGTATTATTCAGACATTACAGTGAAATTAGGACAATATAATTAAACAGATGATGTATTTTACAAACTGTAAACAAGCCATAGGTAAGGGGATTTTAATTGGGGTGTCTGTGGGACAAAATACAATTTGATATTTAACATTAAGCAATTATTCAGTCTGTATTATTCAGTTATAAAATGTTTAAAGTTTTATGGCACTCAATAGCTTCTGAGCATTGAAATGTTCCAGAATGTGTATTCTAGTGGCAATGTTATCTTCTTTGAGTAACAAATATTCCAGTTTTCTTAGTATGATCCCAGCAAAGGTGCCGTTTTTATTTGAAAAAGTAGATACCCGTTGGAAAAGAATAGGAAATTAAAATTCCTTATTTCCACCTACAGCTGCATGAATACTTTAAACTCGAGTGTCTTTCAAAACTGTGTAAGGTAAGATGTGAGCAGCTGAAGCTGCTCCTAAATTCACATGTCAGAAACCAGAAAGCTTACTGTAAATGCTTTCTTTTGAATAGAAAACCTTAAAGAACATATTAGTCTGCTTTAAATGTCAAAAAGAAGCACATGTCCAAATGGCATTCATAAAACTACAAACTAATTCCAATGCTGTTTTCACTCATTGAGGATCTATTTCCTGCTCATTAACACTAACGTCAACCACAATACCCTGGAGAAGGCACTGGGAAGCAGCAGCAGGTTAACAAGATTAACACCATTTGTATTTTGACCTTCATGTAACATTTATGTAATGGACATAGGCGGGAATGTCCTTTACAAGAATGGTACCATGATAGAATTGAAAAAAATTCAAAAGCATGTTGATTATCACTACTGTTCTTAACAATAGCCACACAATAAAAAGATAAGAAATACTTTCTATCTTCATTCACAACTCTACACAATCCCCTTCTGCAGTCAAGTTTAACTGTAGTGAAATGTTTTTTCCTCTCCATTGCTTCACCCATTTAGTTTAGAAGGCACATCACTGTAAGAAGACAACAGATCTTAACATTTCAGATTTTGACAAATACAAATTTAAAGATTCACATTTTAAAACAAAACCACAATTGATTTAAAATGCAAATTTAATATATTTAACCTTGCTTAATAATATACGATGATTTGGAAATTCTGTATTAATCTTCTCAAAGAAATACAAAATAAAAACGTTTTTACTCATCACATGAAGGTTTGTACACTTCATGAGGCTGTACTAAATTAGTGCACATTATTTACATTAATGAAACTATTTTTTTCAGTACTTGTGTAGTAGCCTTAAGATTGTAAATAAGGCTTTGCAGTTTTATACATATGTATTTATAAAATATACTGTATATTATGTATGGCTTATAACTTTGTTGCAAAAAGCTTCAAATTACATGTTTACAGATTTATAAAAAGAGAAAAACAAACCCAAAAAACCTGTCAATACAAGAGGTTAATGTTAATTATTTGTGTTAATGTCAACACAAATAAGAGTATTAAACACTTAATGTTTTATATTGAAGGAAACAGTCGCTTAATCTATATTAATATTATCATGAACTACAGAGAAATCTGAATTTTGAAATCTGAATACGTCACTTCCAGTTTATAATATTACTATAATAGAATGTTAAAAATTTGAAATGACAGTTGCTGTCACACTGAGCAATCAACCTCAGAACCTTTACATTTTCACAAATTTAGCTCATATAGTTTTTCTAACATACTGTAGAGTAAGATATGAAAAAAGGGCAGATTGATTCAAGTTTTTTTTCTTTTGCTTCCAATAATTTTAAGTAACAAAAATGTTGCCTATTTGAAAGATGATATGAAGCAACACACCTAAAGTAAAACAGTAAAACTAAGAAAAAAAAATCTGTATTGATTTTTAGTTAAAATACTACTAAAAATACACAAATCTACCCAATTTCCTTCCCATGTTCTTGTACGAGAGGCAAATTGAATCAGAAACCGACGACACTACTTGTTAAAGTCTTCAAAACAAAAATACAAGTTTCTCTTAAGACTAATTTCTTGCATGAATTATGATTTTTTATGGATTTCACAACTAAATACAGAATTTATATTTATGCATAGCTAAGAGATAAAGGTTTGTAAAAACACTACTTCAGTAAAAAAAAATGAAGATAAAAATAATTAAATCAGGAAAACACAACCGACAGTTAAGGTTCAAAATCCTTACATACCAATGTGAAAAAACTGATGAACATGTCACCTTAACTTTATTACTCATGTAAAACACTTGCATTTGAAAGACTGTAAACACTTCTTCCACAGCACTGTGAATTTAGCACTGTGAGTTTTCAAAGTGGCAGATATTGGTATGAAGCTGAAGGGGGTTGCCTCTTTCACCTTACTCCCAAGTTTTCAAAGCCTTTTGTTCAAAAGCTTTTTTTCTCCGCAAGCACTGCCCCTGCTACCCTTAGGTAAGAAAAACATTTCATTTTCAAATGCTGTTGACAAAATGCCGTGTTCAAAATTTCTCTTTTGGTATGTACTGCCGTAATTGTAATACCTACAATTAGAAATAAACATTTCTGACAAAAATATTTTTGTTCCCAATGTATGAATGTGCTCAAATAAAAAGCCCAATTGTGCTTCTAATGTTCCAGGAGCACAGCTGTCCATCTGTATGTCATTTAGTTCAGGAGACGCAACTGCAGTTTTAAATTACATGGTATTGGATTGCAATTTCCTAAAATTGTGTACCTTTTCTGTTTTTTACCTTTGGACATTATTATATGTTCTTTAAAGTAACAAAGCACTAGATCTAAGGGAAAAACAAAAAAGAATGGCTTCACCAAAGATTATTTGGCTGTTGTCGTTTTAAATAGTAGAACAATTCACCACTGTGCCTCACTTCTCACCAGAAATGTCAAGCATTCCCTGAAAAAAAAAAATTGAAACCATGTGAATGAAGTAAATAATGAGGACATTAAAGCTTCTTTGGTGAATAAGCCCCATTGAAGGAGTCATTCCATTCCACAGGGTGAAAGTTACTTTTAATATGAAAAACAATATTAAAGTGCACCATCTCATTTACAGGACTGCTGAGTTTGATTTAACAACGGGCTCCAGAAAAATGCTACTGCGCTCCATTGTTCACCTCCTTATTCTTCAAAAGACAGAAATGTTTAATTCCCGGTTTGTTTGTCTTTCAAGAACCACTAAAGCAGCATTCACACAAATTTTCCTGGAATGTGCCCCGTGTCATACCCTACAAATTATTTGATTTTGGTGCACTTTAAGGTCACCTTCCAAATTAGCAAAATTTTCCTACATCCTGGCTTTTCAACCTCAAATATAAATATTGTTTCCTAATTGTAAGCGAGGTTTGTTCTTTGTAACCTCCCCCACCCCCCACCCAACCTTGCTTATTTAAACTTGTCAAACTTCGTTTTTTTCCTTCTCTGTGTGCGCGGTTTTCCTGATCTAATAAGCCATTCAAAGTTGAGCTAACAGCAAGGGGAAATGTATGCATTACATAAATTACTCTGTTAACACTGCATTAGACAGTTTAGCTACAAATAGCTTTAGAATTAATCAAATCCTTCAAGGATGTTTTACACTATGTCCACCAATGCTCTTTTTAAATATACTGTATTTCTTCTTGCACATTTCTGAAACTACATTTCGCAGAATGTTACATTTTAAGCAATGAAAATCATTAGCAAGGTATGAAAATCCTTTTTTGTGTCCAACTGCATAAATGTAAAAAATCACAAATCTTAACCAGTAACTGAAAAATAACTTTATTTATATATAGCAAGACTTAATTATTATTAATGCATTAGCCTCTGATCTTCATGTATTTATTTTGGAATGTTCTCTTTAAGTTAAAATACTGCACGCAACATTTTGAACTGGTATTTTAAAGTGGCAAATAATTGTAGATCCGTTTGACAGCTAAATCTTCGTAATATTATTTTGAAGAAATGGCACACAATAGGATTTTAATAATTCTTCACTTTTGAAAACAAAAAGCCAGAACTTCAAAACAAACTACTGTATATGGGCTTTTTCGGAAAAAAAAAACAGAACACACTGTGAAGATCTTACACTTCCAAACAGAATTTAAATGTAAAACCACTGTGGATGAGAACAACCTCCTGTGAGAAAATAAAGAGAAAAACAAACACCTGATTTAGCCAGATAAGACACTAGTATTTATTATAAAACACACACACGTGTACCTGCTCACATGTAGGAATACACAGATGCTTACAGCAATGCAAATTATGTGCCATTACTATGCCATTACTTTATTAAGCTTCTTCTGTCACTATTTTTACTGATCTAATAATTAAAAAAAACACAGTACTAGATTAGGCATCTGCAAATTGTATTCTAAGAATATTTCAGCTCATTAACTAAAATGATACCAAAATGCTATGCTTCTGGGAATCTAAAATGCAAGTTCCTTCAGATGAAAAAAAGTGATTATTAGTAACTATTATATCTAACATGCAGGTGGAACATAAGGCAAGCAGTGTACTTAATACTAGTAAAAGTGTACACCCCCCCCCCCCTTAGAAAAGGCCAAAAAAGCAAAACACAGCAAAGCATAAATTGAGCTGTCACACTAGGGGTGATCTCCTGCAGAAAAACACAAAACCACAAGCAGCTGGAGACCTTATATCCTGTACCATGGCTTTAAACTGGACTTTATAAAAGGTAAACGGGTACCTGCCTTCCTCATTAAAAGACCAATGATATTAGAACATACATTTCCAAATAAAATGTTGACACTCAAGCACTATATTGCACTTTTATGCATTTGAGTTTTTAATTAATACACACCTCTTAAAAATTACTGTGTAAAGATGTCCGTATCAATTTAAGATTTGGGGGATGAAAATCACAGCCAGTGCAAGAAATTGTCCCTGCACGTCCCAACAGACAAGAAAATGATCTACATTTTCACACACTGGAGATTATATATTAGGCCAGCGCCATCTGCTGGGCATTGATAATGTTATTTCCTTTAAAAGTTTTCACATTTAAAAACAGAAATTTGACACTTCATTTACCAGCCTTTGAGGAGAGATATCATGAGCTCATCAGATTTGTGTTAAAAAAAAACATTTTGGGGGATTTAAAACTGACATTTTTCGTAAGTGTCTTTATCCATTGTGTGATTAAAATGAACTATTTCCTTGTAATCCAACTATTACATTAAGACAACCAGGAGTAGCTACCTGAAACAAATACCAGCGTTTTCTGAGACATGATAGCTCAGAGCCACCACGTCTTTGTGAATGCACGTGTTGAATCTTTAACAGTAAAGTGAAAAAACTATACTGAGCATCAAAAGAATTGAATCACTATATTATTTATTAGTATATATTTAAAAAATAAAGTACATGATACATTTTGAATATTAAATGAACATCTTTGGGTTTTTTTTTAAATTAAAATTGCATAACCAGTAAATCACTTCATTAGTGTGGGAGCCTGGACACAGCCCATTGTTAATGTCAGGTAAACATCCAAATAACTTCCCAAAAAAACAAGGCTATACCATCAGTATGTTGGTGGCTAGACTAAATCAGCACATTGTAACTTGCCTTCTTCACTTGTGTTCACAGCTAGCCCTTTCTCATCTTGCAAGACATTACACCGAAACACACTGCACCAGCGAGAGGTCACAACTCAAAACCCCTCGTCAAGATTGACATTTCAACATGCTTCGTCTTTGTGACGACTACCTGTTCCACTCTATCAGAAATGCCAGATTACAATTACCCAGGCACTAGCAACTAAGGAAGCACCAAGATAAACTGCAACATTTTTTTCTACCCAGACAACCACACAGGACACCAGTGCTCACCAATATTAATCGATGCAACAGAATGAGGTAGTGTGAAAAACACCTCAGGTGGACTCAACCAACAATAGAGCCATGTACGCATTAGTAATGAATCAATGTTTAATATAGACCACCCTGATGAATGTCAGCAAATGTGGCATAGATGTGGAGAACAATATGCCAACTGTTCTGTACAACAGACCAATCAATGGGGAGGTCAAGTGTGATGGACTGGGCAGGAGTGTCTAGCACCCTCTACTTGTACTGACTGATATTCACCTGACTTCACAGCACTACACTGATCAAGAACTGGGTCTTTGCTGGCTGTCCTTTCTGCGGGCTCAACCTGATGTAGTAACATTCCAGCAGGACCACATATATCATTTTGCTGTTCTTGCTGCCCTTACAAAGGCTTTCGTGTAATAACCAGGATTGCCCCTTTCAGCATACTTGAGAGCTACTGAATATCTGTAAAATTAGAGGGGATAACATGTGGCATCTAGGGCTCTGAACAGTCATATGCTTATCCTGGACCTTTGAGAGGAATGTGACAGAATGCCTCAATCTAGCATCTGTAACTGGGTCAAAGCATCTGTCACAGATGTACAGCTTGAATTGCTTTCAATAGTGGATACACAGGCTACTAGTCTGTAACTTTCACATTCGACCCCTTGTTCATGACAGATGTTGCTCGACATACCTAATGTATATCCATTTAATAGAATGTCAGTGTATCTGCTACAACAAAGACAGTTGCAGTTGTAATGTAATTTTTGATGCTCAGTATATTTTAAAAACTCAGACTTAATAGGATATTCACTTAGGAAACAACCACTAACAAATTCAGTATCTTTTAAATTAAAATAAGACTGCTGTGATTGAAAATCTATCCTTTCCTTTCCACCTTGGGACGTGATAGAGCCAACTCTTCTCTACCTGAAGTAAGCAGTGAGGAGACAACTTGGAATCAGCCTCAGGTGTACTACAGTACTGTATATCCATTACTGTGCATGAGTTCTCAGAACGCGGACTAGCCTGGTTTTTCTGCAGCAGAGCGTTCACCCTTTAGCTTGTGTGTTAGGGCTCATGTTCGCAAAACACGTCAAACAGCACCCAGTCAACCTGAGGGAAGGCCACAGGGCCGCAGGGCCACAGGCTGGCTCTTAGTCACAAGGTGCAGCAGACTGAATGCGGACATCACTGCGGTATTTCCACCAAGAAAACCTGAGGCAACAGGGCTTTGGAGCTACAAGTGGGAAGAAGAAAAAAATGAAGAGAAAAAATAAAACATTTTTGCCAACGCTGCTTCCTTGCATTGAATACAACACAATGTAGTTTGCATTGACTGTACATATCATTAACGAGGAAATAAGCATTGAAAAAATAGAAAAGGTTTTCTTCTGCAATAACGATTTCTAAAACAAAATTAACCTCCATTCAAAAAAGGAAAATGATTACAAAATTATCTTGGTTCCAAAATTATTTGTGATTATGCAGTACAGATTAGACCATCAACATGAAAGCGATAAATTTTAGTGGAATTAGTAAACAGACATATAGAAAGTACAGTTTTCTCTCATGCACATACTACTTACGTCACTTGATTGATTCATACTGTAAATACTCCAATGAAGGAGCATGCGCTCTCTCCCTTTTGCTCTTCAGAGTGCCACTGAACATATCTCATTTTAAAGTTGACATCACAATTTAGTGAAGGCATGATTTTAAAAATATCCCCTCAAAACATAAAACTCCCATTATTTTATGCGTTTAGAAACTGATTAAAATTATCCCCATGTGAAACTTCTCTGTTATCATGGCCCATGTCAGCTGACCTTGAACTGCATGTACAGTACCAGGTCATGGGTGCAGTGGTGCAATCTGTTCAAACATACCACATACCAGTCAATCAACCAAATCAGATAATTGCTGATTTGAGGAGCATCATCTCAATGTCCAATGATCTGTACTTACAACAAACTCTTAGGTAAGGTAACTCTTAAGCATAGACAAGAAATTGTCTTTCAGTTTCTCATAGCGATGAGTCAGTTTTAATTTAATATCTATTCAGTGGTGAGATTCTTTTATTTTAATGTATTGCCTGATACCTGATAATAGGGCAACACAGCACTTTTAGAGATTTACACCTTTGGCAGGATAAAAGGAAATACATCTGACAGTGAACACAAAAAACATTTATCAAATACAATACCAGACCATTTTTCATCTGTTCAATGATCTATGCATTTTAATAGGTATAAACTAATAAATTGACTTTTCAACCTGTTTTAACATACATAGAATAAACAATCAATTGGTGAAATATGGACAAATACAATTCAACAATGCATGACAATATTTGTAAATCACTTCAAATTATACTTTTCCCATAATTCAAACAAATGGAGGTGTGTTAGCCTGGAACTCAATATTATTATTAACTAATATATAACTATATAATAATTATAATAATAATGATAATAATAATGATAGTAAGCTTGAAAATTGCAGGAAGTCCTTTGCTTTAGGAGGTCATCTCATTCACACAACTAATGATAATGAAGAATTACGCTAAAACATAATGCTTCTGGTCAACATTCAGGCAGGAGGAACAAGATGCAGGTATGCCCGATCTCAAAACTGCCTTTAGTCATAAAAGAATGCACACTAGCACACAAGTGTGCACTAGAATTTAACCATTATTTCACACTGCTATAAGAAGCAATAGTGATTTCACAGTTTTTTTCTTGGTAATGTATAACACTGAGGCAAACATGTCGGCAAAAGCAAACAATGTATTGATTTCAATTTCATAGTGTGGTTATTTGTCATAGGTGAAAATAATGGTGTCCAGTGAAACAAGGTGTTACCTAGGTAAGCTGCAGTCTTACTCAGTCCTCGCACCTCAGTCTTAAAGGTCTTCCTATTCTGTCTCACCAAGTTCAGAAGCACTAGGCAGCCGACGCGCCTGACGATCGCAGCCATCTGGCCTGTACCAAAGCTTGAGACAGCCCCAGTGCTACGGGAAGAGAGGCAGCAATGTCACTCTGTAACCCAGTCGCACTACATGGTAGTATCCTGCTGTTTAGCAAGGCAGAGAATCTCAGTTCAAGGACCCCTGTATATTCAACAAAACCAGCTTACTGGAAGAAGATCACTTTATTAGCCATATACAATTTCTTGCATTAGGAATTTGTCTTTTCACATACCCCAGCTTGCTCTCCATGAGACACACAGACAGGGAGAGAAGCTTGGGGTCAGAGCGCAGGGTCAGCCATTTCTACGTCACCCCTGCAGCAACTGGGGTTAAGGGCCTTACTCAGGGGCCCAGCGGAGTAGGAGTAGGCCATGTGATTTGAACCGGCAACCTTCTAGCCACAGGCGCAGATCCTTAGCCACAGTGACACCACTGTGCCCTCCACCAACGCGAGACCTTGAAGCAGCACTGGATGCAAAATCTATCCAAAAGTAACATTATTTCTTGAGTTAAACCCATATGGTTCTACTGAAAAGCAGCATGTTGGACTGACTAAACAATTTAATACAAAATAAGTTCAAAATATGATCAGTAAGCTAGAAAATAAGTTCAATACCACAATCTTCCACAAGGTGGAAGATCAACAAATGTGCTAAAAGTGTACAAGAGGCAAATCCTCCAGAGAAGCTGCCAGAAGCCCAATCCTTAAGAGGTACATTCCAGGGACTACTGTATTAATTTTTTCAAGTCCGCCAAATATTTGGAGGTAATTCAAGTAGGTAGCTGCGTCAGCATGCCTAGGCTGCAAAGGAACAAGAAAAGGTTTATTCCATGCTGAAAAGAGAAGAAAAACTCAATGTTTCGGCTGTGGAGCCTTCTTTTCAGCATGGAATAAACATTTATTTGGAAGCAATGTCCAGCAGAAGAAATGTTTTTTCTATCATTCTTTTTAATGCAGGCCAGTTCTCTCTAGTGCAGCTTATCCAGGCCTATGGTTAGAAAATTCTTTGATTTTCAAGGCACTTTAAGAAATTCAGTGTCGCAGGGGAAGCCGGAGCCTATACCAGCAAGAAATGGGCGCAAGGAGTGATACACCCTGGACATGATGTTAGTCCATCACAGAGCAGATACAAACAGACACACATACTCACACCAGGCCATTTTTTCCAGAAGCCAATTAACCTACCGGTATATCTGGACTGTGGGAGGAAACTGGAACACCCAGCAAAAACCACACAAATGCAGAGAGAACATACAAACTTCACACAGACAGCAGCGCAGTTCTGGAATTTAACCCTTGGCCGCAGCGCTGTGAAGCAACAATGCTAACCACTGCACCACAGCGCTACCACCTGTGGAGCCATAAAATATTGGTTGGAATTAGCCTTACACCATATTAGAGAGCATAGTAAAGAAAACATTGCTCCTCAACTGTCAAGGTGCTACATTATAAAGGACAAACAGGCAGACATGCCAATACTGAGCATCAACTTGAAATGGAAGAAAAAGCAATTGTGGAAAACCCTTAGATTTAATACATTTATTATACCTATTTATTTAGAATTGACTTGGAAATATGCAAAAAGATGTTCAAACAAAATTCTTTTTCTAAAAATATTTTTTTACTTAATGTTTTAAAAATGCACCCATTCCTTTGATTTTCAAACACTCTGTTAATGAATTTCACTTTAACGAAACGTGCATTTTCATTGCTACTTTCTTTCCGGTAATGAAGAGATCTTCACCAAAAAGAAGGCACATCCTTTGTAGCTGAATGAATTATGCCATCCTGATCTCCGACAGCAGAGCTGTGCTTTCTTATTAATTTTAGACATTTTATTACATCTATTTGTTACTCTGCTGAGGTAAATACTGCATCATTAACAAGCAATAGTGTTCTTTGACAATTCAGTGCTCTGCTAGGTTGAAAAGAAGTAATACTGTATCAACAAGTCAGATGTTGTTTCCGTTTTATTATGGTTAAAAAATATTGCTTTACAATAGGTTCCATGTGCTGGTATAGGAAATATTCACTTCAATTCAAACTTTTTAACTCTGACTTGGTTCTGTACAATACTAATTGGACATCTTCACTCAAAAGTATTTTTCAGATATTTGGATAATCGTATGATTTATGATTCAATATACAAAGCTATCATACATTTTATATTTGATTATATGCACAGGTATGTATTATATGGAACTTAATGTAATACTGTACTGAAATTAAGCAGCTTTTATATCCGATTTAAAGTTGTCCATTATGACTTTTCCCATCTTTCCTAAACTGTTTAATTTTAACCATTACCACTAAGTAAATGGCACAGAATATAGCATTTGACATTTCATCACAGTGCAAAATGTGTAAAATAAATTAAAAATTACTTATACTAGCACATTATCATAATTGTATGAAGTGCTCAGTTATTATCAGGAATATGCTGACTCTAGGAGTTTTTATTTATATTTTAGATTTTAGAAACGTAACAATTTACTATCAACCAATCGATATCAAACAAAATATTGAATCTAACAGCCTTCAAAGTGCAGAACTGCCAATTCCTTATTGAATTAAACATACTGCTTGTGAAACAGATAAAAAGTAGGTTCTTGTTACAGGTCTTTATAAAGAGCATATTTAAAACACACTGCATTTTAGATTTTCCTTACCAGAATTCATTCCTTTTGCTGTATACAAATCATGGATGTGGTGCCGAACGAACATGTATACATGATTAATCCTGTAAAATATTATTGCATTTCAGGTTGTGAAAATAAAATGCATAGGCTAATCCTCTGCTTTAATGTTCTGGTATCTTCTTCTAAGTATTCTCCAGAATAAACAAATGTTATCCTCAAAAATTCTATTCACTGACAGAACATTTCCAGTAGTTTAATTATCTGGTGGAAGGAATCAAGGTTCGGCTAACCATTAATAGCACTGTCCTCCAAAAAACACGGACTAAATCAATTTTGTCTACAAGAGACAAACATTCTGATGGGGAGAACTGTCAGCATCACTTGGCCTTGGTGGAGAAACTAAATGGCACCATGTATCATGATGCTACCCAAGGACAGACATTATAAATAACACTGTCAACTTCCTTTAGATAAGCAAGACTGCATCTTGGGGGCTGAGACCCGTAACCTGGAAATACAAGCCGTTGTGTGTACAACGTATTACCTTGCTGTGTTATTGAGACATGGACCTACAGAAGATTGTCTATCTACTGGATAAGCCTCAATTTAACACCATCATCACTCTCTTTACACAGAGTGCCCATATTTCAACAAAGCCATCAGTCCTTTGTATTGACATCCAATGGTATCACCCAGGATGTTAAAGCCCCTAAGTGCAAGTGGACAGAATTGACATGCATAAATTAGATTAATTCAGATGACGCTTCTTCACAACCAAGACATGTTCTAAGACTAACCTTGGAACAACCTACTGTAAAAACGTACATGTTTCAGCTTAGCTGTACTTATTTTTACCTTCTGTTACACATCTGACTGATGCTTTCATGGCTACCAGAGGTGCTACTCTGACATTGCAAAACCATGAGAGTAGACAATAAAATTCAGAATTCAGAAAGAAAAAAAAACTTAAGATTCGTTTTGATCTGCAACAACAAAAAAGCTATTTTGTGTAAAACATTTCATATTTATATAACTGTTTAGAGCTCACCCCTTGCCTCTTCTTTGTCTTCTCTGTAACCTGTATGCCTTATGTACTGTTTGGACTTCTCTTGGAAATTATACATTTGTTCATTCAACATGTTAAAAAATCTAAAAAAAAAGGATCTTACAGGACTGGATCTGATGGCTGGTCTGGTCAGTTATGAGCCAAGTTGTAAAAAAACAATAAGCAATTTCAAACCGAATCAGTACAGGCTAATAAGTTTCTAAAAGTTCCTTCTGGTTTTTAAATAATCTAGCCTCACATTTAAATTAAATATGAAGGAAACAGGTATATCTAGGCTTTTTTCCCCCCATTTCTCCAATAAGGCCAACCAGCACAGAACTAAGCCCACCATTATACCACAAACATACTCCTGATCCTCCAGTGAACACTCAGTCTGAATAATTAAACAACAAGATCATGTATCTCCTGTTTGAGCAAAAGGGCTGCAAGAAACTGCTGTCATGGATCACTCAAAATCAAGTCTCAGGCAAATAAGAAATACTCAGAAAAATAAATACCACTTTTGCTTTAGATCATTATACTATCAATCCAGAAAATCAGCACTATGAAGTCTCTAAGGGATATAAATATAGCAATGAGTCATGGTATTCCACTCTGGTATAAACTGCAGTCTGATAAAAACTGCTGTTCACGTTCTGTAACTTCCAGTTATGCCAGACTGATAAACAGCATGTCCATAATGGCAGCACATCATTAACACAAAGCTGACTCAGTGTGAAAGTTCATTTCCATATGCAATTATTCAGTTGACAACACATTTTGCTCTCTAAAGAGCGATGTTAAACTGTGATTACGAAGGAAAAAATTCATCCTCCCTCCCTACAAAAGTTGCTACTCTGACACAGCAAATCCATGAGGGTGGACAATAAAATTAATTAATTTTATTCCTCAGAAAGAAAAAGGGAAAAGTACATAAGATTCATTTTGACCTACATCAACATGAACTATACTAATTGGCAGTGTAATTAAGGACAAAACAGTATTCTTATCTGAAGGAAAAAAAACATTACCCTCATTTACAGACTGTCCTATATACAGTACATCTTCTCCCTGGGTTATATAAATTTGACTTTAAAAATCTCACATGGGTCCCATAATAAAAGCTGCTGGTAAGGAAAGCTGCAGTTACATGTGTAAAGAGTAGTGTGGTGAGCTTCATACCAGGTGAATAATATAAAGTAAAAGGTAATTCTAATCCATTTACTGTACTGTATACTTTAAGCATATGCTTAAAATGGTATTTTGTTATGGGGGTTTAAAAAGTTTTTTCATTTATTGTTATTTAATTTCTTCTGCTTATATAAACAAGGGAAGTTTCCTTTCTTCCTCTCTCTATCTCGAAGACTGCTGGCTGCAGTTACATTCTCTCTCGCTACCTCCCACTCTGATCAGCACACGCACCTGTTAAAGGACAATAAACCCTAGTGAGCTGCGCTCCGGCTCTCCCGTCCCTCCGTCTTCACTTGCTGACACAGCTAGGGAAAATAAAGGAGGATCATCATAATATAACGAATGTTAAATCTCTACATGTCTTCACACAACAGCCAAGAAAGGGTCACTTCCAGCTATAGCACCCTATAGTTAGATTTAAGTTACGTAAAGACTTGACTAACTAAACCCTTCTTTATTAAAGGTATTTTATTATGTATATTAAACTCCCATTGATAAAACTATAATGAAAAAATAATAAATCTAAAAACAGACTAGCATTTCCACACATTGATTCCTTCTACAAGCGTTATTAATACATGAAGGTTTTAGTAGTTAATTGGTTTGTGGATCTCCAACCAGCTATTTTTTGAAAGAACCCAGGGTATCAGCTGGCTAACAAGGCCAGGTAGCTGGTTCATCGGTCCCACAACCCGCTGTTGTGGAGTTAAAAAGTGCCTCCTGTCTGAATTTTAAATGTACTGCCTCTGCTTCTGCTTCTACTTTCCTCTAGTTCACGACTAAAGATTCAGTTCTATCAGCCTGTCAGTGTGGGACATTCCTTTGTGCTCAGGAGTGGATCCTCAAAATGGACTCATAAAAGAACGTCCTCCTCACACAGAACAAACACTTGCCATCCTGAACAGTGCATAAGGGACGTGACTGTAGTACTCAGTTTGTCAAAGGCACTGAGGTAGCCTGAAGGAGGTCTTCAAAATCAACAGTGAATCATGAACGGAAGCAGAAAAACGAAAACTAAAATAAAGTGCTTTTAAAACTGAGAACAGGATCCACAAAGCCAATACCATTGCTTCTACCAAGACAGAGCTGGATGAGATCCTTCGATCAATTACTGTAGTTACTAGCAGCCTAACAAGCTAGATGGTCAGGATGGCCTTCTCTTGACTAAAAAAAAAAAAATGTTCTTATGCAACACCCTGAAGCTATCTATATTAAATGTTATTTGCCAGTTGTGTTTGGTCCAAGCCACTGTGATTTTTTGAAGCTTCCACAGTGTTTTGATTATCCTCATTCTTTAACATAATATCCAAACGTGATCTTTCAGTTAAATATGACAGAATCTAGATCACTAACATATACCAGGAAGAACAGTGCTCCTATTACAGTTCCCTGAGGTACTCCACTTATTACATTAACCTAATTGAAACATTCATCCCATTTCTGTACTCTCGAGTTCCTGTCAATGAGTCCAATCTTAATCCAAGTACATTGTCGTGAAGGCTTACCACATGATATTTGATCATCTTCTTTGTGGAGCTTTATCATGAGCCTTCTTAAAATGTAAATGTATGACATAATTTTCTCCACTTATAACAATTACCGTTGTTGCTTTTTAAAAGCTCTGTAACAAGCTTAAGCAAAACCAAGGTTTTCTAAATCCACACTGACAAACCCAATGAAAATCATCGCCAAATAGATTGGTTCATAATTATTTGGTGTGTTTTGTTGCCCTTTTATGGGTTGGTGCTACAATAGCAGTTTTCTAGTCAATGAATGTTACCCCTGTCACAAGAGATCCCTGTTAATGGTCTGAGTAACATCCCACTTCCTAAAGTACAACTGGTAAAATAACACAGGGCCCACTAAGACAATCTGTTCAATGGGCTCAGCTGGTAACCAGTGACTACTGTTGTTGTTTTACCTCATTAATAGCTTATCTGGAATGAAAACCTACTGTACATACATACTGTCCCTCTAGGACCTGGACTGGACATCTGGTACACACATTCTACAGGGGATTTGTACTGACTTGGAACCTCTTATAGTATACCTCACTCACTCTAACTAAGTTTAATACAAACATCACCATAATGCATCACAGTGATAGTTCCAATTGTCATCACAACCTCCTTTTGGACTTGACTGGTTTCTGCATTAGTCACTTGCTAGGAGTCAAGGGCCACCACCAAAGCCATAACTGCCTTATCTTCTTCTAAACATATGGGAAGGCTGTTGTCACCCACAAGACGCTACCAAATTGTTGTTTCAGGGGAGCGAATGAAAAGTGAAAGAATTATACAGAGCGGTTAAGGTTGGAATGACTCTCAAATCCGATTATTTTTTTTATTTCAGTTCAATTCAAAATACATTATTCATCCCCAAGGGAGCAATTTAAGATCAGATTTTTACCGATATGCACAAAAGTAGCACAGGCAGAAGAACAGAACGCTGCAGGGATATGGCAAATAAAAGTGCATGTTTCTTTGTATTTGTTGTTTTCTTTAAAGGTACGTTTCCTACTGGAAATGTAATAGAAACCTTGACATTAAAGGACAAGTTTGGTTACAAAATGCCACTCAAAGTGAATAAACATAATAAGTTAACATTTTGTTCAAAGCATCTTATTACCCTCTTTGATATTCTTCTGGATAAAAATATTGATGTAATATGCTGTTTTCATAGCATAGATCAATTAAAGCTCTTGTAGGGATCTACTGTAGCAAGGGAACACTGTTTATGTTCTACATATTTAGAAATGTTCAGATGTTCAATCTTCCTTTCACGACAAGTTTTTAGACATCCTTACGAAACAGGAAACAGCAAATGTGATAACCAGAGAAGGTACCTCAAGCAACTCTTGTGAACACGGCAGTCTTTCCTCTCTCCCTTTACAATAATTGGAATATAATTGTCTACAATGAAAAATACTACAGTAATGGTTCTTTTAATCTACTTTCTGAATCAGATCCCACCTTCTACTTGTGGTTTAAAGGCAACTGTCCAGATCTAATAGAATGTGCTGATTCAAATGTTGAACACTATCTTTATTGCAAGATATTCAGTATGTTGGTGCAAGGCAACATTTTAGTCGGCTTTTGACTCGTTCTTCAACACAAATATAAGCAAAAACTTTGACCTAAACGGTTCAAATTTACCTCTTCAGTCAAAAACAACTTTTTAACTATCACATTTTTTGCTCAACACAAACTATATTTTATTTTCGTAATAATTCTCTTTCTTGGCATTCTAGAGATGTAACTAAACGTAGTAATCTTGTATTATCATCATACAGTATGTTAGCTATTCTGTACCTTATTTAGCAAGGACACTACCCATAATTTACTAATTCTCAGAATCAATTCAATTCTGTGTGGTATATTAAGGTGATCAATAACATGGGACAGTAAATTCAATTTTGTAAAATTTTACTGAATGCTAAGTGACAGTGCTTAGCTTTCACAATATATACTGCAAATTGAAACTAATGGAGGAGAGCTGTTACAACATGTTACAATACTTGAAAGTACTGCAGGCAAGATGAAAGGCTATTTAAAAAAAAACTAACAACTTGGATTTGGGATTGCTGCTGGAATTTGTTTTTATACTGTTCTTACACTGGAAGATGTGGTGCTTGAAGCTGCCTGCCTACAGCTAATGAACGCATGTACTTAGATTATTCATATGAGCAATTCATTCTTGTCACTAAGTAACATACAGTATGAAGGGACAATGCTTAATAAGGACATTGAAAATGAACTTCCAGGAAACAAACCAACCTCAGGCACTTAAAAGTAGAAACATACAGGTTAAGGCAGTTTTTAACAGAAGGGAAAACTCAGTTAGCTGTGGTCATTTCTTTAAAGTTTGTGTTTTCTGATTACCTTTGTATGTTAATAAAAAACATAAGTTTCCAGTCATCTTAAAACCTCAAGTATTACAAATATAAATGAATATAAAGTCTGTTATGTATCTTTTTTTTTTGCATCTTTACAGAGGATATAATGAATAAAGTCATTCTGATTAGTTTCTAGAAATAATCCACCTCTCCCAGCATCTCTCAAAAACTTCCTTCTGGAGTCTTAACTGAAAGGTTTATTTTTCCATTTCATAAATCTTTGAAACAATAACAATCCAGTTTTCTTTGTTCGGGGGCGGGGGGTCTCTTTGTAACCATTTATGTGTTATAGCTTTCTTACTTGTTGCCAAGAATACTTTTAGCAAGTATTTATCTCTAGCTGTGGCAATTAATGAAAGATAAGATGGTCTCTGCTCTTTTTCATACCAATTTAGTTTACCTCTGTCCGGACTGGTTTGAGATAAGCTGGCAAAATCATGCCAGCCGTAAAAGTAGGAACCACCTTTCACATCCTCCTTATAATAGGAGCCACCTTCAGCACTTTATGCACTGAAAATGTCGTATGACTACAACCGTAAAATGCAACAATGCAGCTAGATTTTAAAATAGCTTTCCTTGCAAAACGGGGTACTTTTCACAGGACAGAAGCAAAGAATTAATTGAAGGCTCAGAAAGAAGCTTCCAAATGTTACTGACCAAAATTATAGAGATCCATTTTTGCACTACAGCATGAAGGAAAGTAGACTCCTATGATATGCAGTATCATATTTAGCTATGCTGTTGTCCATATATCTTCTAACGGCTACATCCAATTCAGAGTCACGGGGGAGCCAGATCCTATATCGCCAAGCAATGGGCCAAGGCTGGGTGTACTCTGAACAGGACGCCAGTCCATCGCACAGCAGACACGCAGACATTCACACAATCACACCTAAACTAATTTTCCCAGAAACCAACTACCCTACCGGCATGTCTTTGGACTGTGAGAGGAAACCCAGATGAACAGAAGAAGAAAATACAAACCCAGCACTGGTCCAGAATTGAACCGGTGTTGTGAGGCAGCAATATTAACCATTGCACCACTTGTGCCACCCTCCATGCTGTAATGTTATTTAATATTATCTGTAGCACTTTCTTAAAATCACGTTCTGCGTTGCAGATTATGCTTGGAGGCAAACTCTTGTGTCTTGTGACTCCACATCAGATCATAATAGCAAAATACATTTGGGATTACAAGGCTGCTTGACTTCTCTGTTAAATCCAGTGTAACAGCCAAATTGTGTAATGTAATATCAGAAGCCTTCAGAGTTCACCATTACCATTTAGGGCTTTTAAGAACTTCAGAAAATACACTACAGATAAGGAAGACCAACTAAAAAAAGACTACGGGTTGTCGTTGTTTTTTCTTACAATAATGTAATCCTATTTACATCCAAAATTTACACCAGTGCATTGGAGACTGCCTTTAAAACTTGCGGGTCATGTTTCTCGTTGCACAAACAAGAGACTTAATGGACTATCTTCTCACTTATCTCTCCCAATTGCTCTCTGGGAAAATAAGACACTTCTTCTCTGTTCCGCTACTGTGGATTCGAGATGTGTCGATTGTGGTTAAAACATGGTGGGCAATTGTAGTGCGTTTATTAGTAAAAAAAAAAATACCTGCGTTAAGTAGTTTACTGAAGGAGAGCGCACATACTGTACAAGCTCTTACAACACCTCCGGAGGTTTTTATTATTAACGACCCAGCTATATTATTCCAAACTGAATAAGTCATGATATGTTATTTTGTTCTTGGTTGCAATGGTGCACAGCCGGGTTTGATACAGTTATTTTGTTCTCGGTTGTAATGGTGTACAGCCGGGTTTGATACAGTGCTGGAAATGTTTATATTACGAGCCGGCAGTTTGAAACAGTGACAACTTCAGTAATGACTTGAGAGCTGTGTAAAAACATCTAAACATTCAGAAAGGTTACCCCCCAACATGATTCAGGCATTCGTCTCAAAGCGACTTAGTACGGAAGTATACTTCCATGCATTTGGGCCGGTTTTTAAAAGTAGTCACTATGCAGTGCTGGCGAGAAAGCTCTAGAAGCACATTTATTTGCAAAACCCGCTCCGAACTCTCGAGGAGAGCGCTGTTCTGTTGCGCCAGGCAGAAAATACAAAGTGCCGGTACCTACCTGCGACAAACTGCGCAGATAAAAAGACGGAGACGGTAGCAATGAAAAATGGATTAAGCTGAGCAGTTCCGCGTCGGCTCATGTAATGCCAGGGACGAAAAAATTAAACACGCCAGTGTACTTCTTAGGTAATAACAAGGGCATTCTGGGAAATTCCTCCGTGAAAGCCATCTCCAAATATGAGCAAGAGCAGGACCGGGCTGCGGGGCTGGGAGCAGCGGGCTAACTTTTTACAGAGTGAGAGAAACTGTAACTAAAATGGCGTTTTTGTGTGTGTGTGGGGGGGGGATTGTTGTAAAGGGAGCTTTAAATGCGTCTTAAGAATTAAAGGTGGTTGTCTCTATGATGTTTTCACTTTTGTCCTCAATTACAACCGTGGACGTGAAACGTATTCGGTGACAGATAAAGTCGTAAAATAAATGCTGTTGTGTATAGTGGTACTGTAGAAGTGGTTTGCACGCCCCCTTTGAAATGATGGTTGGTGGTTAATATAATAACGTTTTCTGACGGTGAAATATTCGTATGCTAAGGCAAGTGAAATTACTTTTCTTTGCTAGAAGTGTATCCGTAATTCGTTTTAATCCGGTTCGTTTATAGCGGGCAACGCGATGTTAAGAAACCAATTTCTTTCGGTCTTCCGAAATTAATTACGGTAGATGTTTGAGGTCCGTTAACCATCAAAATCTGAATGCTTCTATAATTCAGACCAAATTTATCTCCTTCATGTCTGTATCTGTTATTCAATTTTCCAATATCACAGCAGTTACTTAGTTTACCGCCAATTGACTTACAGCGTGTGGTTTTTTGCCCTAACAACTTTATCGTCGAGGTAAATTCATTTATAAATGTTATGATACTATCAGTGTAGAAATTTGCTAAATTCATGAATTGAGATTTGAACTTAATTCACGGTAACTTGCCAAACTTTAAATTTTACTTCTACTTTGTACGGTCGTATGTTTTAATCTCTTTGACCTCGTGGAGAAAACAGGGCTGGGCTTCATTTCTGTCATTTTCTTGCAGACGCCATATAGCAATCTCTTCTGGAATAATCAGTCATATATATTCTACATCTAGTCCGCTGCATATGCACTTACAGCCATTTTTACAAGTTCTGTCTGTCCAGTGGCTCTCAGAATCTGGTCTCTTCCCGTTAGTCCTTCATTCTGGTTCAGGAAGAGTTTAGTTTTATTACACTAGCTGAACAGTGACTCATCTCATCCCTTCACAGCAGAAAAGATCTGGCTGGATTGAATGCTTCATAAAAATTGTTGGTACTGCATTGGGGGACTGTATCCCCCCTGCATCACTGGATCCTGTCTCCATAGTATTTGTTTGGTACTTTCAGCTGCTGGAATCTAGAGGGGTCCGCCCTGCTAGGTACCACTGGGAAAGACGGGAGACTTGGAATGCTACTGTTGAAGCCTCACTACATACAAGGTCATTAGGTCAAGACATGGATGGGAGTGTTACTGAGGGTGAGGGAAATGTTATTTTCAAGTTGTAATGTGCCATTTGAAAAACAAAATCTCTAATCTTTCTTATACTTATATGTTTTTACTATCTTAAGAAACAACCTATGAATAAGAACCATTTGACTTGCACTCTGAACATGGCAATATCTTCAACTTTGTATCTATTTACAGTATATCTTACTTTTATTTGCATAATTGAGGTCTGTGGTGGGTGAAAATCCACATTTCAATTAACCTGGACAGTATTTTGTGGAATAAAATGCGATACTGCTCATTTTTAAAATTAAACTAGTTCAGCTAGACTGGTTGTTTATGGGAAATACAAACACTTAAGCATCTACTGTGAAGCAGTGCACTTCTTTTAGTACATCTAAGCACACAACCCACAATTAAAAACCCCTAATAAACCTTTAATTAGAGTTTTTTTTACAAGACAAGTGACAAATTACATTAAAACATCTGAATTTTTAAATGTCTGGATATTATACACCTTCCCATCTGTCTTGCAGGTAGGGATATTGGTCAACATAACAGTATTTTTAATGGAAAATAAGCTGCATAATAGTACATATTACAATTATATAAATGTACAGTGTTTACATAAAATACATCAGAAAAAATGTAAGGATGCAGCTAATATCAAGCGCCACCTTGGAAAAATGCAACATCAATTTGTACATTCACTCTTGCAACAGGTCATAAAAAATTCAGGTGCACCAAAGTCAGACTGAAACATATAAAAATATAAACATTACCATGATGCACACAAAATACAGCAAAACTCCTTGCTTGAATTTATTTTACATATTTCCTCTGTGCAATTACAACAGATTAAAAGTTTAACGTTCCAACACTTTATAAACCCAAATACATTCTCAAGAAATGCAGTGCCAATAATAAAAAAAGCACAAAGTTAAGGCACAATTAGGTTCTCTGCTGTGGGGAGTGTGCATCAGGTTTCTTACATTTAGAATGTGCGTTGTCTGTACATCTTCGTGCTGCAAATACTGCACCCAGAATTAACTACACTGCATTTTTAAAAACATGACCGTTCAGTGAACCTAAGCTTATTCAAAGAATACTGTATATACCCCTAAATTCAGTATCCTCCTAATTTATTACAACTGAGGCTTAGATATTGCAAAAAGGAAAATACTTGAAAGTATGGCATTTTACAAATATAATCAGATCAGCTTATTTTTCTATTAATCCTTGTACAAAATATGGTAAACATGTTCATAATTTTTCAGTTTAAAGAATGCCAAATGTGACAGCCTTTGAATCATGAACACAAGTAGATTTCGAAATGCAACATTTTCTACCAAAATGATTTCCGAATAGTACAAAGTGGCCAATTAAAACAGGACTAGGCTACCAGAACTTTACATTCATTATGTGAGCAGGGTACTTATAAAAAGTGTGTCTAATCCTTTTAACACTTTAATGGACAAAAGTTTGCACTTTCTTTTCATATTATACAAGGTGGTGATTTAAACTCACAAAAACTGTCAGGCTAATGAGAAAAGGGTATGTGACAAGTCACACTATATAACTATTCAAAAATGTCAACCTGCCCCATATTCTAGAAAGGTTGTGTATTTGTATACACTTGTATCCATGTTCAAGGTTAGAATATTGAAGCATTTGCTGAATTTCATCTGCATAATTAGTAACTGAAATAACTGGAAAAATTTCCGGAAAAATTAAAAAATTACGGAATGCAGTAAATGTGCTCCAAAAGATAACCTGGATATAAAATAAAGGGGCAAGGATTACGGTGCAAGGGGTTCCTGTAGTCAAAATGGCAGTGAATGAAAGAATGGAGTGCAAGCCTACAAAACTATGTGGCTAACCATTCATATTATTGCTCTTTAGCTCATGTATGCATCATAATATCCATGATTTGGAAACCTTTTGAAATAGGAGAAAACGGTCCTTGCATTCATACCATCCCAAAATAGCTGTTCGATTAGCTAAGGTTTTTAATTTCTTGATCTCTGAATGCAGATGCAGTCAGTAGAACATTTACTGATAGGTAATAGAACATGAAAGCTTATGATTTGCTTTTATACAGACGATTCCACAATAAGCTACTGCCACCACCATATACATGTATTTACAGCACCCCCATCTAAGAGTTTGTGCATGCCGTTTTGTTTTACTAAAACTACTAAAGGGATTACATCACCCCAAACATTTGTAAGAAATAAATATCCACATTATCATACAATTTAAAGCTTAAATAGGGGCATACTTTAACCAGCACATGCAGCTACTCAATGTACAGGCTGACTAAACCTTAAGTTGTTTTGGGGAGTTGGGGTTATGTAAATCTTTTACATGTGCAATTACAACTGGAAGCCTTTAATTTCCTTGGTAATCTTCAAAAAACAAGTTCATTTTATCAGCCCAGAAATAAAATCCAGTTCCTTTGTGCACAGCTCCTGCACAGCTGCTCATTCTGATGGTGGCTTAAGAGATTTTGAAGTTCTTGCTTACGTTTGCTTTGTATATATATAAAAAAAAACAATTCTTAAGCTGCCACCTCAACGGCACCAGAGCAGCGCTTGAAAAAGAAACTTTCACCAGCTTCTGTTGATGTGGCTCCAAAAGGTCTTGGACTTTTTTAAAACGAAGGAAATGTTTTCATAAAAAAAAGAAAGGAAGACAGCATCCGCACCAGAGCCCTCTCATATTGTGAGCAGTTCAGGCGGTGGTTGGCACACTCAGGAAAACCCCGGAGAGTTGCCTGTGTTGGTCCGGTGGCGCAGGTGTGACATAGTTTTCATGTGTTTGCTGGAGGGCTTCAGAGGAGTGTTGCAGTCCACAGCCTGAGGAAAGCGCTGGTGGTATCGGTCAAGACGAAGGTATTTCACGGTTACCAGCTTCCCTGGAGAGAAAGATTAAGGGGAGAGGGTTACTATGAAAACCAAGCCACAACCATAGCACATACTAGTACCCAATACCAAGGGCTTAAATCAAATTCCATCTGTGTACAAACTACACTTTGCCTGAAGACCACAATTTGAAAACTTCAGTTTAAAACCAGATGGAACTTTTAAAAGGGTCATTTAATCTGATGTTAACATTTGTTGCTCATATTCTACGAATGCAAGATCGAATGTTCTTATGGTCGTCATGTGAAGTGTATAATGGTATAACTCTGAATGGGTAAGTTACTCAAGTATCAGCCTACAACAAAAAATAAAACCTCTTAAGGTGGCTATGACTTCCATGCCATAGCAACCTGATCTCTCAAAGTCATCCAATTCTCCAGCTTACTGAGCAATTTCTCTGTTTTGCATCTTCCAAGAATGTCCTACGCTTTCTACTCTTCAATGACTACCAGTGCCTGCTTGCGTCCAATCCTATTGCTCTCTTCTTCACTGCCACCTGCAAATCCTTGCATCTACCAGCAGCCTGGTACATCACTCATCTTGCTAGCTGCTTAAGTGTTCCTTTTCTTCACCCTCCTAAAACTAGTGCCCACTCAGTCTCTCGCATCACTATAACATAGGCATCTCAAGCCACCTTAAAAACCATCTATTCAGATTGCTGCTGCAGGCCGAATGATCCATCTTTACACACAACCTATACTCTTGTGAGTTTGCCACTGGTACGTCATTCTACCCACTAAGAGATAAGACTTCACATAACCTTAATTATAATACATTTTGCCATCAGGCATTTGTATTACAATCAAAATATTTGATGTAGTAGCAGCATTTTTTGTATTCTAGTTTTAAGTAACAGGCAAAAGAGAAGTTAAATTACTGGAAAAACAGCACAATGTGATAAATCCCTTTTCTTAATGCAGTTGGAAAGGCAACCATTTGCACTCCTTCCTGAATTAAACATATGTCGATGTATTGCAAGTATACTGAATCGATCTTCCATACACAATTTAAAGCATTCAACTTAGATCGGAAGTCCTGTGGATTTCCAAACCACATGGAAGACACATTAGTCCCTGAAAAAACCAAGCAGTGTGTGTGCACAGTTGCAGTTCCGTGTAGAAAACCTGTTTATTCTGTGGTTATTAGATCACCAAGTTACCATAAATATTGTGCTGAATAAACCACATGCTACAGCATTAGCTTTGATGAACACCTTTAATATGAAACGTGTAAACCTTAAAAACTTTGAATACGAATTCTTAGCTTCATATTTATAAAAACTTTACTTTGACGGCATTGTATGGGGATAAGGGAAAAGAAAAAATGCTCATCACACTCCTGCATGAATGTGTAAAACACCCACTTTGTTACAATAAATATGTAAAAACTAAAACCAAGGATGTCTAATGTCTGATAAATGCATCAGAAAAGGCAACAATGGTCACATTGTTGAAAAACTTTCACCTACTGAATCATAGAACTGACAGTCTGATCTTAAAGACGACTCATGGAACAAAAACTGCATAATTAAGATGTTTAGGCTTATTTGTCTTACCATCAAACCAAGAGCCATGTAATGCCTTGAAAGCTTTGCCAGCATGCTCGGTGGACAGGCATTTCACATACACGCAGCCCTGAAACAGGCAAAGGGAACAAAGTTATACTTTTCAAAAACAGTGACAGCTTCATAGATAGGTGTACACTTGCTCTTAGGGACAATCAAACCAACCTCACGTGAGTTCTTGTCCACCGAAATGTGAACAATTCCATCATTGTTACTGCACTTTTCCAGAATGGCCTCATGAATCGCCAAATCCCAGTTTTCACCAACCTCCCTGATGAAAGAACAAATTGTATAAAATACACAACCCTGGCAGCTGAATCCTTTAGTGATACTGTTGAAAGGGCTTTACAGGCAAGGGGTTGTCCACTTCACCTCCACCAATAGGTAGGACCCACCTGGATGATGCAATGGCAGCTAAAGTGCACCAGTACACTCATACATGGGGATTATTAGGAGATATTCATTCATAAAGGCCAGGGTGAGGGATTTGGCAAGGACACTGGGGTTAACACCCCTATTCTTTTCATTTAAACCTTCTGTGGTCATTTAAAATCCCAGGTTATGGTCAGGACCTCCTTTTTACACCTCAGATTTGCCCAACCTTATAAAGCATTTAAATAAAATGTAACAAAAGTACATGAATTGAATCACTCTGTTTAGTGACAACCCCAAAACACAGTGAAAAGTTACATTTTAAAACTAGATATGCATTTTAATTATATGCAGGCTCAGTTCAATGTAGTTTCTACACAAAATACGAGGATAAAATTTGCCTTTTAAATCTAAGAACTGCCAATTCAATATTTTAACCTCTTTTCCAAAACATTTAAAAACCATGTTCCTCACCCTTTAAAACAGCCACAAAGCACTGGGACCTGTTCACTATAAGTTGCACAGTAATCTTGAAGGTCAAAGTTATACGACAGTTATAGCAATTTAGTAAGTAACAACTTCATTTGACCATAAAGCATGCTGACACAAAGTGCAGTTTGTGAAAGATCTGTTCTTTCTGAACAAATTGATATACAAGTCATTCAACTGGTTCAGGAAGATGGAACCAAAGCAAGAAATTATTCAGTGCCAGTCTCAGAGAATGGAGGAAGAAACTTGGGAATTCAATTTGATGCCATAGAGTAAATGCTAAGCAATCGTACATCAACTAACAAAATAAAACCACACATACCCCTCATATAAAGAGCATGTACACTTGAGGATGGTGTGTGATTCATTTTAAGGGTTATTTCAGACAGCTATATTTAACAATCTAGAAAATACTGAATTAATTAAACTAAACATCTTATGTACATATTGTAGAAGAAGTGTAACCATCTTTTTGTAAGGCCCAATGTACATGACTTCAGTTGTGAACGTAAATACACCTTGGGGCAAAAACACTGATCACCTTGATTTGATGCGTTCAGAAAGTCACTATACTATTTTATTACTTTCTATTGGTTCTCCACTAATTTATTCCACCTTACTTGTGGTGATAATCAATTTTTTTATTTATGTGCTTCTACAATATTTTTTACTTACGTCTTGCTGCTGTTAGACAAGCTAAGCTCTCATTAACAAAAGGGTCTATATATCTGTTTTACACAGTAGATAACGCCATTGTCAAGTATCAATTTATACAAAAAATTTTAAAACAAACCAGCCAGGCATTCAAGTTCAGATTTCAGAACAAATATTAACCAAAACAATCAAGATGTGCCACTCGAGTTCATTCATCGTCACAAGAAATTTTAAACCAAAATGCCAAAAGCAATTCTCGTCCACTAGGAAATATAAAGACGGTACTCACATTACTGGATCAAACATGTTGCGGATTTTCAAACATGGTGTTAAACTGTTCGGTGGAGAGTTTCTTCTGTCAAGTGGAAAAGCTGACAAACAAGTAATGCATCATGTCAGTTTTCTTTACCATAACCCTTAGAAAAAGCTACATGGTGAATTGGACTACTAAAGACAGAATCAATTCACTCAAGACTAAATCTCAATAGAATGCAATACCTAATTCTGTAGGCATTTCTTAAGACTTAATTTCCTTCAAACACACCTTATCAAAACCTCTATGTACCAAGCATGAACTGGAATAGGGTATTACCTTTGCCCTGCCACACTTTGGAAGGGATGATCGACATTTTCTCACACACTGTTGATGGCTGGGTCCACCTCCACACGAGGAAATCTGCTCCACCTATTTGCCGAGTTTCAGTCCGTATTCTAGATTCATTTGCCATAAGAAAATTCACTGCTCTCTCCCACACTTTTTTCATTTTCTTCCTGAAAGAATTAAAAAAAAAAAACTTAATACAGACAGGAGAATATTCAGAGATTAATACTATTAAAGAACAATATTATCCAAGATGGCCTCCATTATACATGAAATAACATACCTGTTCACTGGCAGGATCAGTGAGTCTCGGACATGGGGAATAGGCAGGTAGGGCTGCAAGTCTTTGTTTTCCTGGAAAGCTTCATTATGGCTTCTAAGTACATCTATAAATGGAAAAACTATTTTGAGCAAGCTAAGCCCATTACTGTTTCAATTCATCTCACATTCTCCACTTAAAGTTTCCATTGAATTTAAAAAAAAAAAAATCAGAAAGTTACCTATGATTCTTTCCACCATGTCATACATCTGTCTGGTCTCTTCTTCCTCCTTCCTACAGCGATACTTCATGTAATAGAAGACACCACACACTATTCCAATACCTGCAAATAAATATTGAAACATTTAAGACAGTAGAAGGGACTGCATCACTAGTTTTATAAGCGTTTATAAAATACTCCCATAGGATTTTTGTCTTTTAGTGAGAATTCATATTCTAGTCCACATTTTTAAATAAATCTTGAAGGCTTTTCTTTCTATAAATCAGATAAGCCAGTTGGCCTTGTATAATTTGCAACCTTGCGTTATCAGATAAGACAGGTATAATAATGAGCAAGCACTATGAAAAGCCTGTATTTAAATAAAAAAACAGGTCTGACAAATAATGGTTTGCCACTTTTAGTAAAAAAGGAGCACTATGCTTACCTACGATACAAATCACAACTCTGTGGATAACGGTGAGAAATGCACGTCGAAAACGGCAGATAAAGGACATGTTGGGATGAGTGGATTCCAGGTATTTTATTTCCGAAACATCTGTTACTTTGTCCTTGGGATCACTGCCAATCAACCTTCCAAGACAAAAGGAGGGTTATTAATGAACAAAACACAGAACACCTTATGGCAAAATTAGTATGTTAGCAGTAGTTCCACTTTTGAACAGCAAACCATAACACATCCCCGTTGTTTGGGGAATGGGAAACACTAGAGCTCTAGCCCAGGATCCAGACTAGAGAATCCTGCTCTGTAGCAGCGTGACGACACAAATTAAGAAGCAGCGACCCAGAGACCTCTAGGAGATACGGTGAATGTGGAAACAATGGTAACAGTAAAGAAAAGGCTTCTCTTAGAAATCTAAGGTTCACAAGAAGCAGATTCATTTTGACACAGTGCTAATTATGTAATTTGCCCTAATGACATAAGTGCTCCAAGAGTTTGCAAAGTAAAAAAAAAAACGGTTCATCCGAAAACTACACGCAGCTGCACAGAAAAGCGCAAAGTAGAGGTTTTGCATCTTCTTTGAAATTCTAGAGAACTAAACAAACAGCAACATCTAAGACTGCATTCCAAAAAAGTTCCCATAAGGATGAACTCGGCAGTAAGTACTGTGTGCTCTGGAAAGAGCAACAGCGTGTGACAGTGGTGTAAAGAAAATAAGCAACCACTCTGTTAAGGACTGTATTTTGGAGCTGGCTTGCACTTGTTCTAAAGATGGCTGATGTACTTTTTTTTACCACTCTGTTATGACCCTTAGACGAGTATATACAATTTTGCAAGGTCCACACTATCTTCTGGTTTTAATTCCACTCATGCTATTTGTTAATTTAACAACCATATACATGCACATTTGGCTGTTACTGTTATCCAAAGCAACTTACACCTGCACATATTTATACAGCTAGGCATTTCACTGGAGGAGGGTGAAGCACCTTGCTCAAGGATAAAAGAGTGTCTTACTAAGGATGTGAACCTACAACCTTCTACTTACAAGCCCAGAATCCTAACTATTGCTCCATACTGCTGCCCCAGTACCTTTTTTTCCCAGATGGGTAGGTTTACGGAAAGGCAAAGCACAACGAAAAGATATTTCTAATCAGCTTCTTAGATTCTAAAGAACATCCCGATTGCAAGCTCTTTAAAAGAATCTAGAGAGACAAAAATCAAAAACCTTGATTAAATGATAGTTAATTTTGGTTTCCATGTTGCTCATCGGGTGAAAGCCTCTGCTTACAGTGCAGGGCCTGAAACATGAGACTGCTCGTTTGAATCGGGGCTCGCTCATCAGATGCATGTCTGGGATCCAGCCAGGGGCAGGCACAAAGAACCACATACTTCCAGTGCCAAGAAGGCCTGGAGTTGACCCGAGTTAGCAGCTTGTTCGCCTGCAGGATTATCAAAGAGAGCTGCACCAGACTTTCTTTGCACCATTTCATTGGCACAGACCAGCTTACCTTATTCCTACGTCACCCTCGCTTTTAAGGATCCATTTGAGGGCGGTGGAAACATTCTTCTCATATTGTGGATTGTAAAGCTTAAAGTCAGAGATTGAATAATATTCATTAGGACATGAAAATATATTTGCTATTTTGTCAAATGGCTTTTCAACAAAACCTTTTTTAAGGTGCAACCCAAGCAGTTTTGTGAAAAAGGACTGAAAAAGGCAAAAGGCCACTTTACTTACAATCAGAATGTTTTGAAAATGTGCCAAAATTATAAATAAAAGCAATCACATAATGAAAAGTTTAATGTGCAGCTACAAGATATATTAATACAAAAAAAACTTACAATTAAGACCTCTGAAGCTTCATTGATAGAAAGACTTCTGTTTGCATGATGGATATGATCACCACAGTCATGTTCACCTTAAAGAATTAGAACAAAGCACAATTGCAGTAATATTTGTGCAAAATAATTAGCTTTTTTACCAAGTATGATCACACATGGAAAAAAATGTGAAAATGCTGTTTTTTTCAAATATTGGGGAGCTTTTTCTTTGTCCATAACTACGAAGTACAAACTTCACTAACATCTCACACAGCTTTATGTTCACATTGATGTAAACATCATCAATTTTCCAACCGCTTTAATGAACTTAGGGTCACAGGGGAGACGGAAACTATCCCAGCAGGAAATGGATACTCCCTGGATGGGACACAAACACACTGCAGGGCACACAGAAACACACTCACACAATGCTAGCCACTGCACCACCGTGCTGTCCTTCATTTGATATAAAGGGTAACATAAATCCCAAGTTCTTCCCCCCAAAAAAAAAATTCCTAAGAAGTCAGTCATTCAGATTTTTCTTGAACTCTGTGATTATTTCCAAAGAATAAAAAGACTACCATCTAAACTAGCAAGGCAAATAAAATGAGGAAAAATCAAAATGCTTACCTGCTATTTTGGCCAAATGGTCATGTAGATGAAGTAAAATCTTCAAAATCATTGCCTTTTCTTGATCTTTCTGTAAAGAAACATTTCCAAAAATGATCAAATATGGCAATTGACAACATGAGCTAAATTATGTACCAAGATCTATTGGAAGGACACCCATTTAAAAATTAAAGCTACACAAAGTATTCAGTGGCAGTGCTTGGAAAGCCATAGGGGTCTCCAGGAGTTATGAAAGCACCAGCCAACTATGCCCACCCTACCCTTGCTTAAGCTGAGTCAATCATGCACTGCTGCTTGGGGAATCCCAGTCACAGTCACAGTCAGCTAGTGACATGGCCCAGGCTCAGAACCATGACCACAGAGCTCAGGGAACCAAATATGACAACAAGATGATGCACCAGGTGAGGTAATTTACCAATTAATTACCACATTACACAGAAACGGAAACAAGCTTCCGATACAACCAGAAGCTTTTATAGGTTTCAACTGCCTACAAAACACTTATTTGCCACAAAAAAGTAAGCAAATCTTCTATAAAAGGCATATAAAGCATTAAGTGCTTTAATTTTTGATGAGTAAGAAAACCAAGAGATTATGGCTAAATAAAAAATATATTTATTGCTGAAAATTGTTAAGTTTTAATACAATTAAAACAAATAAACAAGCAATAGTTTAAAGAAAGGGAGATTGAAATTTGCTAAATCCAAACTGAATGTTACAAAACTAAAAAACTATGTTATGTATTGTGATTACTTTTGAATATACTCAACATCCTGGATTATATCCCAGAATAATTTAAAAACCTAAACCATAAAGCACAGATGCACATTTCAAAGAGTATACTTACATAAGCGTTATCAAAATCAGTGCCAAATGGATGGTTCTTAACTGAAAAAGAAGAAAGATTATAGAAATGAATACATAATGCTTGATCAGCTCCCATAACTTGAAATTCCTAAAGACGCTCCTATCCAACAGCAAACGGGTGTACGTAGTCAATGCTTGGGAACTAAGAGTCATCTTCAACTCTATCTACTTGATGCTGCATTTGTGTCTTTGAATGCTAGGTCTTTAATTCACAATTGTATTTTCTAGTTCTCAACTGCTCCATCTGAGAGACAATGTACATCACCATTCCTAAAGCACACAGTAGTGCCACATTAAGTGCAAGAGTTCTTTAGTCAATTTACCCACCTCCTCGTTTGATTTTGGGTTCTGCCAGCCTATTCACAATACCATTCTGAAGCCAAACATCTAATTTTTGTACGTCTTCATGAGTTCCCATGTTTTTCTGCCATAGAAACACAAGGGAGCAACGAGCACCTTAAAAGTCTAAAGGGGAACTTTGGTTTAAGTAGAAGATGTTGCTCACCAAATATTTTACTTATTTGTATCTCAACTTGATGTGGTTCCAGCAGTGTTATAAAATTACAATTTAAACTCTTATTTCCGTCTCTGACTATCTTTAACCACCATCTTACAGTTTCTTATCCATCTTCTGCATTATTTCGTTCACTTATACATGCTTGTATCACCACTGACATGTTTATATACAATAGCTCCATAGGCATGCCAAGAGTTAATCATGCACTTTTAATGGATCTGCATGCCACTGATCCATTTTTAATGAGCGTAATAACTTATTTTGAATAATAACCTTTTAATATTAAAAAGTCTTACCATTTAGCATGATTCTTGCCCTTTCTAAATTCTCCAATCACGGGCTCATACCTTGACACTACACGGCACACCAGCCTACAAGTGCTCAGTTGTTAAATGGCTACAGGAGGGACAGAGAACTGACTTCATACGTGAAAACACCTATTCACAGAGGTATGTAGATCCAAATGCTGCAAGCATTGAAAATGTTACTTTCTTTGAACAATCAAATTGGCAGGGACTTCCAACAAGTCATAATAGAGACATTGCTGCGTTTTGTAGATTCTGGAACTTTGAGTCCCATTAGTCTGAGTACTGTACTTCAACACCCATGCACTAAACACTGAAAAATCCATGTTGCTAGTATCAATGCTGGTTTAAATCAGAAAAGGTAATGCCAAAACATCTGACTTTCTGAAATCTGACAAAATTCTGATTCCAATTCTCACTTATTCACTATAAACTCGGTGACATGCATTGTGCAACGTTTTAAGTTCTTTAAGGTGTTGGACTTAGCAGAAAGTAGAGGAGCCAGTCAAGAGGAAAAAATTGCAAGTTTTGCAAGAAATGCTTTGCACATTTGGAAAAGACCTATAACAGGTTCATTCATACGCATGGTGATGTTAGCTAGAAAAATTAGTTTTGCAGCCCATTTTTTACTAATTTGGGGTATTTTTTACCTTTTTCTTCAAAAAAAGAAACCTTGATTGCATCAAGACAGTCCACAAAGTGTGCTAAAATGTTCCCAAGGCTGAGCCAATGATCACTGCTGTAAAGCAGAATATTCTTGTTCACACTGCCCATCTCCTAAAGCAGAATTTAAAACTGTCCATGTGTCAAGGTAAATCATGCAAAGAGAAAATGCATTATTTTCACCCGTCATCACATTATTAGGTTGATTCGAACTCTTGGCACAACATTTTTTTCTAATGAATAATAATTTGCTTTCTCAGCAACCACAATTTGGTCCAAAATGTTATCAGTGGCATGAATTGCGAGCTTTCCTGTCGAAACAATAGGCTAGCCCTGCTAAAAACAGTGCAGTAAATAAAGCAAATGAATTTTTTCAATACCAAAACTTTTTTGGTGGGTATCATGTCGTAAAGTATTACAAAACAGTCAAGCATAATATCATTTTTTAATTTAAATTCTTTGTGGCTTAGTAGACTTATTGCACATGCTGTTTAAAATCCCTTCAAGCATGCTGTAGGTTGTTGACCCCAAAGTTAGACTTTTCTTCAGCTAAACCTTGATTATCAGAGTGATCTTCAGCGCCAACGTTAATTAAGCAATTAAGGATCTATCCAGTAATTAAATTGGAAAGATTCATGCCCTTAAATCACAAAAAAGTACAAAGGTTAACAACACCTGGCTAAAGACGTGCCAAAAACAAAATGGAAACAATGCAATGCAGGCACTGGAAGGTCATACCGTTATGTCCAGTAAACTAGTGAACTTCACCAGCAATGTGAAAACATACTGAAGCCTATATCCAATGCCTTATAGTTCTTGACAATAGCACCATAATCTGACACTCGAGGGTACCATATATCATGTCTCTGCTCTGGGAAATGAGGCTATTGCGTGTTCAAAAGCAAGGCACAACAATAAACTAAGCTCTTCCCAAGAACAATAGACAACCAACTAATATGATATGATCACAGGGATGTTTTTTTAAGCTTTAACCCAATGAAAAGACTAAGTGCTGACGTCTTTCTAGCAGACATCTCAGATACTGGAATCATTCCAGCACTTTTGTTTTTGCTTTGGATTAAAATATGCCCAAGGTTTTTTCACGCCTCTACTTAAGTTTTTTGCTACCGCTTAAGGGATAATTGTAACAACAATGGAAAATGGAAATTTCAAACTTTGGAGTTACCTACTGTATGTACGCCGCCTGTATAAAAAAAAAAACAATAACCTGTACTTTCAAATAAGTTCTACAGTCCCCCTCATCTTTTTCTTTGAAGTGCTCCAAAAGGCACTTGTAACTCAGCTATAAAATTAACTGACTTCTGCAGAGGTTGCGAAGGAACGTAAACGGCCATCCGTTACCACAGGACCCCGATCAATTTCCTCTCTACCTATAATCTTCAATTCCCCTCTCAATGAAATTCCTCTGCTCCTTCTGAAATCTTACAAACATTTCTTCTCATTGAGCTACTAGCTATCAGAAAAAAACCCTAATGGGTGAGCAGAACACAATCTACAAAAAATAGTCTCTTTCCCAAAAACTTTACTGTCACCTATCGTCAAACAAATTCATATGTTGGATGTGTGCATGTACAACTTCAATGCGATGCAATTAAGATTAAGCACCCTTTAGGGGTGATGAATTCAAACAAAACTATTCCTCATTCTCTCTTATTCACATTAGGTTGAAATTTATTGTTTTCTACTCAGCTGCAGAAACATACTACAAAGCAAAATATGCATTACCAACCTATTTCTTTTACACTATAACATACATTATTTCACCCAAGAAAGATACTGTCCATTTTGAAATCCTTAATAATCTGGTCTAGTATTTAAGAATTGTGGAAGGATGCAAAAGCCATGTGTGATGTTCAATGACTGCATTTAGTTTGACCAATTTAGTTACAACCAATTAGTTTATTTGAATACGTAATAAAAAAAAAAGTGATCAATGAATGTTCCCTTCTGCTGAATCAACAACTAAAATGTCCCTATTTCAGGGGTTAGAAAGGATGGACAGTGATGAGCACATTTCAAAACACAGTAAAATCTATATGGGGTAACATGTAAAACATACAATTTACATCACAAAATAGATGATATTTCCAGGTATGCTGTGGGCCTTAATCTGAGATACAGAACGAGGCAATAAAACTTCTGGTAACATGAAGCGGACCTATTACATTGTAAGCAATCAGACTTGTGAATACATCTCTTTTAATCCAATAGAAAAAATGCTTTCAATTTCAAGACAGTTTGGTTGACATACAACTTACTTGTTTTACCCTGCATGCAGGGTAAAAACAAGAACTTTAGAACATTTCTAGGTGAAATGTCTACTGCACAACCTGTACTTATTCGCTTATTACATGAGTCATTAAAATAACTAGTGAGCAGGAAGGGGCACATCACGTCACAAGTCACATGAACTCACTCTCAAGACCAAAGGTTTGTGACAATATGGCAACTATCCAGTACTGTCACGAAGTTCACGATCATGTGCATATTCGGAATTTGTCAAAGTGATTGACTGTATTGCGAAAATGTTTTTTTGTTACAGCAATTTAATAACCTGTCTGAGAAACAAACTGTAAATCCCCTTTAAGTAACATCAGTTCCTTTCAGGGGAAGGGATTATGACAGAGTTGACTGGCAACTAAGATAAAAAAAAAAACACTGGCAAAGTTGATTCAATGGACTAAGCCAGTTTGCCATTACATTTGCTTAATTTGCTCATTAATGCACCAAATAATTTTGTAAAATGAGGATTGTGATCTTTTGATTTTATTCTCCTTTTTCTCAACCAAAGGCATTACATTGTCTTATTTTTAGGTCTTGTACTTATTACACATGTAGTCCAATGCACAGTATTTGATTAACCTTAAAAACATTAAAAGGCAGTTTGGCTGCTTTCACATTTCAGGGCTGTTAGTAAGTATTCAGATATTCCTGACACTTAATGGGATATTGATTTTTACATCTGAAACTGAAGTTCTTGAAATGTACTTGGCTGCATCTTAATGACAATACTTCTACAGCTCATGTAATTCCTCCACTCAACTCAGCTTTAAATTGTTAAAGTTCTTACATGTAGTGAACTGCAAATATAATGCAAATCATTTTTATGGCTTTTTTTCCTCACAAAAATCATTTGAACTAGTAAAATCAGATTCATTTTACTTGCTGGAGGAGGAGTATGTAACCAAAACATTGCTATGATGATGGACTGCTGTTTTTCCTGAAACATTTAAGTAAATCACACATTTGCAACACCCTCCTTTTTACTACTTGCTAGCATTCTGGAAAAGATGTAAACTGTATATTTCGTTGGACAAATAAGAGGGAGATTAAGAAAATAAGGAGATTCTGGAGTTTGGCCTAATGAAGCATTAGCAGATTTACTGTAAGCATTTGCATTGATTTAGTCAAATTTCTCCACCTCCAATCCCATCTCTCAATCCTGATGTCACTCTAATGCTTAGAACTGATGGTGTGACAATCCAGCTAACCGATTTGAAACCCAACAAGAAGGAACGTTGCCTCCTGAACATTTGGAAAAACATGCATCTATAAACAGTTATACATTTGCATGCTGCACTTAACTACGTGGATGTGAATTCAAATTGAGAATAGAGGCGCTTTACTCAATGGGGTTGGGAGTGTGGAACAATCTACCCAGCCATGTGACTGAAGCCAATGTTTTGGTTTTCATAAAAAAAACAGCTGAATAAGATCCTGGGATCAATAAGCTACTAACTACCAAACAGGCCAAAAGGGTCAACTGGCTTCCTCTTGTTTGTAACCTTATGTACTATAAGAAACTTGCTGTTTCATGAATAGACATTTTAGCTAGTTTTGCCTGCACGGGTATCCAAGAGGTTTGTCTTTGTGACATTACCCAAAGGACCCAAACAATGTCTTCCACAACAAATGACTTAAAATGAAGCTAGCTTAATTAGATAACGGTGAGTAAAAACATGAATTAAATTTTCGTTAAACTGCACTATATGGTTTTCAGTGAGATAGTTTCTCTCTCGAGTGAACCCAACCTTAGTCCTGAACAGCTACATACCTGGAGGTTTTATGGATGATCCTCATCTCACACATTCCTAAATCTCGGGATCTAATAATCACTTAACCAGATTTGTTCAGGTAGCAAGAGGCCATTGGAAATAAAAATGCCAAAAATCTTTTGAGGACCAGAGCAGATCACCCCTGAATGATACAATGAAACCCTGCATTTTGCTCTTTTAACTGTTACTAGTAATAGAAAAAAGGAACAAAATGCCAAAACTCTTGCAAGATACAGTGTGCATTTGTTAAAAACCAAGAATGGAACAGGGCAGGTTTAATTACGTCTTCATCCAAGAAAACAGTCCAATCAAAAACACACTGACAACTTCAAAAACTTAGATTTGTTTGAGTAAAGGAGATTAACTCCACATGAGAAGAAAACAATTCCAAAACAACCAAAGACAAAAAGTCAAATGCGTAAATACAGATTTCCATATACAAGGGTGTTCTTTTTAAACCCCAAAATAATTAAAACATTTCCAATTTCACTGGCTCCAGACCCTTGTGTTTGTCTTGCTAGTGAACCTTGCACGTATTGGGATGATTTCAAACACTGAGCCATCAAACTGTTCAGCCCTTGATTTCAATGACTCTCAAAAAACCATCACAACGGCGATACACAACTCTCTCTCCACTCCAAGGACAACTTGCAAGTCGGGGCCAATCTTGTATCGCGTATTCCGTTAAAAAGGAGCACTCAACAGCATCCGGCTTTTAATGAAAATGACATACTAGAGCGTTATGGGGAAGGGAAGGAGAGTCAATCCACTCCAAAACGCTGTGAAACCGATCATTGGGTTTCTAACAGGAAGGGCCCCACGTGTGTTTATCATGCGCTGTACCGATCCCCGTCAGACGACCGACAGCGTCCGAGATTTTAAAGCGACGGTCAACCGGTACACCGCTTTAGAGCTGTGCCGATCTGATAACTGGAAACAAGCTGACATTTCGCCATTACTCTGCATTTACCTCGTATACATTTTGCGCTACTAATCCCCAACCCCCTTCTTTACCCAATAAGCATTCCCAGCCGATCAGAAGACGGACCGGGCACCCTTTTATAGGGGACTTTTCTAGCATGATGCGCTGTCGAGACATGCGGGAAGGCCGGCTGTACTTACTGACGACCTCGACCTCGGCAGCGCCGGAGCCCCTCATCCGCAGGTACATGAGCCCCAGCAGCAGGAAGAAGAGGCAGGCGGCGGTCAGCAGGAACATGGACAGGTAATGGGCGCTGAAGCCGCCGGTGGCCGACACCTCCTCCCGTCGGAACTGCTGCAGGAGCTCCTCCTCCGGCGCCGCCGAGCCGAACGCGTGGTTCGGGCCCGTGTGGTTCGAGTGGTTGGACCGGGGGCTGCCGGCGGCCGGGACGCTGTTGTACGAGGAGTAGCGGGTCTTTGTCCCGATGCCGAACCGGCTGCTGCTGCTGCTGTTGATGTGGTTGTTGCTGGCGGCGGCGGCGGCAGGGTTGGAGCCGCTCCGTCCCCCGACTCCACTCGCCCCCATCACCCCCGAGAAGAGTCCAGACGGTCCCGCGTAGCCGCGGTACCTCAGGTCGCCGCTCAGTCCCGGCTCTCCACGGCCATAAGTCCCCTCCTCCGTCTCCAGCCGGTCTCTATTCTTCGCCAACTCTTCCTCTTCCTCCTCCGCCCCCCGGCCTCTCACCATGTCTAGACTCCCAGAGGCGAGCTTGTCATTTACTACGGTTACGCCGCCCTCCACCCCCCTGGCACCTCTCTGAGGAGACGGCGGCGATTTAAACTGACTCCGTCTGGGGCTCAGTCGGCGGTCGCGGAGCCTCTCCTTCCCCGACGCGCTCTCTTCCTCCTCCGAGTCGGAATAATCCCCCGCCGGCTTACCGCCGCTGGGAGGGTAAGACGCCCTGCTCCCGTTCACAGCCCCGGCGCCCCGCTCCGTCTCCCCCTCGTCGAAATCGTCTTCCTCGCCCTCCTCCCCGTAAGCCCCGCGACGGCGCACGACGTCCCCCCTGCCTCCCCACAGGGACGCCACGGAGAGGCTCTTCCTCCCTTCCAGAGGCGCCGAAGGGGTACTGGCCAGGCTGCCAGTCACACCGACGCCGTGGCTCCTGCGGGCTGCAGCGGGGGAAGGAGCGGTGGGTGGAGGCCTGCGCTGCTGCTGCTGCTGTTCCTGCTGCTGGTGGTGGTGGTGGTGGTGGTGATGCCCAGAGCCTCGGTCTCTCCTGCCGCTGTGGTGCAGGCCTCCTTTCTTCTGGCCGACTTCGGCATCCGACTCGTCGGAGCTGAAGCCCAGAACGAACTTGCTTCCCCCGCCGGGGCGCTTGTCGTGCTGAACCGGGACACCGCCGGGGCTCCTGCCGCCTCTCGGGCTCAGGTACGTGACGTCACTGCTGGCCGGCCTGGCCGCGAGTCCCACCGCTCCCGCCGCTGTGCCGCCGCCGCCGCTGCTGTTGATGCTGCCGCTGCTGCGGGTTTTACCGGTCCTGGTTCCTCGCTGTGGCTGCTCCTCTCGTAGCTTCTTGAGCTTTTTCAAATACACGGGCCGGGTACTCTCAGTCACGGGTCCTGTGATGACACCCAGTCGCTTTAACTCCGAGTAAACCTCCTCATCTGTTAACTGTGCTGCCGCCATCTTTGCTCGACACTCACAGCTCACACTCAGGGCTCCGGGGGGGAAGTGACGCAACCAGACCAGACCCAGACAGTGAACTAGTTCACTCAAGTCACGCAGGTCTGAGACTTGGCTGCTGGGGGCAGATTGAACATCTGCCTACCTGCAGCTTTATGAACACGGTGTAACCCGCCCCATCGGCATGTAATGACTAAACGTGGCTCTCAGCGCTCTTTATTGGTCTGAAATCGCGGTGCATTGTATTTGGGTTATTAATTTTAACTATGACTACTTAGTGATTTTTTTGTAGCTAGGATTTATTTTGCCGTATTCTCACCAGTGCGTTTTGTTTGCTATTTCTAATATTGCCATTCAAAACAAATGTAACAAATTCCTGAGATAAGCCAGACAAAGCGAGAGAAGTATTAAGAGAGATGTTTTAAACTTTTTCTTTAGAAATGTGTTTGTACTCGTGTGAAAACGGGGTTCCAAAATCCGTCTGAGACGAGTCTAATTACGCACAGTTATAATTTTTCTGTAGTAGCCAACATGAAATACTCAAAACACTTCAATAGTTTCATCAAAACAAAATAATATTCACCGTATTATTTCTTCCTTTTAATGTCCCCGTTTTCATTTTTTTATTTTAATTAAAAGCCATAACATTAAAGAACGCAACAAATAAAGGAAAACCTCTAAGGAACCGTGACGTGGCCTGGTGAAATACCATTACAAAGTTCAAAACTGATTAAATTAATCTTTCGTTGTTACCTTTTAAAACAGAAGGTAAAGGAAAGGATAAACTATTCCAAATAAAACTCCTGACACAAGAGGTGGATTCACGTCAATGAGAGAAATAATAAGTGGTATCCATTTGGTTGTGAAATTCTATATGTATCAAAGTTAAGGTAGGGAGAATAATTGTATCTCTTGGTGTTTTCCTTTCAAATTATATTTTACTGCCAAGGTAAAAGTGGGATTGGCATAAAACATGTCATTCTTTCACCGAATTGCTTGTTTATAGTAGTGGAAGTGATGAACCGAGAAAATACCTAGAAATATATAGGAATCAGTGTGTAATTTGTCAGGATGATACAGCAGAGACTCTTAAGTCTCTTAAAGGACTGTAGATCAGACACGGGATTACAGAGTCATTCTGGGGAATGTGTCAGGGCATACAGCTACGAAATCTTTTCCACTACATTTTCTTCTTATTGAGCCTGAAACAACTGAAAGTTGTGAATAAAGTTGAGTCTGAGAGAAGAAGTTATTTCACTTTAAACATAGCCCTTACATAAATGATAAGACTACATTTAAATGATACCAGACCTCAAATACTGTCGCTGGGGCAAGTGTAGCTGTGAATGGTTACAGTACATTAGCAGCAAAGTAAAGTACCATTTAGAGTGCTATGAGCATAAAACATATTACAAACGAGAGTAGGCTTTTTGTCACACCTAGACTGTTTGGTAGTTTGTAGCTAATGAATCCAAGGATCAGCTGTTTCTTCAAAGAAGCCAAAGTATATGCTTCAACAATGTGGGTACAGTAGGTAGCTTTTTTTCTTACAACTCTTCCATCCATCCATTTTCTAACTGTTTTTTCCATTTCAGGGCTGTGGGGGAGCCAAAGCCTATACTGGCAAGCAAGGATCCACACTGAATGGGACACCAATCAATTGCAAGGCAGGGATACAGACATGCACACGCTCGCACCTAGTGCCAGCTTTACAGAAGCCGATTTGCCGCTCTGGAATCCATTCAGAGGCGAAAGACCAGACATATACCTGGACTCAAAGAAATAACCTATAGCAGCAGGCTAAAAAAATGTATTTCTTTTAGACCTTAAAACCGAAGACCACAAGGGGACATGATTCAGGTATTTAAAATCTTCACGGCATCGACGAACTGAATCCACTGGACTTCTGCAGCGAACCAGGGGGACTAAATAAACACAAGGGGAAACGATAGGGATGTGCATTCAAAACTGGAAACACTTCTTTACACAAAAGCACAAAGAATGTTGTTATTACAACAGCTTCAATATGAATGCATTTGACCATTTGGGATTATTTAAATCACACTAATCTAAACTCTTCATACTCCACAAACCAAGATGAAGTACACAGAAAGCCAATATGAAGTTGCATTTATCTTCACAGCACATTTACCAATTAGATATAATCGACTCAATGTCAAGAATTTCTGTAATATCATTTGTTTATCTCTACATGTGCATCAAATTTAAGGCTTAAGGTCATGCTACAAAATACAATTTTGTCAGGATTATCTGGATTACCACATATTTGCAGTATCGCCTACTGTGGATACTCTGTTGTAAACCCCAGATTTGAGTGTTTTTTTTTCAGTTCCATATAAGTTCCCTTTGTGAAGTGACTGGGAAATTGTTGAACATTTTCTCCCATCTCAGCCAGTGAACTCTGTAAGTCTTTCAAGGTTTGCCTGGTTAACCACAGTATGTTTCTATTAGTGCCACCACAGACATGGAACTTGTAGAGAACAACAATGCTATTAAAATTACATTAATGGTGTAATTTGGGGAGGTAAAGTAACATGGAAAGTGGCACTACTGCCTCACAGTTGTTAGGTCCCAGATTTGAGTCTGGTGTGGAGCACCTTCTGTCTGGAGTTTGGATGTTCCCCGATATTATTGTCATAACTAATAACAGAAATTAAAGCCTAAATAGTACCCTCACATTTTAATTATGTTCTAATTCTTGCAATTAAGTAATGATGGTTGAGGATGTTTAAAAAAAGCAGAATAGTAACATAAACTTAATTTCACCAACTTCAAAACTGGACATAAAACCTGTAGTACTGTATATTGAATATTTTAATATTTTATATCCCAGCCAACAGCAGGGTGGCACAGTGGTTAGCTTTGCTGCACTGGGGTCCACGGTTTAATTCCCGAGGTGCTGTCTGTGTGGAGTTTGTATGTTCTTCCTGTGTTCACGGTGGATTTCCTCTGGGTGCTCCTGTTTCCTCCCACACTCCAAAGACATACATAGATTAGTTGGCTTCTGGGAAAATGGTCTCTGGTGTTAGATTGTGTGTGCCTGTGCTTGCACTGCAAGGAGCTGGTGTCCTGTCCAGGGTGTATCCTGCTTTGCCCACATTGATTGCTGGGGTCTTGCTCCCCCACGACCCTGAACTTGGACAAAATGATCAGAACATGGATGTATTTCTTAACCATTAATCTAATAGATTCTATTATTATTATTATTATTATTATTATTATTATTATTATTATTGAACTGTCCACATTGTTCTGTAAATAGATTTGTAATAAAAAATTACAAATAGCCCTGACCAGACTTCTTTTTTGTGCTAGCATTTATTTGTGCACAAATACTGTACTACATTATGTGAAACATTACGATCTCCTATACTTTTCCACTAATAAGGAATTATTTTCTGAACACTATGTGTGTGGATGCCAACATATTTTCAAAGCTGGCTCTGACAATGCTAAAACTTTGGAAAATAATAAGAATTCCTTACACTTATATGGCACTTTTCCTGGACATTCCACTCAAAGCACATTGCAGGTAATGGGATGTCATCTCCATCACCACCGGTGTGTAGCTCCCACCTGAGTGCACTAGTACTCTCATCACATTTCAGCTATCAGTGGGGAGAACAGAGTGATGAAGCCAATTCATACACGGGGATTATAAGGAGGCCATGATTGGTAAAGGTAAGTGGGAATTTTGGTCAGGACACTAGGGTAACCCCTCTAGTCTTTGTGAGAAGTGCCTTGGGAGTTTTAATGACCAAGCAGAGTCATGACCTCAGTTTTATATCTCATCTGAAAGAAAGTATCTTTTTGCCAATGTAGGTCCCACACCAACTGCAGGTTGAGCACCCCCTGCTGGTCTCACTAACACCTCTTTCAGCAGCGGCCTTCGCTTTTCCAGGAGGTCTCCCATCCAGGTATTGGACAGGCTCACACCTGCTGAGATTCAGCAGGTTTTCAGTTATGAGTTGCAGGATGATATAGCTACTGGCTGTAGAAATGGGGAAAATTATATAGGAACATAAGTTTCTGGAATGACTAGAGAATATTCCCAAGTTCAACAGAGGCACTGGATGTGAATCTGAGTCATCTTTGTTATAGCATTGATTTTTCCCTAAGTTTGTCTTGATCAGTCTTCACAGTGAACTGCATCATCTTTCGATCTGAGTGCCAGTGCATAGCAGTTGCAGTTCTTTTCTCATACTAAAATTAATTGGGTTGGGCGCCTGTGGCACAAATGTCCCGGCTGTGGCCTTGTATGAAATCTTATTCATTTATATGGTTTACAATTACATGCAAAGCTACATACATTTGATCCCATTACTATGGCTGGGCATTTTAAGGAAGCAATGTGAGAGAAATACCTTGCTCAAGGATACAGTAGAATTTACACATGCTGTACAACCTTCCAGTTATAAAGTTTTAACCTCTGCTCTCTGCTCAATGTTGATAACACATGAACTGACCATCCTACACAATATCCTATTTGACACAAAAAGAGCAGAATTCTTGTTGGGGAAGAGATTTCGAGGATATATAGTCCCCAACATCAACCAGGTTACTCTCTCCTAAATTCAGCTCTTATCTGAGTATTAAATGCAACTATTAAAGTTTAGCAATTGTAGCTGCTCTCTACAAAACACATATCTCTTTGCTTGGAAAGGTAATGGAATAGGCAAACCTTTACACCTCTGTTATCACCTTCAGGTTATTGTTATTTCTTTTGCAGTAAGCACATGAATCTATGATAAATATGTTTTTAATACTGAACAGGTATAATTAAAATATTTCCAAGTTGTCCAAAAGTTGGTTCAAAATAGTTGATCGCTATTTTGTTACACAGTTTTAATGGATTCCTTGTTTACATTATTTTTGGTTAATTATAGCTAAAATGAACTAGGATTAAACTATAGTACATGTAGATGTTTATTATGTTATTTAGGAATAGTAAAGATATTTTGTGCTAGACAGCTATTTGCATTATTTTTGGTGTAGTACTGGTGTGTGCTGAAGGAGTAGCATGGTATAGTGAGTAAGCCATTAAACTCATAACTAGCAAGTTGTGGGTTCAATCCCCCAGTGTGATCAATGCTATTGTCCCTTGAGTGAAGTACTGTGTCCCACTGGCTCCAGTCCACCCTGCTACTGTATATAAATGGGGACTGGCTGTGTTGGGCACTAACCCTTGCAGTAGGCAAATCACCTGTCTGGGGGTTAGTCACATGCTCTGTTAACACTAAGAAATACTTAACGCTATGGTAACCAGGACTAATTTTGTCCCAGAGCTACTATGGCTCTGGGATGGACTTCACCTTTTACTTGTGTGGAAATAATCATTACTAAGCTTCTCTATATAAGTAAACCTTAATTTAATTAAGAAACAACATTGCATAAAAACATCTAGAACCACATGCCTTTCTGATCTTAATATTTCAGTTGCTAATAATGTCTGAGGTTTAAAGTTTCTGCATACAAGCCAGAATTAAATCTTTTAGTTACATCCAAATAAAAAAAAAAAAAGTTGCTGGAGGAACCTGATTACCTGATTACAATTACAATCAAGAATTGCTGACCAGCAAAGAAGGTTCACGCTGCCTCAAGTGAGAGTGGTATTTTAATAACTGACTTATCCTTGTTATCGCTTAGATTTATAAATGATTTACAAATATATAAACATCTGTTACCCTGTGAATAAAACATTTAAATCATTCTAACTGATTAAACTAATAATGGCTTTGTGCCATTGTCCCTCAGGGAACAGTACATTCTTTCAGATATATTTTCATCTTTTCAAATAATATTTTTTGTATCAATATATAGATTTTGTCCTAAGACTAGTCTGCCATCTAGTGCCTCTCTCAAAGCTGCTCAGCTCCCATTGTGTGAGAGACAGGTGGCTTTCAGAAGAACTGTCCTTTTAAGAATCTGAATGGTTGAATTCACCACTAGAGAGAGCCCTGCGAGACAGAGCATGGCACATGAAACTGAAAACACAGAAGGAGAGAACAGTAGATGAGTCAACCCTGATCAAACACAAAGGTAGTAACATGAGAACACACATCACAATGGCTATAGGACGGGTATCAGGTTAAGGCGAGACTCATGAGTACAGTATATAGTTGTTCCGGAAATAAATCAATCATTATTTGCATTGATCGTGCTTTCATAGGTTGCATTTTGCCTTATTTAAAATAACGTTAAAAACAATTTTGCCAATGTAGTGAGTTGTATGCCCATTTTAGTTATGGATACAAGCCTTACAGAATCATTCATTTAACAAAACTCAGTATCTTCTTTCCTCTTTCATGCACATCCTTTATATCCAAAGATATGTCCTTCACGAACCACTTTGTTTTCCATTCTTGTCTGTGTTTATAGATGATCAAGGATTTTTGAATGCGTTATGTGTTTTAGATAATCAGGTACTGTACTCCTGAAAGTCATAGAGAGACCTAAGCAGCATGCTGCATGGCTGACAAGTTCTTTTGAGAAAGTTCAACTCTACCCATTCCACTGCTCACAGTGTTTCCCATCTCTCCTTTCTGTAGAAATCTTTAAATTATGGTTATTGCTGTGCTTTGCTAACGTTATTACCGCTAAGGCTCCTAGGATTGAACAGATGACACGATGGATTTAAGGCTATTTATTGAGCTCACTGGCTGTACAGGCGATAGATTCCAGACAGTCTACTGATAACAATCATCTCCCATAATGTCAAGCACAGGCAGGCACATGGCTGGATCCAGACTCACAGCCTATGAGACCCAGACCCAGTGTCATTTGTAGGCAGTCTGTTTACATACCAGCTGGGGGAGTCCATAGGAAAGTGTCATTTATCCAGGCACTGGGCACCAAGGGGAACCAGTAGGAGGTCTCAACCAGCCTGCACTTGGCATGGCCTGTTAGACAGTAGTAGATCATTGCATTTTGTTTTTAAATATAGCTTCTTACGAAGTGAAATTGCATCTATTCTGCATTTGCTGGTGATTATTTTTGTAAAAAACTTTTTGGGAGTCATACTATAATACAAAAACTACTCTGTATGGAATATTTTACCATCAAAAGATGTAAAAAGAAACAAGGCAGAATCATTCCGAAGATATAGCTTACAACGCAAACCAAGATGTTAAATCAAGCTTAGAGGATATACAGTCTCAAACTGAATGGTTGTTGCTTGTTTCTCTGGCTACTTCTTAGGTGCCAAATGAACCCAGATATTCTGTGTAGGTCGCAAATGTCCATTCTTGTCCTGAATGCCCAGTGTGTCTGCGTCTTTTGTATGTATGTTCAAAGCATCACCACCTGAAGAGCTGGGAGAAGTTGCAAAATTGGTCAAGTAAAGCCAGTAACCAGCTAATGTGCCACATTAATAGCTGGACTGAAAGTCCAGAAACACACATTTTCTCAAGGATCAGACCAGGGGAAAGTACTATTTTATGTATTGATATCTTGTGTGATCTGTAGAAGTTTGGAAATACAAGATTGCTTTAGTGCTCAGTAGCAGAATACTGTAGCACCTTGCCATGGTGCTACAGTATTCTGCTGTAGCACCATGGCAAGGTACACCAGGAATGTATTTCTTAGTCTGTGAAAACTAGGTTGAGCTTAGCCTTAAAACAGCTTTTTTAAATAAAAAAAATATTTCTAAAGCCATATATTGCAGGTTGAAAACTATCCAAACTTGTGTCAGCCTAGACGCAGTTAGGAAACAGCTCTGATCCGATCAGCTTCTTTGATGTTGCTGCCATGCACACTAAGCTACAAAAGACGAGAACCCGGTTTATCAAGAAATTTGAACAAAGTGTAAATTGTGACTAACGTTTCCCTGAAGGAAACGCAGACAGGATCTATTGTGTAAATCTAAAATAAATCTACAAATTGCTAATCTGTCACACTTACTGCCTCAGAAATTTAAATAGCACTCCCAGTCGCTTCTTTGTAGAATTAGAGTTGTTTCACTTACCAGCATTGCATTCTGCTTGCTCATAAAAATGTAGTCATATCTTACCATGATTTTCAGATTACTGGCCTTGATTAAATAAAACACTTCCTGCCAATCACAAATTCCAGAGCCTGTTTGATGATGGGTTTCAAATGAGTGGAAGAAAGAAGCTGTTGGCAAACGAAAGGCCACCATAAAGACAAGACATACGTTTGTAATTCTCAGCCTGTGGGTGGCTTGTAGGTTTGATTTAATCTGGGTAATTGTCATTTTTGGGGAGGAATTTAACTTTTGTATCTGGATTCCATCACTCATTTTCAATTTTAAATATATTTCTAGAATAATTACCAGGCACAACCTGTGCAAATGTAGATTAAAACACAAAAAGGTATAACGGTAATAATACAGAATTTGCATCCTTAAAGATGTGAGCATGGGATTTACAAATTAGAGGAAGCCATTCTGCTTGTCTTGTCTCTTTAATTGAAATTTAATTACAACAATCAAGCCCATAATCTCATCTAGCTACTCTTAAAAAATCCCAACTTGGCTGGGAAGTTTGTTCCATACCCTCACACCTTTTTGTGTAAAGAGGTGCCTCCTTAGTTTCAATTAGTTATCTTTAGTCAAAGACTAAAGATATTCAGTCCCTTCATCATTAAAGTGATTGAGCATGTGAGTCCTCTTTCTTTCCATTTATTTTATTTTCTCAATTAGGTAGCTTAAAAGAATATCAAAAAATAATTCCATTTAACAAATATGTACATCATGTTCCATCACAAATATATCATATCATATTCAATAGACAGTGGCTGAAAAAAACAGGTGCAGGATAACCCAGCCTTGCAAAAGTCTAATATATAATACAATATTAACCAAAACACACAAACCTGATATACAGTATATTTTTCACAACATATATACAAAATGTGGAAAAACAAATACACATTGTCCAATGTTTTCAAGTGGTTTTACCAAATTGTTCCTACACAATATGGAGCATAGTCCCATATTGATCAAGCCCATGACTGCCTGTAAAATAGCTTTTCTTCTTCTACTTATTTGACAAGGAAGCACTGCTCCACAGGTCATTTTATAACTTTACATTGCAACAAAGACACGCATGCATACAGTATGATTAGGTGTGTTTTGTATCAGACAGTTGTATCAAGGTTTTAATGCAACAGGGGGACCTTGCAAACTCCACACACACAGGAACCAAAAGCTGGACTCAAACTCAGGGCTCTGGAACGGCAGGGAAGCTACACTACCGTGCCAGACTCAGCCAGTCTCTCCCCCTTTACACTCATCCTCCTACAGTATCGCCAGTGCCGTCCTCTCTAGAATTCCAGACCGCCACAAACAGACAAAACGGGGTATCATTGCCTCGGCCACTAGTCACATTCTCGACTTCCTGGCGCTTCAGGGTAGCTGGATTCCTCGCTTTTTTGTTAAAGTACAGTCTAGTCCTGTATGTCACTTTGGATAAAGGCGAGCGGCAAATAAAATAATATTAACTGCAGCCAACGAGTCTTTTAATTTAGCACGCTCATGCATGAACGCCCTGACATAGCGCGTGTATTAAACATCTCCACCGTGTGGTCACATAACGACACGTGCAAGCCCTCTCCTCTACAAGTAGCGAGCGGGCGGGGGAATCCTGGCATTTCACTGTGACACCTCGGGACCCAGCAGAGCACAGCACAGCGCAGAGTCCCGAAGTGAACACGGGCAAAGCAGAGCGATCGCAAAGCTGCACACAGAGCGACTTTCAAGAGACTTCGCACAATGGCCACTGAAACACCTGTTTGGAGCTGCTTAAAAATGTGCCTATTTCTGTTTGGGGGAGTCGTCTGTGCAGACGCAGCGCACCAGCAAGGCAGTTTGTATATGTGGATCGATGCCCAGCAAGCGAAAATTCTAATAGGTAATAATAATTAATAATAATATCCACTGACTTACACAGCCTAGCAGCTGAAGAGATTCGCATGCTGGCTACTATTTTAATGGTTGAAAATGTAATTTATAGAACTTCTAAGTTAATTCTCAGTTAATGCTATGAGTAAATTTGCTGTCCTCCGATCGGAAAAAATATGAATGCTTGGCATTAGGCGACACTGATCTGGTTGATTGGATTTAACTGAGTATATTCTGAATTCAAAGCCTTAATTGATCTTTCCACAGGTTTTGAGGAAAATATCCTAATTGTATCAGAAGGGAAAATGGCCCCTTTTACACACGATTTCAGGAAAGCTCAGCTGCGGATGCCAGCCATTCCTGTCAATATTCAGCACGTGAATTTCACCTGGCAAGCCACGGAACAGGTAGGCGCCTAACAGCCGCAGACCTGCAGTGAGGATTTCCCGGACACTGTTGCTGATATGAATCTGTTCTGAGGAAGACTTGGGCACTGTACTACACTTTAAATCTTATGAAATGTGTCTGTTTATATCCGTTTTGGTAGTTACAATTACAGCGAAAATATTCTAAATATTCAGAATGCATTTAGAATACATTCTAAAATAGAAGAATATATTTGTTTTTTTTAAAACAGATACTGTCTAAAGAACTGTTCTACACTAACAAATAACGGAATAAAGGGAACTAGTGTGTTAAATGGTAATTTGCTCGATCGTTAATTAACAGCATAATAACACAGCTTTACGTACAGAAGCCTTTGTGTTAAGTGTAATCTTGAAGTCTTTTAAAATAAATGCCATAGTCGTTTCATGTATTTGCAGTGTACTGCAATATTCTTTGACTCTGCAACTGGTTATTTGCAGTTAATGTTCAGTATCACCGCTGTCGTAGCATTAACAACAATCTGTACTATTGCACTGGAAATGTGCCCCAAACTATTTGAACTGATCACATTGGTGCCCTCAAGGTTAATCGGTTCACCAGTTTAAGTCCTCTGCAGCAACTCAGCCAACAACTCTCAAAAAACAAATATTACACACATACACATTTTCCACATTATTCAAGAAAACTCTCTCCCTGTAGTTTTCATCGCCACATAGTGACCCCTAGGGTTTTTACCTTCTACTAACAGTTGGAGAACCTGTCTTTGATGCAGGCTGTGGTTGATACAGAGGCTTTGCCCTTTAGCCAAGTTCCTGAGTGCTCTGAGTTTTTTTTTTTAATATTTCTATTCCTTTCCGCTGTGGTATTTTACATCTTGGTGTTGTAGACGGGCCGCCAAGGATCAAAGCTTCATGTTGCAGAGGTCCTACTTGGTTTAATGCAACAAGCATGTGCCAGCCATCTGTTCTACCAGCACACAGAAAACAATGGTAAAACTCTCAGGCTCCTGCCAGAACCTGGGGTTTATTGGTTGGAGAAGGTTCTCTGGGCTGGAATGGCTGGTTTGCAATTAATATTGCTTGTAGCATTGTAACAGAAGGAAAAGCATTACTTCAGTATTTGTTTGACCTTTTCTCTGTGCACAGAAGTGCCATGTGATAGGCCTAAGGTCTATGAATGTCAATATTTCAGAGTTCAGATATACTGTATATCGACCTCCTTACAGCTCAACACAGCGTACTCTTTGAGAGAATGGGCTGTGAGACTATTGCAGGGCTGTACCTCACTTAATAATGCTGAGTTTACAGCACTGATTATCACAGGGGTGATTATTAAAGTCAGATAGACTGCAAAACAACTGAACATTTACCTTTCATGATTAACTGTGGGGTTTAGTACGATCCTGTTTTTTTGTGAGGTAAAGCCATTAGACTCACTAAAAGCCATTAGAGCCTCTTTTGCATAATATTGATATTCAATGAAAAGAATTATTCCAGACTAAAATTTATCACATTGGCATAAAAGAGCAAAGGTAGAAGATTAAATTATATCTAAATATTTAACATTTAAAATAAACAAATATTTGACAAAGACATACAATCCAAGACTGAAATTGTGCATTTGTACTTTTCTGGACATGCAACAAAGTATGTAACTTTTTTCTAGCATATATATTTTGACTCGGGTGAGTCAGATCAATGATTTTTTTTGTAGGCGAAAGTAAAAATAATGTTTTTCACTTAAAGTCTAAACAAGCCTGAAATATTGTTTTATGCTCAGCTTTGTAAGTGTTGCAGGCCTGGCAGAATGTTGGTTTGAGTGTGCTTTTGGCTCAATGGCGCACCCTAGTGATGATTTTTTCACAGAACCTAGTGCAACTCAATCCTAACGGAAAGAAAGGACATTTAAAGAACTGTAATTTATGTAATGTAATTTATGTGTTATTTATATATTTATGATAATGTTATAAGTTGTATGGAATTTAAAATGGAAATGTTTATTGCCATATTTAATTAATCAGACTCTTCCAGGATTTTAGACTGCTGCAGATGAGAAGTACATAGTGTATATACAGTACCACCTAAAATCAGATAAGAAATAGGCTGAATGGAGCAATAACGTGTATAGAATAGGCAACGTTTGCTCATGAATTCATGGAAATGACTTTTAGGTTAAGGTGTTCCACATCACTTTAGAATAAGTACAAAATTGATTTTTGGAAAGCCCTGAAAAAAGGATGAAGAAATATAATTAAACAAGTAAAACCAGTAGTTCCTAGTATTTGAATAGCAGTGCCACTGAGTCCTATTCTGTGTGAGATCAAATTAAATAATGATTGTATAACATGACTGTTGGTCAGTGAAACTGACTGACCGTGAAGGAGCTGCAGCAATGTAGCTGGGAGACATCGTGGGTCTGCAGAGCACAGCTCTGAAAGGAGATATGAATGAACATTACAAGTAGAGGGTAGAATGAGGTTTTGCTTGTGTATTACATCCTTATTAATCAAACTGTGATAGTTTAATGGCATTTAATTGACTTTCTTTTTTAGTTTGCTTGTTTTATGGATTGTGTGGCCCTGAACAAAAAGGAATAATTCTGAAAGACTGTACAAGGTGTACAGTGAGGGTTTAGCCACACGTAGTGATACAGTATGTCGTAAACATGGATCTTCCCGTTAGATCAATTGGAAGTGCTTAGAGCAGAAACGGGGAATGTATGGAGTGTTGTATTAAATATCGTTCCTTTTTTCTTGATCTTTTCTGTTAGTTATAGATGGTGAAAAATTCAAATGCAGTATATGATCATTTTCTCCTCTTGAAATTATTCCTTGGTGATACGGTGGTGCAGTGGTAGAATTGCTGACTTGCTGCGCTGGGGTCCTGAGTCCAGTTCTGGACCTGGGGTGCTCTCTGCGTGGGGTTTGGATGTTCTCCCCTTGTTCGCATGGGTTTCCTCCAGGTGCTCGGGTTACCTATGATAGTCCAAATTCATACTAGTTGGTGAATTGGCCTGATTGTGTGTGTGTCTGTTTTGATGTCTGTGTGTGCCCTGCGGTGGAGTGTCATACCACTCAGGGTGTATCACCCCTTGCACCCATTGCTTGTTGGGATAGGCTCCGTCCCACCTGCGACCCTGAATTGAAATCAGTAGTTAGAAAATAGATGGATGGAAAGGTTTATTCCTTGCTGAAAAGAGAAGAAAGAAAACACAACGTTTCGGCTGTGGAGCCTTCTTCGGGTGTGGGTGGATGTATGGAAATGATTATTAAGTAGTTTGTCTTAAAAAGAAGCTTTCACAACCAAGCTGATTTACTCGTACGTTTCTCAGTTAAAGAAGCTCCAATGTTTTCCATGGTGACTGGTAAGGAAGATGTTCTCTGAGGTGTTGAATTTATTGCTCAATTTAAGCAGACGCGAAAACTCTCAGTGGTCCTACGTGCTAAACTGGAACAGACAGCAGTCACTAAAGATTGCGCTTTGGGAAGGGATCTGATGAAATTGACCAAATATGCCATCATTGATTATACGTCTATATGAGATTATAATCTGCAGACAGCCTGCAATAATTGTGGATTTAGAGCAGAACTTCTCTGCTCTCTTTGTTTGTTTTATTTCTTTGACTTCAAAGCTGTCCGCAAAGGCTTAAGAACAAAGACCTAAGGCATAAAGTGTGGCCAAAGTCAGCCTTCATGAGTTATCCATGGTGATTACCATTTAGCTACTGGATTACCCTTGCTTTCGACACACTGCACACGGTCTCACATGAGACTGGCGAGATTGTAATGGGACAAGAAAATCACACGCTTCATTTTCCCTTTCACCTTCTTTCCCATCTCTTTAGTTCTCCCCTTCCTTGAGAGCATTGTTTGATTTTGAAATACGTGCAAAAAAACAAACAGGCAAATTATACTCAGGGTGCAGTCTTGCTAGTGAATTTAATGTTGCTGTTGGGGGGGGGAAGAGTTGAAGAAAAGAGCTGTTGAAAATCCAGAACTGGATAGAAGACAACCGAATCGGCCAATGTGATTATCTAACAAGTGTGTCATTTTTGAAGGTGAAGGTAGAGACTGTGAGAGGGGTTTCTGTCTCTGGATGATATACTGTACCTAACTACAAACACAAGCAGAAAATGATTCACACATACATATTCCGACACACACACATTCAAATTAATTTCCCTCTCCCTTCCTCATCACTAGATGCATACGTAAAGTGCGTTTGTTGCAGTAGTTATAGCATTTATTTAGATATCAAAGTCAAAGATGTATCAAAATAGAGTGAAACTGGTGTTGCCTCACCTTAAAGTCCAGTATAGTGGACAGTTTTCATTATGTCACACAGTATGTTTACAGACTATCATAATACAATGACACCTGGTTTGTTAACTTAAAGCAGTTATTGTCCTGCATAAAACAGCACTATTTAACAGCTGTGTGTGGGGAACTGCAGTTTTCATATACCAAGCTATTTCAACTGTCACACATTGAATCTGCAGCTGTTTACGTGTTCCACGTAAAGGTCATGAATTGCAAAACTGGGCAAGAATTTCCTTACAACTGACACAATAATTAAATATTTTCTTACATGGAAACACGAATGTGCAGAGGCTGTAAGAGATTAAATCCATGACAACTACAAATTCCTCTTTATCAAATCTTACATTTAATTGCTGGATAGTCACTCATATGTTTGGATCTCTCAAAGTTCGATTTAGAAATAACAGTAGAACTGAAAAACGCACATCCCAATACCATCATAAATAAATAAAAAATCTTTAGAAGTAACTATTCCAAAATAAGTTATTTTAATTATAACCCAAGAACAGTGAAAGATAAAACTATGTCCTGCTTGAGGAGTGAAGATGACCTGGCTGTTGGGAATGAGTGAAGGCAAAAGGTCATCATACTGGCTCACAACCTCTGATCTATCTGCTAATTGTTTTCAGACTACAGGGACTATGGCACTGCAAATATTTCTAACCAGGAATAAACAACTAGTGTATAATCAAAATGACTATAAAATGTTGTCCACGTGAAAGTGATCTGTATGCTTAAAGGCCATTTGGGAGTAAGACATTGATAGATGAGGAATGAAACTACCATTTCTCTGGGCCAGAGAACGTCGGAGACAGGTACAACAATAGTTAACATTGTTCCACTAACAGACTATGCAGTTGGGAGGACTTTCCTTGAACACAAGAACACCTCTTATGCAGATTGATAGCAACCATACTGCTCAGCGACAAAGTCCTTGATGCAGTGTTTTTTTTCTTTTTCTACGTCCGAATCCAGACACCCCACAGTGCTAGGATTATGATGGCACAACTTCAAGAAAACAACACAGAGTCCTTGCAATTGTCTGCTTTTTTTCAGATCAATTCTGCTAGAACATCCATTAATCCAACTCACCAATGCCAAGAACAAGAGACAACCGCAAATGGCCACAATTTGCTAGCCACCTGCAGCTGCACAGGAAGAGTGGTGCAGGGTTCCATTGCAGTCTTTCTAGAAGCTAGGCTGGACTATGCATAAACACTGCCTGGATTGTGTTCGTTCTCTGGGAGATCATACCCGTTACTAGCTTTATAATATTTTTGTTTTGACAGCGTACCATGTATTAGACCGGTAATGAATCATGACTCCTTGATGTCTGTGTTTTAAATACTGTATATGATTAAATCCATTGGAATGATTATTGCACTATTTTTGTGCCTCAATATATACTGAGCTAAGTTGCTCTGTTTCAGGCAGAGTATTTTTACGAGTTCCAGTCTCTGCGATCTTTGGACAAGGATGTTATGGACGATCCCACTGTGAACGTTCCTCTCCTGGGAACAGTTCCACACAAAGCCTCAGGTGAGTGGAGGCGTACTTCATGACTTTTTTATTGTAGATTCCAGCTGGCAAATTTTAATTGAACTGGTAATATTGGTGTGCCACAGTTTCTGTGGCCCATCAACAAATGTTTACAGTAACAGAAAGTAGCCGTGAATTTCATTTTGGAAGATATTAGGCACAGTCTTTTACATACAGTTCATATTTTCTATTGTAGATTTGTTGATAATAGAATGTCTGTTTGGTTCGCCACAGAATTATTGTGAAGATGTCTTGCATGTTAATGTTCCACCTTAAAATACTGTATGTGCAACACTAAAATGTTGGTTAACAGACTTCACTAAATCCAGCAATTATAAAATAACTGTACTTTTTTATATTGGAGGACAAATAGGATGACTGTTTTGGTTGGTTTCAGTGATTCAGATTGGATTCCCATGCCTTGGTGATCAGGATGGAGTGGCTGCGTTTGAGGTGACCATTCTTGTGATGGACTCAAGTGGCAACATTATTCTCCGGACTCCCCACAATGCCATATTTTTCAAAACCTGCCAGAGAGGTAAATAGATTCCTTTGTTGTCATGTATTGTCGTGTATATTAATGCAATTAATTTTGATGTCATGCAAGGTTTGTAGTGGTTGGCTTATAAATAGAAGGCCTGGCTTGTGATGTTTCTCTTAAGCACATGATGCCATAATTAAAATATACCATCGAGGGGAAGAGAGCTCATACTGTATGTTCTCAGTCCCTGCCTTGCACTCTGTGCTTCTCACATAGGCTTTCTGGCCTCCTGTGACTCACTCAAGAGATTGATAACGAAGGAGTAATGCATTCCCCTAAGGGAATCTTATAACTGTGATTGCAAATGGTCAGTGCTCAAACCAAACACTCCTGGAAGGGGTGAAATGTCAGCAAACACTGCAAAGAAAAATGAAATGGGCGTTTGCATTGCATAACATCACGTCGATCATTGCTTAACACTGGGTACAATAAGAACATCTAAAGATAAGCTACTCGTTGGTATTGTTCAGTTATTAATTCATAGTTGTCCTGTGTGTCAATGTGATTTTTCCATTAAGGACTCCTTTATGTTGTCTGTAGACTAGTGATTGGAGCTTTTCTTTTGTATAACATCCTCTGGGGGGAGTCAGATGTTTGTAAATCATTTCTGTTACTGCTCTGGACATCAGTGTACAGTCCCATTCCAACCTGGCAGGATGATGACCACAATCAATATTTTGGCAAAATAAACATCTAAGCCACAATTTAGAAAGGATCTTTCTTGGCTTTTTAAGCTTTGAGAAAAGTGTATGAGCCATGCTAATTGTAGCCCTAAAAAAATACTTCTCCTTATACACTTGAATGCAGAATGCAGTATGGTTTTAATGAGTTATTACTATTGATTACCTTTGATCTTATGGATGACTTCAGTATTTATCGTTGTGGTTTCAAAGTACTAGTACTGCCATACTAAAGTATTAGAGTGTCAGGTTACATAATTCTTTCCATCTTTTGTAAGATTTTTGTTCTGAAAGATGGAACTTCTAATGTGGTGTAAATCATGTGAAATAGAATAATTTGAAATTTCCAAATCATTTAGGTAAACAGAAACAGGAATTCAATTTTAGGCTTCAATACTCTGATTTGTGTGCTATTTCACCACCCTTCCAGTTCTGCTTTGTGTATACTGTATGAAGTCTAACTTAGCAGCCATGGACAATGGATAATTAGGTTTTGAAAACAAAATAAACTGGGTCATTAAACAATTAACTGTCAAGTGAGCAAGATGGGCAAAAAAACCCACCTAGAAAGGCCCATCTTATGTTCTCATGTTCCTATGATATTACACTAACAAAACATGAGAATATACTGAAGGTACCAAGTACAGCATAAGTGCATCAGTGACAGAGATGGCCGAGAGCAATTTTCATCTGGGACCTCTGTTATGGTGTTGCATATATTAAAAATGGTATGCAAATTTAAAATGGGTTGGGTCCTGTACTAAGTTTGTATTTGCATTTAATATCAATAATGGGTTATAGGCAGTGCATGTTAATAGATTTTTTATTTTTTAAGGAGAGGAGTTTGAGTGAATTTCTGATATCTATCAAAAGAGATTGCAATAAAAAAATATTTTATCAGAGAATTTATCAGAGCTTCTCTGATAAATCTACTCAATACATTTTATGTTCATGTTAGAAAAACAGTGCAACAGCCCCTAATAAAGTCTTTAGTGAGCTTCCATACAGATTGACAGTTGACTTCAGCACTAATTTTAACCTCTATAAATCTTTCAAAATATTTAGGCTTATTTCTGACATAACAGTAAAGAAGCATATTGTGTGATTTCTGCAACCAAATCTGTACAGAAGCAAGTAATAATTAGATAATTATGATGACTGGAAGTAATTGATTGATGGTACAGTAATATTTCTTTTTCTATTGGCAACTACTAACACTGTCTTTATTTTACTCAGCACAAAAGAGTCAATGTGACATTTTGGCATTTGACAACTTTAGCAGGTTTGAAGGGTATTTCCCCAGACAAATCTTTCTACTTCTTGTAAGGTCATACTGGACTGGCTGATGTTGATGATCTTCTGGACAGGGTAAAATGGGACATTTTGCACTCCATGTCAATAAGGGTTATCTGCATCAGGGGGAAATATTTTCTGCACTGTGCTGTGACATTAAAATAATCTGAAATCTGAAACTCATTGATACGAGGCACTCGATCCAAGCCTCCGGCCGCCTGTGGGATGAACTGTCAGTCAGTGTATCAGTGTATCTGAGGAGTTGAACATAAAGGTACGAAGTCTGGAACAATCAGGAATTTTCATTAGATCCCATAGTTGCCAATAAGGGCAGCAATCTCGGTAGATTTTTTGTTTAGAAAAAGTTAATATGATTATCCCCCACTGAGTCATCCAGCATGTCAGACTGACAGGATTCATACAGGGATATCACCTTTTCTCATCAGTGATGCTGTGGCAGCTCTGGTGGTGTGCTATACCTGCTTACTTTCTTAGCTGGTAAATAAGAGAGAGCAGCCGCAATTCTCTGTTTCAGCTGATAAAGGCTAGATTGAATGGTGGCAGAGGGCTCTAGCATCGGCAAAAAAGTGGGTTTTTAGAGACTCCTTAAGGCAAACCTCAGTAAAATACATCAGCAAGAGCTGTGAATCAGAATACTGTGGTAGTTTAATAGGAAGACTTCAGTCTCGTCAGTTGGGACTTGCAATGTAAGATGCTCCTTTTTGACTTTCATCCCCTTGGCTTTGGAACCCAGGTCTCGGGGTGACTCAGGGGATGTATCTGTGAAAAGTGGCCTGACCTGGAATGTGCCTTTTTGTAAAAGAAACATGGAGTGTGGAGCTTCTTGATTAAGCTGATATTCTGACAGGGAGCCTCGGAAAGTCCATTGTTTCATTTTAAATACTGGTTCACATATAAACAGATTTTTTCAAAACCCTCATCATAAATATTAAAATGGGCAGAATACGGGTGATAAATGTTTGTTTGATTCAGTTTATTAACTAAAAAACAGGCTTCAATTTTCATACAAAAACACAGAACACGTTCGTACATTCATACACATTCTGTTTCTTAAACACTTCCGAATGGTTACTGTATGTAACTTCATATGTTGTTACCAAAAACAATGCTAAGACGGAGCTCTTCCATGAATTAATTAGTGGTCTGCATTGCTTTTGCTTGTGTACATAGCTGGGATTCAGGAGTGGATCATTTTACTCAATTATAACACAAAATAAAGGCTCATGTTAACTAGCCTAATCCCCATTAAAGGATCCTTGTGCACTAGAAATTCATTGTGCATGACGTAATCATGAATGAGTGTCAAGGTATAATAGCCATTGCTAGTTGATGATGTCATGTGAACTTTACCAGCTGTCTGTTCATGGGAATGAACTAGCTAACTGCACCTGACCAATTTCACAGCGGCTTCTCACAGCACACAAAGTGCTGTCACTCAGTAATCCTCTTTATAAAAAGAGAGTACAGTAAGCTTTCCATCGGGAACCCTGCTGCACAGCAGCTCAGGTTTCATCAGAAAGAGCCACGTTTGTGGCATTTAATATATCTCCTTTCCTTGTCCGTTATGTCTCTTAAATGGGATTTGGTTGGGATTACTCTTGTGTCAAAACAGCGCTAGAGAATACACAGGTGCTGCTCAAAACAGTCTCTCCTGACAGTGATTGGATTGAAATTCAGATACACAAACTATATTTTAGCTTCCTTCCACTTTTAAGAATTTGTTTTCACTGCTCAGGTTTTACTTAATGCCCAATCAATTTGAAATCACCAGTGGTTTTCATACTCATCCCTCCTGCAAAAGCTCCCTCACTCTCACAAATTGAATAAGAACCTGTGGACAGCATTCTCACTTTTAAGAACTATTTATCTTTTGACAAGCTGTAAGCTCCACAGTTCTGATTGGAGTAGGAAAGCATCTCTTACTAATTCCACAAAAAATCTGCATGCATCTAACAAGTTGCAGGAATCATTGTTGCGTGGAGAGCAGTCAGGACTCTGAAAAAAAGCTCACCATATTCTGGCCAATGGTCTGCTGTCATATGGGGAATTGTGGTTCCTTGCATGACCCAGACTTGGACTAGTGACATGTGGGTCTAAGAGTTCAACCTGCATGCTAAGCAGACTCCGTCTTACAGAATTAGCCAATTATTTCTGTAAGTTCAAGATAAGCATTTATTTTGAAAATGCATAATGCTTGCACGTATTCATGTGTATGTAGGAATTCGTTTCCTCTTTGTGTACGCCAAAAGAAACATCATAATTTTGGGGGTGGAGCGGTGGCTAAGGATCTGCGCCTGTGTCTGGAAGGTTGCCGGTTCAAATCTCGCAGCCGGCAGAGGAATCCCACTCTGTTGGGCTCCTGAGCAAGGCCCTTAACCCCAACTGCTCCAGGGGCGCCGTACAATGGCAGGTAGTTGCATCAGCATGCGCAGACTGCAAGGGAACAAGTAAAGCTTTATTCCATGCTGAAAACAGAAGAAAAGAAACACAACGTCTGTGTTATTTTTGTCATAATTTTGTTACTTTCTGTTGTGGAACTTTTAACACAAACTTGACAACGGACAATGACTGTCCAGAAAGTAAGATCAGGAGCTTAAATAGCACACATTCATGATTTTGTGTAGCCTGTACAGGACAGGATTCACACAGGAGTTGTATTGAATTACTGTGGCTGGGGTGGTGATTTTCTTGGGGTGTCTGATTCTCTGATTAACAAGCTTGACAATGTGGGCCCATGCCTTGCCCTTATTGATAGGGCAGTGGCTTGATCAAGAAAGGCAGCTTCCAGCCTTTAAAAGACTGTCAGTACAGATTCAGAAGAGAACAGAGGTGTGAAGAGGCCAGAAGTTGAAAGACTGTGAGCAGTTATTTTTGGTGAATTAATTGTGTTTGCTAAACTGTTTTGCACTTATTATGAGTTAAACTTTCTCTCTAGGTATAGTGTATTTCCTCACTTGTATTTTCATTTTTGGTCATTTATTTTTGTATTTTTAAGAACACAATTGCCAGCCTCTACACATGCCCAGTCTGTTAGAGTGTGTCATAAAGCCCATCTGTGGAGCTACTGTACAACACCTGGTGACAAACACATAGCACAAGAGTATAACTTGTGCTAATGTCCTCTTGAGATTGTATGAAACAACTTGTCTAGGGCTGAAAAGCCAGACTCGAAACACTACAAACACTTCAGCATTTACATTACTATAAGGAATATCCCATTCAGAAGGAGCTTTCTGATTATATTTTGGAATTTCATCAGTAATTGCTTTGATTTGTAAACTGTTATAAAATGTATTACTTTATTTGAATGTTGGCTTCCCTGTAGTGATCTAGTAGCAGTTCCAGTGCTCTACGATTTCTATTCTTAATGGAACTGTACTCTTGCTCCCTCTCCCTCTCTCCTCTCTCTCTCTCCCCCCTTTCCCTGTCGTTTCTTCCCTTCTTTCGAAGCGAAATGTCCGGGCGGGTGTCGCAATGGAGGGTTCTGCAATGAGAGGCAGGTCTGTGAATGTCAGGAAGGCTTCTACGGCCCCCATTGTGAAAAAGGTAAAAAGAAAACCGAACATTATTAGAACTGCAAGTGAAGAAATTTTGACAAAGGGGATAGAAACAGTGCTTTGAGATTGTTTTCATCTGGGTGTCTTTGCTTATAGGAGGAGTTAACAGGTCTCTTTAACAGTAAACCAAAGCAGATGTGAAGAAAGTAATATCATAGCCTAATCGCTGTCATGAGAACATCTGCAGTCTCTGGTGGGGGTTTTCATACACAGGATTAAATCAGAGACTGAAGCGATCATTTTAGTGGTGTGATCTTTGAATTTAAGACAGCGTAGAGAGAGGCTGGGTTTCTCCCACTGAGGTCTGAATTTGTGCTCTGCCCAGTTTCGCAGGTCCCTTCCCTTCCACCCTTTGTTTTTTACTGAAACTCTTTGTTTTGGTTCAATATTTTTGCCATTTACTTAGAAACCAAAGTTATATCTGATAACAAATTTATAGAACATTTAAATATTTAAAAGGATATTGTATTTCACAATTGTCCATGGAATGGAATAGACTTAGTAGGCCCTTCAGCATAACATAACAAACTTTATGGAATGAATGCAAGACATACAGCAGTATTTCTGTATTTCACATAAAAAAATCAATATTTTTTTGTAATGATAAAGGGATTTGTTTTACACTCTTAGGCTAGAATCAAATTTAAGCTCTTTAGTTAAAAGAAAACAATGATTATTGTGGATAAAGGGACGTGCCCTGATTCCAGTATAGGTTAGGCTTTTAAGGCTGTCTGGAAGCCTGTGTTGCCCACTTTTTTTCTCCTTTGTGGCAGCTTTGTGTACGCCGAGGTGTCTGAACGGAGGACTCTGTGTCAGCCCTGGAATGTGCATCTGCCCTCCTGGTTATCACGGCATTAACTGTGACAAAGGTAAGCAAGCACTGGACCATCTCGTTCAAACCACCTCTTCACCCTACAAAACACAGTGATTAGATGGACAGAAGAGCTATTCCACAGGATGGCTGCTTGAGGAATCTGGAATGAGGTTCGGGTTATAGAGCAGACTTGTTGGAGCTAGATTCTCTTCCGAAGAGGCTAAGAACTGGTAGTTATTTGTCTCCTTTTACTCTTTAATTTAACAATTCCTTTCCAGTAACATTGGAGAAACAAAGAAACAGGACTATACTGTACATTAGTGGCTAGTTGCATAAAATGTCTTTAAGTGTTAAATATGTAGATTTTTTTTTGCTTTATTAGGGATAACGTTATGGTTTTTAACTACTTTCTGCTATACTGTTCATGTATAGAAAAATAAGGGGAAATGGTAAATAAAATGTTTCATGCCGTTCTTACATAGGCCTGCTGAGTGAGATTCCAGAACTGCAGCTATTGTGTCTTGCAGAGCAAGAGATGTCCCACTCACTGTCACAGTCCTCTCACTGTACCAATATAACTCAGTTATTCTAACATGAGATCCATTCAGCCTAGGCAAACTACTGTGAGCCTTCACTGGCAATGTGGGGATCGTACTAATTCATGTCCACTGTCTTCGCAGACTGACATGCACAGGCACAGTCAGGCATGTTAAGAAAATCTCCTCACAGCTGGAAGGATACAATTTCTCCTGAGTAATATTAATGTTTTTCTAGAAAAGTCAGGAGCATGTGGTGTATAGAAGGCACTTTTCATACAGTGTACATCTATTCAGACATACTGTATTAGATAATCTAGGGAAAGGTAGCAAGGCAAGATTACAACACCTTCTCGAATTATGACACTCCTTCAAGTTCTTTATTTACCTAGCAAGATTTACTATGGACAAAGTATCCTTTAGAGTGGCCTGTTATGAGCAACAGAGATATAAAAGATTGAATGTGTTACGGTTTTACTGTAGAAGCATTAATCAACAGGCTGATCCTCTTCTAGTGATTGCTGAATATCCCTGGCACATACTATAGATCTCTGAACATTTTCTAACATTCCAAGATGTGACGATTTCTCTTTTCTTCATTAAATTTGCAGCCAATTGCAGCACAACCTGTCTGAATGGCGGAACCTGCTTTCACCCAGGGAAGTGTATCTGTCCATCTGGGTATGAAGGAAACCACTGTGAAATCAGTAAGTCGTGACCTTTAATCCCCAAGAAATATTTGATTTGCTCTTAAAAACAATATCCCAAAATATCACTTTTTTTCTTTCTGTTTTCCAAGTAGTATATAAAGGTCAGTTGTAGTATAAACATGATGAGTAAAATGGAATTGTTACTTGATCTTTAAGATCAGACCATTTGACATAGTTGAGTTTGCTCTGTGTTCACTTCTATTTAAAAGGTGGTTCTGTTTAAAGGGACATCTGCAAAGTAATATACCTGGGTATGCTTTTACAGTAGGTGAAATTAAACTCATGTTCATTTTCTGTTTTTTTAACATGTTTGCACTTTCACAGTCAGGTGTTCCACACAGATACAGGCTCAACTGACAGTTAGCTGTACACAGTATTTATTGTGCAAATACAGATAAGTTATATTCAACAAAAGAGGTGTTCTGAAGCATGTGTTTCATTTAGTGATATGTATTCCCACTATAATCCATGGTATACTGGATTCTTAACAACAGTGAACAGAATAGCCTGGATTTGAGCTCTAGGCTGAGGGCAACCTTTCCTACAATGAACAGAAGACATGTCAGAGATCTATAAAGAGCTCACACATTTATAAAGAACTTAAAAAAAAATATTACCCTCACATTAGCTGCACAGGTCAGCATGTAGAGTAAACTTTAGAACTCGGATCAGTGTTCACAGCTTTCTAAATGTCTGTTAGCTCTGTTACTGTAGTCCTCTCCTTTCTGCTGTTTAACAGCCACAGAACTTCTATTGCATCTGTTCCGCTTCTGAACAAACTCAAAAGTGTGTTCTTGTGTTGGTGAAAATTGGCTGGGCCTGTCAGAGTGTACTTGTTAGTTAAACTAGGGCTGTGTCAATCAACAGTGCAGTTTCATGTCACAGAATGGGGCAGTGGGTTCACTGGCCATATCTCCATTCTTTTGGGGATGACAGGGCCTTATCTTAACTCTGAAATATATCGCCTGTTGAGAATGTCTGCAAATTTCTAACAATTTTGATTCTGATTTTGTAGATGCTTAGAACTTGCAGTCAGATTGTGTTTAGGTGAACATTAGCTGTTTCTTGGAGAATATTTAATGATTTTGTTAATTGACCTTTAACTTTAAAACAAGCATCCAAAGTACTGTACATTTAAGTGATTAAAAAGTTTCTTACATATATTTATTTAAATACAGATTTTTAGTTCTTTAATTATCAAAATGAAGGAAGAGGAAGCCCCCCAAAGCCATTTACTGTCCATCAGTAGAATTACAACAATTTGTTGTCCATGTTATGTTGATGAAACAATTAGTAGAAACCTTTGTGAAAACCAATAGGATTAAATAGTTTGAATGATCTTTGGATAAAAGATAACTCAGTTTTCGGTGTTAATGGATCAGAATTTCATGTTATATAACAATTCAATATGGGTTTAAACAATATATTACGTAAAATATAATGATATGAAACAGTTTCTAATGATAATTCTTCTTACATCTACCTGAAGGAATATTTCAGTATTTCTCACATATTCAATATTGATACTTTACTTTCTCCCACCTACTATTAATTGTTTTATAATATTACTACAGTTCCAAACTATCTCAGGGCTGCTTTGCCCCCAAAAAATTGAAAGACATAGACTGGGCAGATGGGACATCCTGTCACCCTATTATCCACTGACATGAAAAGCTAATGTTTTTCAAAATATTATTTTGTGGTCATTCTGAAAACACGATTGCCTTGATGGATGCAAAATATCTGGGCCAATACAATGCGATATATTTGAGATATGGCATCCTGTATGCCCTGTGTATTGCACTTCATGTGTTTTATGGACAATTCTAAAAGTAATATGTAAAGGTATTCCTTACATCTCAGGTATTTCTTTCATTTGCCTCTCCCTTCTCGTTTTTGTACTTTTGCACATTTTGGAGCTGAGTTTTAGAAACACTTTCACAAGTTGTGTAGCTACTATACAAGCACACAAGCACAGATTGGCTTACTACAGTCAGTTTGCATGGTATTTTCACAGTTGAGCTACTGTATGGTTTCACTGTATTTTTTTCAGGCAGATGTGCTGTGGTTTTGCCATGACTATGCCATGAGCTGGCTGTGGTTTCCCACAGCTTGTCATTCCCTGGTGTGATTTGCCACATGTGCAGTATAATTATGTGCCCAGACAATTCTGATGGAATGATGGATGATGGAAAAGATCTAGGGGAGCTTGAATGGCAGTATCACATCAGTATCACAGTGGGAGGATACAAGGATATGTTCATTAGTGCCTTCTGCTACCACCGATATAGCATTGGGGTGTAAGACTAATTTCTGATTTGTTTTTCAGGCAAGTGCCGCCAGCCCTGCAGAAATGGTGGAAAGTGCACTGGGAGAAATAAGTGCAAGTGCACAAAAGGCTTCCTCGGAGACCAGTGCTCTAAAGGCAAGAGCAGCTTTGATGAAATTCCTCACCGCACGACGGGCACGCCGTGTTCTCCCCTGCCAGTGAAATGTGAAAGCACATTTTTTTAGAATGAGCATGAGGGTGTGTAAATGACTGAGAAAGCTTAGTCAGTTTCACCTGCAGCTGGGAATTGAGGTGCCAGTGCAGTAGAATGGGAGGCACAATGAAATGTGGGTCACTCTGTGTTGAATAGTGGTGCAAAAACAACTATGGCAATTAGTTCAACTCTGTTGTTCTCTTAAGAGACAGGCACACATTATCGACATATTCCTCATTCACCAACTGCGGGTTGGGAGTGTAGTTGAGAGAGAATGTCTTCATCCCAAAGTTAAAGCAAGATCTTCAGGTCAACTTGAGCTGCATCTGGAAAGAAGATGTTACTGATATTAGAGGATTGAGTGGGGAGCTATGTCTGCGTCCTTTTCACTACAAAGGAATGGGTTAATTCCATGCTGAAAAGAAGAAAGAAAAAAGAAAATTTCAGCTGTTGAGCCTGATTTCACACCCGAAAAAGGCTCAACAGCTGAAACGCTGAATTTCGGCTCTCTACGTTTAAGCATGGAATCAACCCTTACTAGTTCCATTACTGATGTGAGGTGCCATTCAAACTGATGGGCTGAACAGCTGCATCAGTGTCTTTTACAATTTAAAAAAAGAAAACATTAACTTCAGTTCGGCTGCTCCTGGGCTTTATGCATCCAAAGTCCTTTATTTTATTTTATTTATCCCTCTGGAGCCCATCTCACGGGTGGTTTGTCAATTTCTCAGGCAACTTAATTAGGTCCCGTTTATTCTGTGTCCGTGGATGGTGAAAACTCTGGGTTGTCACAGACATGGCCACTCCATCACTCTTAGTCGTTCAGCAGCACCGTGTGCGTACAGTTGGTCTGAATCGCAGGTCAGCTGAGCTGGGTGTATTCATTACGTTTCCGCATTAGTCTTTGACAGGTTATGTTGTTTCTAAGCACATTGCGTTTGGCACAGTGTCATTGCAAGCACTGCTGTACTATAAAAAGGTATGGTTACCAGAGGTGTCATACCTGTGAGAGTGCCTCTTCACGCAGGACTGTACAACGGCAGCTGGCCTTGTCTCCACTCAGTCTGCCAATTCAACAGTCGCCACGGTAAGAGAAGCAAGATGATGATCGAAACCGCCAGACCGCTATTAAGATGGTACTTACCTTGTCCCAGTGGATATTTAAGTCCAGCAGTAACAACGCCCCTTGTTGAGTCAGAGAGTCATTTCTTGAGTCTCGGCATTTCTCCCTTGCTTGCTTACTTACGGCTTTTTAACTTTTTTTTCCACTGTCTCCAGACAGCTGCTTGCTCCAGCTTTAGTAGAAGATCTCACAAAAAAATTAAGATAAATTATATCACACATTTTAGGACCAATACAGAGCTAAATAATAAGAAATACTGCATTTATTTTTTGACAGTGGTCACTTTACTCAGAATCCCAATTCCAACAATAAAAACAACAGAACTTCTGAAATTGTTGGTCTGATTATAGATGTTACATATTATTTTGTCTTTAATAGGAATATTGTCATATACACAGATTTACTCATCTCTCCTTTTAACATTGCTTCAAAATACAGAATAATGTAGGGAACCTTTGACTTGATTCATATTAAATAAAATATTGAACCCAGTTGCCAATCTCAAATTACAAACCCAGTTTCAAAGGCAGTTTTAGGCTTCCTAAAAGCTTCTTTATTCTATTAATTGGAAGCCTAGAATCATATATGTGGTTTGCACTTTTTGACTGATGGGCAAGTTTTGACTTGCTCCATGTGGCCATTTCCCATTCTATTCTATGAGTCGATCAGTTGGGAATTAGACTGTTATTAGCCTGTTTAAAAGCCCCCAGTGTTTCCAAAGAGTGCTCATGCAGTTTTATGCGGCAGGCTTGAGACTATGTGGAAGAAACAGGGTCGGCAGTTTTGACTGTCAACTCAACATTTAATCTAAAACAATTTGGCAATGGAGCCTCTTGTGTGTACAGATCTCCCCCAGACAGCTTTACAGATGAAAAAGATCCTAAGGAAGTGAAAAACAATCTTACAATCCTAGCTCTGTTGTTTTATAATTATGTATACTATAAAGTAATTTGCAGGCATTATAGTAATTAGGAAATAGGATTGTACTTGTATCTGGTAATGATTGTTAGCTTCTTTTTCAGTTTCCTCCCATTTTTGTTCTCAGATCTTTCCTTTGAGATTGTCCACCAACATTCCTCACTAACATAATTGAAGCTCGCAAACAAGTCCTGTTTCTGGAGTTCCAGCATTTGGAAGAGGGGGGTCTGGATTTTGGGAGCAGCGGGGTGGAATTTGTTGATTCCAGGTTACAAAAAAAAAAATGCCTGCCTTACCTTCTTAGAGTCTGGCCTGTCTGAAAGAAAAAACATGTGGACAGTGATTTTCACCAGCAAAGATGAAAGCCAGGAGAGTCAGATTGAGAGGGTTGTGATTAGTGAATTTAACACTGCATTAAGGTGGAATTTCAATGCCAAACTGACAGAAAGCCTGAAACATTAGCAGCCTTTGTGGTATAGCAGGCGTGTAATTCTAGCTGTGATGAAATCTCGAGAACAGCTAAGCCCCTCTGTGTCTGCCTGCAGCTGTCTGTGAGCCAGGCTGTGGACCACATGGAACCTGCGTGGAACCCAACAAATGCCACTGCAAAGAAGGCTGGCATGGACGACACTGTAACAAAAGTAAGTGAGAAGCTAAATCCAAGCAGCCAAGTTCTGCCTCTTTCCCAAGCTCTCTGTGCTAATTATGACCTGGAACTCTATAAGTGTATGTAATCTCTCGTAACCCGATATTGCTGCGTATTCGTTATGCCACATTGACTGTTTGAAATCAGACATAAAAGCCAAATAATTGGTATGGTTGCCGAATGTTAGATTGAATGTGCTATTTTTAAAACTGCGCCCCCTCCTTCTCCCAGCCACAACTATCATTCCACAATTATGACATTTAAGAGTTCTTCAAACTCCAAAACAGATCATGTGTGAATGCGACTGAGATTTCAACAAGAATGTGCTGTTCCGATTGTGTGTGTTCACTTCATCTGGAGTGTGAGACACCGTATTTTATATTACTGCTTTATGGTCTACCAATAACATTTATCATCCCAAAATGCATGTGCATCCTAATTTGCTTCTTATAGCAATCTTTCCTAATGATTATGTTTGGATCACATGATTAATTGTGAAGTTTCATGTGGAAAATGATTTAAATGCTGGTGCACATCCTGCATGTATTGTAGGAGGCTCAAAACGTTTCATCGGTTTTTGACTATTGTAAAACCTGACTTCTGACTAGGGTCAGCCTACAGTAACAGTTGTAACTGAGAGAGCAGAGTTATGTTTTATAAGGAAGAAGAGAAATGGAGAATTCAGGAGTTTGTCAGGAAATCGTCTGTTCTAGTTCTCTCAGTGGAATAGAGGACTAAAGAGCTGTTCCATGTGAGAAGAGAACTGAAGATCTTTTGGGGACTAATCTCTGTGAAGGACTGAGCAGGCTTCTCCGAAAGGGGACCATCGGTACATCTTAGAAGCCCGGAAAGGTTCCGGAACCCAGCAGTGACAGATCACCAAGACATGTGCTCCTATACATAGACTGGCAGAGGAATCTTACTCCTTTGGGCCCCTGAGCAAGGCCCTTAACCCCACCTGCTCCAGGGGCGCTGTATAAATGGCTGACCCTGCGCTTGGACCCCAAGCTTCTCTCCCTGTCTGTGTGTCTCATGGAGAGCAAGTTGGGGTATGCGAAACGACAAATTCCTAATACAAGAAATTGTATATGGCCAATAAAGTGATCTTATTATTAATGTGAATGATATGCTGGCCTGTGGCTCAGGGATAACAACAAATTTTCTGCCTTTGTCACTTTGACTGAAATATGTAGAATTTTGCTTGGGTAGGTTTCCTCCCACCTCCCAAGGGCACGCTGCCTACAGTAGATTAACTGGCCTTTCTGTGCTGTCAGCCTCCAATAGACTGGCAACCCAACCCTTGCGTGGTTCTACTGTATTCCCCACACTCTCGGGATGGGGTTCAGGGATCTAGGACCCTTACCTGAAAAGCAGCATTTCTCTTAGATTCCTGGATAATTGGAATATTGTTTGACTAGGGAGCTGTCAAGGAACACGTACAGGCTAATTCAATGCTGGAATTAGAAGCGAGAAAGGAGAACCCCCAACGTTGTGTTTCACCTTCTTTTTTTCTAGCTCCTAATTCCACCATGGAATTAACCTTTACTTGTAATTTCACTTATGGTCATATGACAACTTCGTCATCAAGCTTTGCTGCCGGAAGTGCTTTCCACTGAATGTGTGTGGTGTACAGTATATAGTTGTGCAGCATGCTGTTTGTATTCATGGATTGATCTGGGGTTCCTCAGCTGATGTCTGAGATGTAAGTGTGGAGCAACATGGTCGGCTCTCTCAAAACTGCTTCTGCTTGTTGTTCGTTCAGGGTACCGCGGTGGCAGCGTGAGTGTCCTGCGACCCGTCAGTCCCAAGCACAAACAGCACACGCCTTCCTCGAAGGAGGTCAAGGAAGTGGGTGACGGCAGCCCTCCTGAAACCAATTACGTCTTGTGAGCATCTGAGCACTGTACCCATCGCTCTCACCCCTGCTTACCCCCAGGTGTCATCGCCATCGCAGCAGTCTGACCATCTGGTCTTCATACCTTTCCCATCAGCTGCAGTTCCTTGCAGAATTAAAAATTGGGGGAAAAAACTGAAAAACGTCACAGAAGACTGCATTCTTCGACTTGTTCGTCTTTCCTTTTCAGTCAGGTTATACATTCTCTCCGTAAAGTAAATGGGTGTCAGATATATTAATCGCATTCTTACATCAGATTCCACCTGAAAAAAAACAACACATTTTCAAATAAGAAAATAGGGCTCTGATGGTGTTCGTTACGGTACTCCATCCAATTCATTTTTTAAACCAAAGTGTTGATTTTGCGTTGTACTTTAGTTTACTTTTAAAATCAGTATTTTAGTCATGTGAAATATAATTTGATGATGTAAGGCTTTTGCAAATGATTATTCATCTACATTTTGCATGTCCAGCGCTTACATAATATAAACCTAGACATGAAATATGCAATTATAAGGCCTTGCTTCATCATTACTCCGAAATCCTTTTTAAAGTTTGATCTAAATCTAATGAAAATTCTTCCCAGTTTATGATACTAACTTTATTTGGGCATTCAAATGTACAGGTACAGTATTATTCAGTAATGTTAGAGTATTACAGTATGTAAAATGTTATCAGCTATGAGCATTTTGTGTTATTTAATATTAATTCCACAGTATCATGTTCTCTGTGAAATTGAGAGTTTAGGCATTCTCAGAAAGATATCCCACAGACATTTCTCCTTGTACTTGACTTCCTCACAATGTCAAATACCTTTTGACCCTTCACCTCTTTAGTTCTCCTGTGTTAATGAAAGCCAGAGCAGCAGATCTGTTTGCAGTGGAAACAATTTTCAGTTGCAGTATGACTCATACTCAGTGGTAACTGTTTTTTTCATCCTTCACAGTCATCTCCCTCCATCCATTTGGACTTTTTCCAGAATATCACAAACACTTTAACTGCCTATATCAGCTCTTACTGCCACATGCTCAGTGTATTCTGATAGGTAATAATAGGTACTTCCTCTGAACTGCTTCCTTACTCTATCCTCTTTTATTACGTTAGAACAGTTAAACATCAACTTATCCCATCGCGAACACCTTCATCAGAGTTCTCATTTCAGTTCTACTTTGGAGCAATGAATTTTCACATTGAACTTTTTAATGCTTTTTTTAAAATCAGGTGGTAGAAGAACTGATTGCAAAAGATGCAAAATATGTTTTTACCATCTATGGCATTGAGTTCAAACAGGGATGGGCAGTTTCAGTTTGGTATTTCATGTATATATTTTTTTTCCACAGAAGATTATGTTGAATTATCCCCTTTTCTCCAGTAGATTCTAAAGAAGACATATTTTTACCTTTTCTTTCACTGACAATCTTTTGATATTGACAGAATAATGCTGTGGTTTAAATACTGAAACTATAGACTAGCAATTAATTTGTTTTCATTTGGAAATATCTGCATCTGCACCACTTTGAACATTTAAAATTCCTATTGTTTAAATAATGAAAGAATTTGTGAAATTCTAGAAATCATGTTTCACTTTTGCTTTAAAAATCATATTTTTTGTAAGCCACTTACTGGCATTTCTTTCAGAAATTAGTCTTGCAGTTATCATAAAATGTATTTAGGTTATAAATGTGGATATAGTAGTTATTCCCATTTTATTCTCTTTATAATAGTTAATCCATTATAATTAATGATTGTGACATTACAACTGCATAATATATTGTGAACAAAAAGTACATTTCTTTATTCTCTCTTATTAAATATGTATTAATAAATTCAGTTTTGTTGTAATCAAGATCTGCTTCCTTTTGTTTGCAAATTCCAATACTTCTAAAATGAACTAAATTAACATGTAAAAAGATGTTTATATTTGAAATGTTTGAGGAATTAAGCTAGGAAACACTGCTAATTGATCTAAAGTTGCGTTACTGAGATTTGAACTCTATGTATACACGATACTATTTATAACAGTAATATCAATACTAGTGCTTTGTGGTATGCCAAACAATAAGAATTGTATTCTAATATACAGTAAAGAATGACATTAAAACACAATAAATAAATATCAAAATAAATAAGTGTGTTGACTAATAGTGTTTGTTGTGCTTATAATTCCTCAGGAGGCAGTAAGAGGTGGCTTTGTGAGAAAGCTGCCTGTTAATTGGAAAAACCTGCAGAATGAGGCCTTCCTGGTCAGAATCAGTAATTCAGTAATTAGCACTCAGAGGGAGTGAAATTCCATGTGGTGGAAGGGAGCTATCAGGATAGGCTCCGTGTGATATTAAATACTCATCTGGACTAATTTAGAGGTTTATAAGAACAGCCAGGATGTCAATCTGTGTCTAGATTTCAGAAGAGTGAGATGGTGGCCAAGTGTGCCTGTACACTCACAACACATCAGCTATCAGTGGGCAGGAGGATGGAGGTATGAAGCTGGTTCATAGACGGAGATTATCAGGAGGCTGTGATTGGTAAAGGCTTGAGGGGGGGAATTTGGCCAGGACACTGGAGTAACACCCATACTTTATGCCCTGGGATTTTTAATTTCTGCAAAGAGTCAGGATTTCAGTTTTACATCTCATCTGAAGGACAGCACCTTTTTTACAGTATAGTGTCCCAGTCACTATACCGGGGCATTAGGACCCACACAGACTGCTGGGTGATCGCTCCCTTCTGATCCTACTAACTCCTCTTCCAGCAGCAACTTAAGCTTTCCCATGGGGTCTCCCATCCAGGTACTGGCCAGGCTCACAGCTGCTGAGCTTCAGTGGGCTGACTGGTGTGAGTTGCAGGGTGATATACATGCTGGCTTGTGGGAGGTGTTAATGCCTGGAAGAGAGGGGCATCTCTTGGCAAGGTAGTTGTGCAATCTGTCTTTACAGCTGAGATTGAGGAGTCTGGAAGGCACTGGTCGAGTTCTGAATACTCCCTGGGACTTACCGTCAACAGATAGTGTGAAAAGTAGGAAATGATGAACCAGATGCGCTGTTGCTCCTGTATCGGGGTCACAAGTGTTAATCGAAAAGAAGCTTCCCTGGCCGACATTGAGCAGCCAGTGTAGTTTGTGAAAAGAGTCTATGAAAACTCAGTAACAGTGAAGTTGACATTTTTAGCGAACATTGTAGTTGGGTAACAGACTAATTGAATTCTCTAGTACCTGGTGATTACTGAAGACTGAGTGAATAGTTAAGATTTCTTAACTATCTATGAATATCTATGATATCTATGACTTGGCTACATTACTCTGCTCTCCTCCCCACTCATATCTGATGTGTGGTGATTGTTCTGGCGCACTATGGCTGCCGTCGCATCATCCAGGTGGATGCTGCACATTGGTGGTGGTGGAGGGGAGACCCCGTTATCTGTAAAGCGCTTTGAGTGGGGTGCCCAGAAAAAGCACTATATACGTGTAAGCTATTATTATTATTATTATTATTATTATTAAGATATGATGGTAAGCAGTGATAAGTCTTTCAGTAGACCCACGTGATGAACAGCTCAGGAGGAAGAAGACTGCAGTCTTCCCTGAGAGGGGAATTCTGTGGAAGAGCTAGGATCATGGTGCATGAAATGCCTGCTTAAAACATGTAAAAAATAAATTGAAATGACGCCAGTGTTGAGGTTGTGTGTGCTGGTGGTTGCCGCATTCCTTTTACTGTAGATTTAGTCCCTCTTATTAACATTATCTCCTTTTAAGGTCTGGAAAACAGTGTCCTTAAACAAGTATAATTTTCAATATGCTGTAAGTCAAGATTCTATCAAAATAATTTGATTAAGGAGTTTTGCTCTCCATGTGTTATTATTCCCTGTTTATCTAACTGGAATTTAAAGTTGATTTAAGATGATTGAATCAATGATAATCTGAATCAACAATTCATGTCCGGTTTTAGCATTTTCTTTGTGCTGAAAGTGATTAAGCCACATGTAATTCCTTATGTCTTAAAGCTAACTTTGAAGGCATATGGGTAAAGCTGGTTAGAGGAGTCTTGCATGTTTCTTCACTGGCACTTGACTGTGATATTGTGAGTGACCAATACAAAGTTTGGAATCTGACCAAATCAAACAGGCTTACCCTATGGTGATGTGCAGAGTGCACTATTTCAGCTCTTTCTCAAATGCCAGCTTCTGGTTGGCAGTAGTGAAGTCTCCACTGGCTTTTAGTAGAGACCCAAATATTGTTTTGATGCTATGCCTCCTTGTTAGCTCCCTATCTGTAACTGTTTACTAGTCTTAAAGTTTCAACCCCCTCTGATTGGCAGAGATGAATGAGTAATGTAAGGCTATCTTCCTTTCAGAAGAATAAAGAATGGTTGTGGTTGTCTGTGTAGTTGCAAAAATAACTGTTAAAAGGACAGAAGAGCAACAAACAAATAATTCATAATTGTAGTATAACCAAAGTTAGCTTATTGTGGCCTTTTGATTCGCATTGATTCATTCATCCACTAAAACTTCAAATGGGGCAAAAACGATTGGGGAAAATCTCATTTAGCACATGCTCCCATACATTTTAGATATTTTGAACCAAGTATTGGTGGACAGTATTTTTTTTTCTACACAAACATGTTATTATGACTATAAAGGTGAAGGGGCTGAGGGGGAGAGGGGAAGCCATAAAAACTGCCAAATGCTTGAATAGGCAAGACTTTACAAAACAAGGGGAGGGGCTCTGTTAGCTCAGTGAAGTGGACCATGGGAACTGTGAAAGGCGATGAAAAGCTTGCTTAGACGTGACCTTTTATCTTTGCTAATGCCTTTTTTCCTAAAGCTTAACAAAAGACTGCGCTATAGCAAAAAAAAGGGGGGAAAACGTTTTCCTAATGATCCATAGAGGTTTACATTACTCTTTTGGGTGAGATGCAACCTTCGCATCCCTTTAGACGACCACCCACTAAGCCATTCGAAGGACCAAAAGAAAAAAAAGCCATGTTCAGTTCTTGGCTTCTCCAGCCCCACAAAAATACACACATTCACATTTTTCAGCTGACAAAGCAGGGCTGCTGGATGTATTTTATTTGAAGGGGAATCTCCAAAAGCTCCTGGGGACTGTTTGGAATTCCTTGTCTTTGAATGAGGCTGGCTGTTTTGCTGTAGCCAGGTGGAAACTGGTTCTGAAGAGGCGGTTATCCGTACCTCAATATTAGTAAGATAATGAGAGATGAATTAGAGTGAAGACGAGTGATTCTAACATCCTTCACTCCAGACTCGCATTAGAAAGGTCGGAAACAAGAAGTGGCCATGTTGGTCGTCTAGTTCATTTGGTTTTTAGAGAATCTCATCCAACCATCTCTTAAAGGAGGTCGTGGCATCCGCTGTAACACCAGGGTGGAGCAGATTGTTCTACATGTCCAGCACCCTGGGGTGTTCCGTTTCATTCAAGAGCAGTTTTATTCATACCCCTGCCACCACGTTGAAAGCAATTGTGCTCTCTGGTTTGGATTTCACTGTGATTCTTCACAAGTCTGGTGGGTTGAATAAGAATAGTTCCTAACATTTATATATCGATTTTTCTGGACTCTTCTTTCAAAGTGCTTTACAGGTAATGGGGACTCCCATCCACCACCACCAATGTGCAGCCCCACCTGGATGATGCGACGGCAGCCATAGTGCGCCAGAACACTCACCACACATCAGCTATTTTAAAGATTAATGAAGCCAATTTAAAGATGGGGATTATTAGGAGGCAATGACTGGTAAAAAGGCTGGAGAGAAATTTGGCTGGGACACCAGCGAAACACCCATACTCTTTTTGAGAAACAACATGACCACAGAGAGTCGGGACCTCAGTTGTACTTCCTCTATTGCAATGTTTTTACTATATGTCACGACTATAGTCCCCCATCCTTAAGGGTGCTCCAGCCCTTTCACTAAAGACTTCATTCTCTGCACCTGTTTCCCATTCCCTGCCCACCTTAAAAGCCAGGCGCTGACGCTCTTCCGGGCTCTGCATCTGATTTCCATATCGTGCGAGTCCGGGACCAGGAAGCGCCTGGTCCCGTTAAGGTTTTAACCTCTGTTCCCGTTCCCGTTCCCCGTCCGCCGGTTCCGACCCAGTCT